GGAGGGCGATCTCAATCGCAAAGCCCTCTGCGGCTTCCTATCCCCTCGATAACCCCCGGCCAACTGGCATTTTCCGCGATGCAGTATTTACCCGTACCTGTCATTGTTTTAAACAACTTGAAAACAGTGGTTCTAGCAAACGAGGCCATGGGCCGCATGATGGGCCTAACATCCGAGACAACGCCACAAGATGATGCTACCGCCGCGCTTGAACATCTTCGGGGTCAAACTTTATCGCAAATCGGGATCGACATGTTGCAGGATGGCAGGCCGGTTTGGATAACTTGGGAGTCCTTTTTGGATAGTCTGGTGCAGGAAGTTGGTGTTCGTCCGCCTGCGTCTCATGCACAGCAACCTCAAGTCCCTCAAGCAAACCCTGGTGATGCGACTCCTACGCTAGACTCATCACCGATCCCTGCCACTGAGCCTCGCTGTCCTCCGATGGCTCTGCCTTCCCAGGACGCCGTCATTGAGGTAGTAGTCAGCAGGAAGGACATGAATAAGACGACTTATGACAGCCGGTATAAGGCCAGGGCCTCCGAGTACCAAGCATTTGCTAAAATGATTATAACCGTTTGGGAAATTGAAAATAAGCAAACCTTCTTCACTCTCACATTTACAAATACCACTTCTGCGGCGTCTTCACCACCTAATACCAAGAAACTTGTTGCAAAGCCGAGCGTCCTGGAAGCTGCTGATCGACGGACAATTGCTATTTCAGCCCCATCGTCCGTTGCGTCAAGCCGCGACTCGAATTCACCTTCCTTTTATAGCCCAGGCATCGTCACCATGTCATCAAGCCCATTCCCTCCTATGGGCCCGCCGTCGCTTGCCTCGCATTCGAGCACTCCATCCCTGCTGCAAAAGATAACCCTCATGAAGGACGCCTTGCTTGACAACACCCAGATGCCCATCCTCGCCATATGGAAAGATGGCAGCGTCATCTTTCCCAACAAAGCCGCGAGACAGCTGCAATCTCTGGATGCCGATTTAGATAACTGTGCCGACGGCCTTGATCTTCTACGGAAATGGGAGCTATGGGATGAGAGCTTTACTAGAAAATTAGACGTTTCTGAATACCCCATTTCTATTCTCCTTCGCACAGAATTCCCATTTGCGAGCATGCGCGTTGGATTAGTAGACCGCGACGGGAAGAAGCTCATTCACGACGTACTTGGCGAAGCAATCCGGGACGATGTCACCGGGGAATTTCTAGCAGCTGTGGTCACGGGCCGAGATGTAACGGTTATCACGGAGCAAATCACTCAAATAAAAGAGCGAGATGACGAGCGTTTCAAGCTGATTTGTGATACAATGCCGCAGTTAGTTTGGACGGCTTCCCCGGATGGACTTCACGACTTCTTCAACACTCGGTGGTATTCGTATACAGGCCTTACGCCGGAAGAGTGTCTTGGTATGGAGTGGCAGATGCCCTTTCACCCGGACGACAGACACGAAGCACTGACCCGATGGAAGCGGTCGCTGGAGACTGGCGAACCGTTTGTAACGGAATACCGTTGTCGAAGTAAAGAAGGCGAATGGAGGTGGTTTCTGGGTCGCGCCTTGGCGGTGAGAAATAAAGATAGTGGTCATATCGAGAAGTGGTTCGGTAAGACGAATTGTAGAAGTCTTTTGGTGGGAGAGCACGGGGCAATGCTAATCATCGTCATACAGGCACATGCACCGACGTTCATGAGAGCATTGAAACCAAATTTGATGCCAAGCGAACTCGCCAACAGCTCCTAAGCGTCATTGCTCACTCTCAGGTCACCATCTTCACTGTAGATCCGAGCCGCCGCGTAAATATGCTCGAAGGCGCCTTGATATGGAACCACACATATGAGGACGTTCACGACCCGAGTCGATGGTACATCGGAGAGAATATGCACACCGTCTTCAATCGACTTGTGGATCAGCTTCCGGAAGGCGAGCAGCTAGACTTTCTGCAGCCCATCGAGGACATATTGGAAGGACGTACTACCGAGGATGTTAAACAACACGGCCTAGATGACCGCTGGTACCGGACTCGCTTTCTTCCTATGTACGGCAAAAAGACTCACGACGGCAAAACGACAAGTGATAGTACCATAGAAGGAGTCATTGGTGTCATTATGGACGTTACAGAACTGCGCGACCGAGAAGAGGCCTTATTGAAGCAGTCGCGGGAGAAGCGAAAGGCGGTGGCGAATGAGGCTGCTGCCAAGGAAGCCAACAGATTGAAGAGTCAATTTCTAGCCAACATGTCCCACGAAATTCGGACACCAATTACAGGCGTTCTTGGCATGGCCGAGCTGCTCAGCCATATGGATTTAGATGAGGAACAGAGAGACTATATTGATAATATTCAGAGCTCAGCCACGTCTCTATTAACAGTCATCAACGATATTCTCGACTTTTCCAAGGTGGAATCTGGCCGATTGGACGTTGAGGAAGTTCAATTCTCTCTGTCATTAGTTGTCAAGGAAGTCGTGCGAATGCTCCGGTTTGCTGTCGAACGAAAGAATCTGGATTTTCAGTCAGACATTGGGAGTGATATTGAAAATGACATGGTTGTCATTGGTGACCCCGGACGCGTACGGCAAATAATCACAAACCTGCTAACGAACAGTATCAAGTTTACAAACCAAGGCTATGTGAGATTCTCGGTCACCACAGAGTCTGAAACATCTGACTCGATCAACATCAAGTTTGTCGTTGAAGATACTGGTATTGGTATTCAAGAAGACGTACGAAAGAGGCTCTTCCAGCCTTTTAGCCAAGGTGATGCATCTACGGCCCGACGATTTGGCGGCACCGGACTGGGCCTCACGATCTGCAAGAACCTTTTGGACTTGATGCATGGACGGATTATTTTGGAATCAACTGTTGATAGCGGAACGAAGGCCTCCTTTTGGATTCCCTTCAACAAGCCTCACGGCCCAAGAAAATCTCACCCGGTCCAGAGTGGGGCTATTCCAGATCGATTGCAGTCGGATCTAAGTATATCATGTAATAGCTCTGAGTATGAGCAGGTTGGGGGCACATCTACGGGCTCTGATGGGATCGGGATATCTTCGTCAATTCCTCGTCGCCGCCTTTCCGTACGCACTCCTCCTTGTGTCGATCAAGACATGCCTCGAACTGAACGTGCTAAGACACATATTCTGGTCGTTGAAGACAAGTAAGCTCCAATTCTGTCCACACCAATGCAACTGAAAAGGCTTCAGAAATTTACTGACAAAACCTATCAGTCCCGTAAACCAAATGATTGCCATAAAGACTATTCAGAAACTTGGGTTTCAGGTCACTGCAGCATGGAATGGCAAAGAGGCCTTGGAGTACCTGATGGCCACTTCCCGAGGCCAAAATATGAAGCCAGACATGATATTGATGGATGTGCAGATGCCAATTATTGACGGATACAAGTGCACACACCTCTTGCGTCACCACTCTCCATACAAGACTTTGCTGCAGGATGTCCCAATTGTGGCTATGACGGCATCTGCCATCCATGGTGACCGGGAAAAGTGCAATAAGGCCGGCATGGATGACTACCTGGCCAAGCCAGTGACTATGAACATACTCGAGAGGATGCTTATACGGTGGTGTCTGTCGCGACGCAAGGTATCGGTAACAGTTGAGGAGTCCTCCGACTGCTCTCAGATCAGCGAACATTGCGACAATGCAGGAATTCCTCATGTTGGGGTTGAAGAACAAGCTACCGAGTCCGAGCAGAGAGTCCAGGATGAACCTCATGGCAGCCCCATGACGCCGAGGCCTTTTAACACAGCAAGCGGCCAACCCGAACCATCGCCATTTGATTCTCCTGCTGCCCCCGGGTTGAATGTACAGGTGAGGCATCAGGAAGGCGAGAAAGAATTATCCAGCATGCTTCAGGAGAATAAATTGATCGATGCAGCAGGTGGCCCATCCTTTTATCGTACCCCGTCGTTTCAGGGACCAAGCTCTGGAGAGGCGTTGACTGAGGAGAATATGAAGAAGCTAAAGAGCGAGACTAGCCACCTCGACAGGTAATTATTCTGGAGAGCAACACACCATGGTATGGAAGATGTTAAATTTCACGCCAACCACCAAACTGGCTTGAACGAAAACATGAATCTACTATTTCAGGCTCCAAACGGACAAATGGCGCATTAAATAATCTCTCATTGGCATACCATATGGTTGCATTAAAACACTGAAGCATGCATCCGTGTGCTAACAGACACGAAATATCAACCTTTTATAAACGACGAAGAATAATTTGTTGCGTAACCGCAATGGGAGGCGTTAGTCATGCACGCATCAAGCTAACGCCGACCGCAATGAACGTATATGCAAAAACACCCTTAATACATGCATCAGCGAAGAGAAGACTACATACTTGGATTCAGAGTGACTAGACTGATTTAAAAATTATGAGACATTTGCACCATGGCGGTGGTTTTGGTTCGGGGGATTAATACTTTGGATATATCTTGAACAGGAACATATATGCATGGTGAAAGGAGGCAACGCTTGTCGCAGGATTTAAACCAATATGGCATGATTGGAGGCGGATGGCTCTTGTTCAAGCGTGTTTAAATGTAAAACTCGGGGGTCATTGTACATACCCCGAGTAGTGATAGACGACGTGCCTTCTGTGGAACCGTGGCATGCACGAATACGAGTTTTGAGGGGGAACGCTACTGACTGGAATGGGTTCAAATCCGTGATATATCTTTTGCACAAGGTCGGACCGAGACGTGGAAGAAGTGTGGCAATGCTCAAGACACCCTGCCACAAGACTGGTGGCCCTACTCACATATGTCGATTCATAATTCAAATAAAAAAAATTCATATCCGCTACCTAACATGACATATTTGTATTTCCTGATGTGTACATAACCTCACCTGCATTAAACCAGGAAGAACGAATCCCAAAATAAAATCTAGAAATGCTCCTTCCAGAACCTGAAATTGACCTCCCGTGCAGTAGCAGCCTTGCATGCCGACTTAATATCACGAGCTGAGAATACACGTTAGACATTTGGCTCGATCTTGGTATTAGGATGAAGTTTGAGGTCCAACTTACCAGCTGCGGAGGGACCGCAGAAATAGACACCCACTGTAGTTCGCATGCTTCCCTCCAAACCGCTTAAATACGTCCTATCAAGAATACCATCTCGCATAGTGCTGAAAAGCCTCTTAAAGTTAGGGCGACCAAAGTGAGTCCTTGATTTGAGTTCAGTAAGCGGGTCCATATCGGCGCCTACACTGTTGAGCACAATATTTTGCGTGGTGTCCATATCGAGCTTCTGAGTGAGATAGGTGTGAATCTTGAGAAATTCTACGCCTGAGCTACCGGGGATGCGGGCAGCCTCGTTGGACTGCTCTTCTAGCGACGACAGCAATGTCTGGAACCATTCGAAGGAACCGGTGTCCTTGCAAACCCAGATAAATTCGACACGGCGAAGTCGGGTAGGGGGATTAGGCGAGTTTCGAAGATGCCAAATGTTTTTCAAAATAGCCGCCCAAGGAGTGACTCCAATACCGGTACCAATCAATACAGCGATTTCGTTTTCGAAGACGTCTTCAGCGGGGGCTCCATAAGGTCCGTCGATTCGGAGGCCGGGCATCTGCTGTCCGTTCTGCAGAGCAACTTCGTACATCCCCATGGGGTCAACTCCTTCATAGAGCTTGGCTTGAGCGCCACCAGCACCAGTCGCGTCGCCCAAAGCTCGAGTAAAGTCTCCAACCTGTCTGATGTGGATAGACACATATGGATCGAAGGGGCACGAGGTAATGGTGAATGGATGCCACTGGTACTTCGAGATGGATGGGACCTGAATGAAGAGCCACTGGCCGGCCTTGTACTTGAATGATGGCTTGCTGAACTGAAGTTCGACGACATCGTAAGGGTGGCGGACAACCCTAGTGATTTTAGTCTCCCGGCGAGCTCGGATTTCTCGGTAAAGACGCTCAATCAGGTAAAAGCCTCCAGTCCACAGCTCCCAACGCCAGCCAAGGTATCCGATGCAGTGTGTCCAGTATTGCTCTCCGGCAAATGGCGAAAAGGCATCGACTGAATCACGCACAAAACATCCGACGGTGTGTGTATACAGAGCCAGCAAAAAAGGGATAAAAAGATGGTGGGTATACCAGAAAGTTTCGAACGACTGTTGACGTATACGAGAATGAGCGGTCGTATACATGAGAAGCATGCACAGCAACATAACGTGGCCAGTAATGCCGCCTGCTTGGGCGTAGTGAATTTGGAGCGCGCTAACAGGACGGATCTGTGTTTGCTCGACATTGAAAAAGTTGACGTAATGGGCGGCGACGTGGAAAACGGTGAAGACTAGCAAGGCATAGGCAAGCTGTCTATGAAACCACAGATTCTCGTCGAGAGGGAGGAATCGAAGCTTGGGTCGAAGCCAGCGCATCAGTGTGCGGCAAACAGGAAGAAGAATAAGCATTCCGTCAACGCTAAGCACCAGACCGGCACCTCGAGAAATCCAGACGGAGAATTTCAAGGTATTCAAGCCGGCTAGTCGATCATCCGCAGCTTGCTTGTACCTGTATTGCAGAGTATTAGACCACTGTTCGACTTTGGAGGATAAAGAAAAGGCGTCAAATCGGTATTTGATGACTCTTTACTTACCATCCATAAGCAAAGATGCCCCAGTGAAATGTCCAAAAGAGGATGTGGAACATCATCTTTTGAGGAGTGAACTGTTTGCGAATTAATTCGCGGTAACCTAATTGTCCCGCCATGGTGAATAATGTGACCGCTTGTCGAGCCTTGAGGATAATTTCAATGTCGACCGGCGACAGAACTGGACACAAGCACCAAATATCTATACAGTATTCTTGTCCAGGCTTTCCCCAAAATTAGTCGGCCCGTCCGGAGCTTAAGGCACGGCTCTCTTGATCGCCCAGGTCCAAAGAGTGGACTTCAATATTATTTCACACTGATATCAACTCTCGGTTGACCAAGTCTACCCGCATGCCAATCTTCGAACCGATTAGTGTAGGCGAATATCGAGGAAAGAATGTAGACACAATTAGGCGCGAACAAAATACAAAAAAAAGAGAGCGATCTGAACCAGCAGTAGCGAAAGGAAAGAAGTCCAAGCCTCTGCCAAGAAGGAAAGTAAAAAAGTAGATAGGTATTGAAGGAAACAGTGGCGCAAGGTTGTTAAATGATGCCGACAAGAGATGGCAGGAACAATTGTCCAGGGCAGTGGCGGATCGAATGAGCCGAGTCACAGGTGAACCGGGGATCTGACACTGGCGGAACTGTTGCCAGGCTATCTTTTGCATCCGGGGAGCAGCAGTACAGAAAGCTGCGTCTCATTAATCGTGAAACTTTTGGTTCTGCTATGGAATACCTAGCCGTTGTTCACAGGATCAACAACGGGGGCGAGTGAAGGAGATAAAAAGGCGGCTTAGAGTATGAGAAGTCCTAGCACGGTTCAGAATCGTAGATCAGGCGCTGCAGAGGTTCGGAAGCCGCGATGACCCTGTCAGTTGGCCGAGACTTTGTAGATGGGACGGTAGGGAGGAACGGGGGCATGCGACAGTCAATGCGTGAGGCTAGCTTCGAAACCTCCAACGTTATGTCGTTAGAGCTGCTCGCGTGTTTCGAAGGTTGACGGGGTTGGTGATGTGAGGCAGATGTCAGCAAGAGGCGTTCATGGTGAGGAACGCAGAGGAAGGCTCTCATTCCCTTTGAGAGTGAAATGCCGAAGTGAAAGTGAAGACTCTACTGCGATGGACAAAACTGTGAGGTTGATGGTGCCGTTTAATAACGAGCAAGGCGCCTGTCCGGTTCCATGGCCTTGCTGCAACAATAAACCCATGCCGCCTGCAGAATACGCATCGAACGGAAGCCCCCCTTCTCTTGGCAAGCACTTTCACCGCAAGGGCTTCGTGTGAAACTGGCAAATGTTGGCTCGACTCAGGCCGTCAATGGTCGAATAACTATGACATCGGCGGCCACCAAACCTCTTTAGGAGAGGGGCCACTGTTCCGGGCGCTTAGAGATTCGGGTTGAGCCAACGAGACGTTGGACATGGGCCCCAGATGGCTGCAAGGTGACGGCGCCATCGTCAGGTCGATTTCTCCAAGCCTCCCAAAAGGTGCTCGGGATTGTCTGTGACAAATGGGGCCGCGGCAGGGGTCAAACGGCTTCGATATTGGACGCTACGATTGGAGTCGCTGAGGTCGGGCCGGTCCACCTAAAAGTTATTGCGGTTAGCCAAACCGGAAAGGCGGTATCGCGGTGTTGCGAAGTCGTACAAGCGCTTGCGGCACTTCTCATCAGACTAATGTTCAAGTGCAACAGGAGGACTGCACAATAGGCGAACGACTAGAGGTGAATGTATCGACGAACGGGTTTGTTGCACGCATCAACGCTGCGTATGAGCCAAGTACGGAGCAGGGGTCAATGGTGAGGCCTGGTTGACGATCAAGTCATCATGTGGCTGGTCATGGGAACATAATGTTCCAATATTTAGTATTTGAATATTCAGCCAAGGGGGCACAGCTCTTCCCATGCGTCAGTGCATCCGCATCGGGGATTTCTGGTAGTTACGATGTAAGGAAGGAGCGAGGCATGAAGATGGCCTCGTCCACATCCCAGCTCAATGGCGATCAATGAATGGTACGATCATGGCCGTGACCACCAAGAGTCCTCCATGCCCATTTAAACCCATTTAAACCCCCACGGCATTCCAACAACACCAGACCCAGTACCGAGTCCTGGCTACAACTTTGTTATTAGCACCTCAAGCCTTGCTCTCTCGGAAATCCGCCCCAAAAACTTTGTCAAGTTCATATGTTTTTTAGTTTTTGTTTTTTTTTTGCCCTCAGCTGTGGGTTGCCCTCGGCTGTCTTGATTGCTCTCATTGCCACCAGACCTTGCCCAGAGGGGTGGCATCTTCGGACCCCTAGCCGTCTCATCATGACGGTGATGAAACTAAGCACCAGAGATGAGACAATTGCCGATACGGCGCAAAATGCCAGTAGACCAAAGGAGGAAAGCGTCAATCGTTCCAACACAGGTGCGTTGCATCCCCTCGAATGTGTTAAGGCTGCAGCCTTAACACACAGTCTTAACACACTTGAGGGGATGGGTAGGTTCATGAGATAAATCATGAGCTTGAATGCCTCGACTGTCGAGTCGAGTTTTTGGACAGCATCGCCCGGCTAAACACGACCAAAGGGGCTGGCATCTCCAATCAATAGCCGTCTTGTAGTATCAATGTACTTCATGTTGTAACCCTTTCCTCCGTTCACAAGTCGGGTCTCGGGTTTGAAACATGGCAGGCAACCACATCGTCAGTTTGCATAAAAATCTTTTTTTGTTCTTCCCGTTGAACGAATCACTGACTCACTAGCCCCATTCGTCACTGTAGCGCCAGCAGACCAGACCCGATATATGCCAATATGCCAACTACCCTAGACTGGCAAATTCCTACCAAGTTAAGAACCATAACACGTGGTTAAGAGCGCATGTTTCTGAGACTCGTTCGTGAGTGAAGTTTGAGGATAAAGGCCCCCCACGTCTGGACGGGGTAGAGTGTTAAACCCTGAGCAAGTCACTGGACACTGTCCTCGAACGGCACGTGGTTCCATGCTACATTGCTACCGACGCCGAATTGTGAAAAAACTGACATTGAATACCACTCAAGACCAAGCAACAGATAGCCACCCCTGGTCATAACATGACATGTAGTAAAAAACATATTTGATATATGGTGGTTGGGAACAAGATATGCTACAATATTTTTAGGTGCAGAATGAGTAAGAGCCACCGCAACAGCACCTAGCTGTTGCCGGTAGTGCAATCAATCCAATCTAGCATGAGAGGCATATACTTCAAATTAGTCCGAACCCCTGCATTCCAGAAATTGGGCAGAGTGTCCGAGTGGTCCAAGGAGTTAGACTAGAAATCTAATGGGTTCGCCCGCGCAGGTTCGAGTCCTGTCTCTGTCGTCTTTTTTTATATGTTTTTCCTAATAATTAGGTGATGACAAGCTTCTCCCTTTTTTTGGTGCCTGTTTGGGAAGTACTATGTAAGTTATTCTGCGGCAAGTGGACAATACCCACTTTTGTTCATCGTGGTTGTGGCTTTACGACGTGATGTTGCAGGACATGGCAAATGGCGACTACACCTGTAAAATCCGTGTGAAGGAGTCTCGCGTGCTTTGATACGACGGAGGAGAGAGATGCTGATGAGGTATACCAGGGCGTTTATTCGCTTCATTTTCTTCCTTCTCTTCCATATCTTCGCGTTTGTTTGGGCACCGACCAGCCACCACGGGTACTACGATGGGTGTGGCGCGGGCGTAAATTGAACTGTGCGTCTGGGATCAATACTGCCTTGGGTTCGAGGCTGTTCAAGGAATTGCAGACAAATATACCGACTCGAGCTCTCTACAGACTCAATTCAAGGAGCTCAAAGCAGGTTTGGGTAGCTCAATCTTCCATCCCCCCAAAAGTTTGACCCTGTCCAAATAATACCCATGGCGCCTTCTGCCGATTTGGTACGGATGCCTCGTGCCAAGAAATTAAGCTCATGACGTAACGCGCAATACTGTGGGCATTTGTGATGCAACCTGCTCGGGCCTAAACTCTGCCAACGTTCAACCACGTCCATGCCAGCTGTCGCATTCACGGCCTGCTAGAATTGTCATCTTGATTTGATACCCATGGTCTCACCGCAGCCGCGCCGCCAGGGCTTTACTCCGCAGGGCCGCCGCCATGATGCCTCTGGCCACGGACGAACATGATGATGTCCGCCGGTACCAGGCACCATACAGCGCTCGCAGACCTGTGCCTACAATCTCCAGGTACCGCGAAGAGAAGGCTGCCAGACAACAAGAGTCCATGCGAAGTGACTCAGATGAGAATATCGCCGCAGAGCCCCCTGTCGTCACGGCTGCCGATGAGGCAAAGCATGAACATTCGCCCTGCCCCTCTCGCGAGGACAACGCCAAACAAGATGAGGACAATCACGTCGCCATCCCCGAAGATACCTCGCAGGTTGACCCGGCCTCGACCGATGTAAAACAAAGGAGAAAAGAGTTGAAGCTCAGGCGGAAGGAAAGGGCCGAGCGGGAGGTGACGGATCCCGTTACTCACCTCCCCGTCACTATCCACGATTTCACAGACGAGGCACTCAAGGAAACTGTCCTGGGTCATGCCGCTTTTAAATCCGAGAAGCGATCTGCGACGGATTTGAGTTTAAAACGTGACTCTGCTGAGCACTGGCAAAGTCAGACTCGACACCTCCAACAAGTTCACGAGAGAATTAACCACAGATTCCCACCTCCCGATTTCGATTTATTGAATCAAAACATTACGGCAATCAACAATCGAGGGCTGACGTTTGGTCTTGCGGGGCTTGCGGTTGTCGTTCTGTCTGCCTTCTTTCTGGGAGCGTTCTCCCATGAACGAAAACAAATAGCGCCTGGCTCCGAAGCTGATAGTGGCAGCGACAAGTTGTGGATGCTCTCTATCCTACTAGTATCCGGCGCTGCCGCAGCAGTGATTGCTGGAGTACGAGACTATACCACTCGCAAAATCAACAACATCTTCCAAGATGAGGTTTGGGACGCTCACCGCCAGCAGCTCGCCAAAGACACCAGCAAGCACGAGACTGAGACAACCATATGGCTCAATTCCGTGTTGGGTGCTGTTTGGCCGCTGATAAACCCAGACCTTTTCCTCAGCCTGTCGGATACTCTCGAAGATGTCATGCAAGCCTCGCTCCCCAAGCTGGTTCGGATGGTGAGCGTCGAGGATATTGGCCAGGGGAGTGAATCTATTCGAATACTGGGCATTCAATGGCTGCCGACGGGGGCCGCTAGCAAGTCTGTAACTGCGAGTGGCAAGCTCACGTCGCCGGACGATTCTGAGGGGAATAACGGCAGCCAAACACCGGCTTTCAAGAAACCCGGCGAACTTGGCGATCCCAAGACCTTGTCAAAGGTTGAAGCTGTCGCCGAGGGAATGGAGGGTGAAGAAGGCGATTTCGTCAATTTGGAAGTGGCGTTTGCATATCGAACTCGGTCCAGCTCGCGAAGCCTCAAGGACAGAACCAAGGACATGCATCTCTACGTGGCATTCTACTTACCTGGAAACATCAAGATACCCGTCTGGGTAGATTTGCTTGGTATTATCGGAACAATGAGGATGCGTCTACAGCTGTGTCCGGATCCGCCATTCTTTTCGCTTTGTACAGTTACCTTCATGGGACAACCAAAAGTCGACGTGCGGTGTGTTCCATTGAGCCGTCGTGGTCTCAATATCATGGATATTCCACTCATTAGCAACTTTGTTCAGAGTGCCATTGATGCCGCTGTGGCCGAGTATGTCGCGCCAAAGAGCCTGACCTTGGACTTGAAGGATATCCTGGCGGGTGATGATTTCAAGAAAGATACGGTCTCGAGTGGAGTTCTAATGATACATATCAAACGCGGATATGATTTCAAGATGGGAGACTCGGCAATACCCCTTATCCGAGAGGCGAGTTCCGATCCTTATGTGTCGGTTGGGTGGGCCAAGTTCGGCAAGGTTCTCTGGAGTACGCGCATTTTGAAATGTGAAATGGAACCTTGCTGGGACGAAACGTGCTTTGTCCTCGTCACCCCGGAGGAGGTGAATATTGACGAGAGACTCCGTGTTCAACTATGGGATTCGGACAGGTTCACGGCGGACGATGATCTGGGACGTATTGAAGTTAGCTTGAAGGAGCTTATGAAAAGCCCGGAATCGAGAGGAAAGACTTGGCATCGAACTGACGGATTCCGTGCTCTCAAGGCCGGCGATAACATGCCTGGAAAGCTGGAGTGGAGCGTGGGCTACTTCCCCAAGGCCCGAATTCAGCAAGGCCAGTTTGACAAGCAAACCCATGATCCCAAAATTCGATCGATGGAACAGCTCAAAGAAAAGGTAGACGAGACTTGCGAGCGAAAACTTCGCGAATTTATGATCAAAGAAGGCATCAAAGTGCGTGATGAGGAAGAATTAGAACAGCAAATTATCCAGGAGATGAAGACACAAACGGATGCCATGATATGTTCGGCGCCTCCACCAGATGACTATCCCAGCGGTTTGTTCAGCATTCAAATCCACAACATCACTGGTCTTGAAGTCGAAAGACTGAACAAGCGTCAGCCTGAAGATTATGACGAAGAGAGTGATGAAGAAGAAGAGGGTGATGGACTGCCCAGCTCTTACTGCACCGTTATCATCAACCACAGCAAGACATTTAAGACGCGAACGAAACCACAAAATGCAAAGCCCTTCTTCAATGCTGGATGCGAGCGTTTCATTAGAGACTGGAGAGATAGCGAGGTATTTGTCTCCGTCCGGGATGCAAGACTTCACGAAGACAACCCCCTTCTAGGGATTGTTCATCTTCCCCTCGCGGAGCTTTTCAAGGACCGCTCCCAAATCATGGGATGGTACCCCTTAAGTGGTGGTGTCGGTCGTGGTCGCATCAGACTATCCATGGTCTGGCGCAGCGTCCGACTCCAAGCTCCCTCTAACCTCTTGGGCTGGCAATATGGCACTGTTGATGTACATCCAATTGCCGTCAGCGAAAATTGCCAGCCCGAGCTGAAGTCGTGTAAACTTAAGCTCAAGACAGACATTAGCATGGGCAAAATGCGACCTATAGGAAGCAGCGGCAAATGGACGTCCAAAAAGGAGCAGGACCTCCATTTGGCCGTCAAGAAGCGCTATAGCAGCTGCATGGCCGTTGAGTTTCGAGACAAGCGCTTCCTGGGGGACAAAGTCTCTGCATTCTGCGTCCTCTGGCTCAAGGATATCCCCGACGAAGAGGAACAAGATCTCGAACTCCCCATCTGGAAGGGTGATTACGAGCGCGCAACAGCGAATTGTTTAGGAGACTGCGGTGAAAAACTGGGCACTCTGAAAGTTAAACTGACTTTCTTGTCCGGAATGGTAAACTAATCCCCTTCTTTTTCTTCTTCTTTGCTGCTTCTCGCGAATAATACCACTAACGTCTTTTTTCCCCTCCATGCAAAGGGCATTGCTCATTCCCGCTGGGCAAGTCGAAATCAACATACCCGCGATGTGGTCGAGGTGATTGACACGGCCCGGGACAATCTAGACCTGGACAAGATTGAAAGAGAAGCAGGTATAGTGGATGAGGAAGCTTCCAGCGACAGCGACAGTTCGTCGGATGAAGTAAAGGAGGAATTGCCAGATGGGAGTGCACAGCATAAGCAGGGTCTGATGGACCAGTTGAGGGATTACAAGCGGCGGGACAAGGCGCTCCATAGGCAGCATCGGGGCTTGATGCAGTGGAAGGTGAGACATGATACTCTCTACCCCCAGGTTGTGAACTCTTTGGTCGTAACAATGCTAATGAGCGTAGGTTCCGAGGACGGCGAGATGGATGAAGCACAAGATAGGAAAGGTGGAAGAGAGCGTGTCTGGGTTCTTTGACCATCATAGCAAGCAGCCGGGTATTGAGACGGAGGTATAAAACGGCTGGGTACACATAGAATACACGGGACAGGTATTTGTATAAAAGGACGAGGGAATAGAGTGTATTTTGGAGAAAGTGTCAAAGACAGCTACAACTTGACGCTATATCAATATAAGCACAGACTTGAGGAATGGAATGACGGGAACCACCGACACCAAACACCAACCAACAGCCATATTGCAACACCGACCCCGACTTCAACAATACTTCTAATTGCGATTCACCATACTTTTTCCTTTAAAAAAAAAGACCCTTAGCCTTCCCAAGTGGAGTCATCCCCAAAGTCCGTCCCCTTCCCTTTGCGATTTTTGGAAATGATGTCAACAGCTTCAGGCTCCCGCGGAGCGATGCCGTTCTCTTCGTCGGCCTCGTCGCGATACCGATCCTCTTCCATAGCAGGGATGGCGGCGTACCCGTCTCTACGGGCCCGGAAGTACTTGAGCCACGGGAAATCGGGGAATGACGTGCGCAGGCGAACATTGCAGTTGGGGCAGCTTGGAGGCACAGCACGCCAGGCGACCCATTGGACGAGGCTGTGAATGGCCAGTCCATGATAGACGGCTTGGAGGGCGAGAAATAGGTGGATTAGGCTTCCATGTCTAGAGTTAGCGCGCTGGGGTAGAACAACAGTTCATTGTAAATGACTTACAAGCTTGCCAGTAGCGGGATTGTAGCATACGCAGCCAACATGCTGAGCCCCGAGGGGCCTTCCGTCGTAATCCAAGTGAACACCAAGACAATCATATAGCCAGACGCTAGGGCTACGTCATAGCAGAACACGGCTACCGGATGGACAATGATATCCCGAAGGGTATACTCACGTGGGGGCTGGTCGGTTCCTTCAACGCTGTGCTCGCCATTTTCGTCATCACTCTTGCGATGGAAACCTAATACAACAGCAGCAGCTACAATAGAAAAGAACTGTGGCAGGAGACCCAAAGCCGGAACGGGATGGTGCTTAAGAATGCCATGGACGAGACACAGAGGAAATGCCGGGATGAAGAGAAGTGCGGCGAGAATGCGCAGAGGGCTAGTGGCTGAGCATGTTGTAGATGCCATGGTGTCTGTCGCCTTGGCTACTGTGCTTTGGTGAGGTTCAAAATGATGAGGTAGGCGCTTGAGGCATGAGAAGACGGTGCTGGATGGCGATTTGATTTATACGGCGAAGTGAGATGAGGGGCAGGTGCTTGAACTCCTTTTTTAATGCGTCGTCGTCGTTGATGAAACTCCTCTCCTTCAGGCAGAGAGAATGGTTATAACACGCCCCCTGCTAGGTGACCACCATGCCAGTAGATACCTACCTAGGTACTTAGGTACGGACATGGGGTAGTTCTTCTAAGTTACGGAGTACGTACATAGTAACTTAGTATGTATGCTGATACTGGTCGGGCCAATAGACGAGCTGGTAGCCCCCATGCGAACGGTGCTGTGCGACACGGTTGAGGGTGCTGGTGTTGGTTGGGGGACGATGTTGGAGACGGGACGCGTAATAATGTACAATGTGTGGGTTGTGTCCTCAAGTCGGTTACGAAATGTTACGAGTTGGACGCAGGAGGAAGGAGTTTTGCAATGGAAGGAGCTAGGCAGAAGCCGTATGGCTCGGGAGAAGGAGACGGCATCTAGGGCAGCGGGCAGGCAGGCAACACGCTGGCGGCATGGAGTGGTGATCATCAGCTCTCTCTACATGAGCTACTTTGATATGGGGCGCTGGGACGTGACAAACATGCCGCATTCGTTCACGAACACCGACATGGGGGCAAGACGAGGCTTCGTCACGATTCTCGGCCCATGGATCCAGGCTCGCGTTACTTGCGGGGTGATGGCGCTGATGCGCTGGCTGGCCTTGTTCGGATGCTTCCTGAATCGACAAAGTGCCTCTCGTCTTTTCGTGCATGGAATAGGATGGAGCATAAAAATTGATTGCCTATAGCGACCCAGCACTTGATAAAGCTGTCGAAAGCGCTTGGGAAGTAAAGCCTAGGAGAAGATGTACTGCTCCGCACAGCGAGAATTGGGTTGGCGGCATTGATGCAGCAGGAAAAGATGCGAGTGAGCAGCCTTGAAGTTGACGTGCATAGCATTAATTAGTCAGTGTTGCTCCGGAATGAACAAAGGAGCGGAATTCATGGCGGTAAAAAACATGCGTGGTCACATGGCCACTTGGACGGAGCACTTGAGGCTGGGGTTTATTAACATCAGGCACAGGGCCCAACCGCGTGCACCCCCGGGCAGCGTGGCGGCTAAAGGTAGCGGCCGACAGCACTCAAGCTGGGCTGTGGCCAGGCACCAGGGCCAGGGGGCCAGGCTTCAATCAAATGTCGACGGGGTCTGGTTCCAATTGACAGGTCGATTAGTTTACATTTGTAACTACCTGCGCCGCCGGTTTTGGCGAAATTTACCCCCAGAAAAGCCCCAGATCAAGCATTTCCAGTCAGTGCTCAGCTGCATTGCAGTCGGTCAGTGTCCAGTGTTGCGCCGTGTTGTGCCAGAAGCCACCACTCCTTTGCAGCCCGCGAACATTGCTTGCCCAAGTCCACGCTCCCTTCTTCTCTTAAGATTTTTTCTTGCCCCTAGATACCAATTGCAATTATTTTCTTCTTCTTCTTGTTTTTCGTTCATTATATTCCCAAGAGGTCTGCGTCGTCTCTGCCCCCTTTTCAATCTACAATCCTCTTACGTGGTCGCAACAACGCTCACGACCGCCCATTCTTCTTCAGTTCTTTGTGGCGACTGGGCATTTTTCACCAACCACCACCATTTGCCGCAAATTTGAGTTTGGAGGCGTTCGGGACAATTTGCTTGTTCCTGAACTTGAGCCCAATACTCCAAATCTCGCGTGCTTGATTGCGACGTTGCACACCCGCAAAAATGGTTGTTTCGCTGCTTCGGTGGTGAGTTTCCCCCTTCCTCGATATAGGATGTGATGAGATGGTCTCACTCTTCCAGCGTTATTGAGCACACCCCGGAGCTGACCTTGGTATCAGGTACAATGCCAGATTGGCTGCTCGCCCCCTGCTCACTCAGAGTGTGACGACGGCCGTGCTATTTGCAACTGGCGACATCACTGCTCAGCAGTTGGTCGAGAAGAAGGGCATCAAGGGCCATGACTTTACCCGTACGGGACGCATGGCGCTGTACGGTGGATGTGAGTTCCCAGTTTATCCTCCATCGACGTGACGCATCCGTCTTTTGCTCGCAAGACCGTCAAACTAATCCAGGGTCCAAGGCGTCTTTGGCCCCGTTGCAACCACCTGGTTTGGATTCCTGGCGCGCAACATCCGCTTCAGAAACCCCAGAGTCGAGACTCTTGCCCGTGTTGCCTGTGACCAGAGCTTGTTCGCTCCCGTCATGATTGGTGTGTTCCTTAGCAGTATGGCCACCATGGAGGGTGCCAGCGCCAAAGAGCGCCTCGAGAAGACCTGGTGGCCGGCCTTGAAGACGAACTGGATGGTGTGGCCGTTTGTTCAGACCATCAACTTTACGTTCCTGCCGCTCCAACACAGAGTCTTGTTTGCCAATATTGTCTCCATCGGCTGGAACAGCTACCTCAGCTGGGTCAACAGCCAGTAGAGCACTGGCTTGAGAATGTTGGGGACCGGGGCGAGGGAATACAGACTGGACGTTTTGGTGTCGAGCTTGTCCACAATGCTGTCTGAACGGCTTCCACCCACATAGTGCTGCATTTGCTTCATTTTGTCGCTTTTATTCTCCCTGTTCTTTTTTCTACCAGCGATTGAGGGCAGAAATTCGTTCTGGATATGGCAGATATATAGAAAGGGACGGGAACAAGGAGTCAGAAATGGTCCGCGGGCTCTTTATTTGCCTTTTTTCTTTCTCTTTCGTCTCTCTACACCATCTAGACCGCGTATAGACTATATATATTTTGTCTTCATAACAGAGCATGTGGGGGACGCTCTCTCCAGCACCACGAGACGAAGCTCCATTTGGCCCCTTCTGTGTAATTCTTGCCGTATGATTCTGTCACGAATACGGGCAGTGGTCTCACTATATTCCTTGGCGAAACAGATATCTGTTTGTTGACTGGACTGCGTGAGTTGTTAGTGTCTTGGGGCCCAGGGGTAACCGACTTCTGGGACCAGATTTGCAGACAAAAAGCACGTCATGCGGACATATCAGTGGCTATGATGCACAGCAAATAAGTCTGGTGGGTAGCACTACACCGTAACTACATATGTACATATGGTCTGCAGTTGAATCTGGCCAAGGAGTCAATTCGTTGTGGAATACTGTCGAGAAAGACTTAACGAGTACGTTCTCTCTCGCGTTGCAATACAATGCAGCATCATAGTGGGCTTTTTTTAATTTATCAGTGTGCTATGACCTCCTTGCTAGTGCTTGATGAGCATCGAAGGACATCTGGAACGACGAAGCCGATATCGACCAAGCGTGTCAATCATTCATGAGTGGGGCCTAGCACCTGGCCTGTTGTGTTGGAGTCGGGGAGCGGTCAGGTGGCAGCCGCAGCCAGACCGGTCAATTGATCACACCAATTCCATCCGTTATCGCTGCCTAAGGCCGCCCACTCTGCCCGGGCCTCGCGAGTGTTTTACCGGCCGACGGCCAGCGGCTGGCTTTGATACACACCTCAAATCGACATCACCAGGAACTCAACCCTGACGCCCAAGGGCATCAAACCCCTCCTCTCCTCGATTTTTTCCCTCATAACACCTGGTTACGGCCATGTTTCCCTCATCGGTCCGGCGCGTCGTCTCCTCCGCTCCTCAGACGGGGCTGGCCTCGTCGCTGGCTTCAACTGCTCGAGCTGCCGCCACCACGGTTCCGGTCTTTGTTCGCGGCCATCAACGCCGCTACTCGTCCTCCAAACCCTCGAAATCCGATAATGGCTCGAGCGATATCTCTACTGGCCAGTCTGTTGCGGCCTCTGGCACCTCACGAAACGAAGGCAAGACGAACACCGAGAAAAGGAAACGAAAGAGCAAGGTTGCCTCCGAAAAGGGTGCCTCGTTCAAAAAACTCCCAAGTGTCCCTAGCACTCACCACATCTCCCAAGAAGGTAAGAGTATTTGGCAAGAGTCTGGTTTCTCCAGTGGTATTTTACTGACGCTTGACCTGCAGCTCTTGGCTTATCGAGCTTCTTTTCGCTACATCGCCCCATTTCTATTACTCAGACCATGCCGCGAGCCGTAACCGACGAGCATTTTGCCTCCATTTTCACCCCCCGAACAAAGGCAAACAGAACGTCTGACACCATGTCCACGATATCTAATACTATCGACCAGTTAGAGGGTCCCGTGGCGCAGTTGACGATTGGTGGTCATGAGGACCAAGGAATGGGCAATGGCCTTCACAAGCTTGAAGTCCGAAACCCAGATGGCAGCGAGTCGAGCGTGTACCTCCAGGTTGATACCATGTCTGGCGACTTCTTGCCGTTCTGCCCCCCACCTCTGCCCCAGGCTGAGTCTGCTGCTGAGGGAGAGGGCCTTACCGCCGAAGCCGAAGCTGTGGAAGAAGAACCGCATCACCGCGTCTACAAGGCCATGTTCACTATTGAGGAGTCTACTGAACCCGACGGTCAGATTCGAATTGTCGCGCACAGCCCTCGCATTGTCAATGATGCGCAACCGCGCACCTTTTTGGCACGCATGGCCCAGCGACAACTCCGAGCCGACGGAGTCCGGGGGCGTCGTGATATGTACGCCATAAGTGTCAAGAGGCAACGAAAGCTCAAGATGAAGAAGAAGAAGTATAAGAAGCTCATGAAGCGCACTCGAAATCTCCGCCGAAAGTTGGATAGGACGTAGGCGCTTTCATGCTGTATATAGTCACGGGTCTGACCCTTCTTTTCTTTTTTCTTGTCCGTGTTGCATTTAATGGGTGGGTCGTTGGAGGTGTCTGGCATAGCAGTTGATGGTTTTGTCAACTAGGTTTGGGCATTTGCGCATTATCGACATTTCTTCTGTGATAGACACTGCGCAGGTAGCAATAATGATTTGCATTTGCGCATCCTTCATGCTTGCCACGGCCCTTGTCAGAACCGAGAGAACGCGCCTGCCTGTTCGGTGATTCGGCCGCCGCTTGTAGACGGCCTTGCCCGAAGTGTATTTCCTGTTGTATTACTAGAGCCTACAAATCTTAGATACGAAATGTCCAATATGAGGTCAACGTTAGCTCCCAAACCTTGCCACTGGTGCGACATGTAAAATAGAGCGGCATGAGTTGGGAGGTGGGCCACCAGTCTTCTTCGCCTCACCGCCTTTGGCAGAATGCACGCTGCCGCCCAAACTTTTGGAATTTTAAACATGGTCCCGCTACTCGTTGGCAGAGGAAAGAAGTCGTGTGCACTTTTCACTCACATTCCACGGCCCTGGCTGAATTAGTCAAGATGGAGGCTAAGCAGGAGCGCAAGCAATTGTATGTGCCTTGACTATGGACGCTGTACATATCGAAATTGTTGCTAACCCAAATTTGTAGGGATTCGCGCATCAAGGCGCTGATTAGCAATGGCATGCAGGAAAAGAAGAGAAGTTTCTTCGTTGTGGTTGGCGATCGCTCGAAAGACACGATTGTCTATCTGCACCATATCATGACGAATGCCAATATTAAACATAACAAGTCTGTTCTGTGGGCTTATAAGAACAAGCTTCTTGGGTTTACTAGGTACGAGAATCTGCTGGGTCAGTTCTTTCAATTGAACGTCTTTGCTCACAGAATCTTGCAATGATATAGCCACCGAAAGAAGCGCGAGCAGAAAATAAAGAAGGAAATCAAGCGAGGTATTCGAGAAGTCAATGACAGCGACCCATTCGAACTCTTCGTTTCGCTCCACAATATCAGATACACCTACTATAAAGAGACGGACAAGATCCTTGGTCAAACTTTTGGTATGTGTATTTTGCAGGACTTTGAGGCTTTGACACCAAATATTCTGGCCAAGACGATTGAGACAGTCGAGGGCGGCGGTCTGGTGATTATGCTGCTTAAGGGAATGAACAGTTTGCGACAACTGTACAACTTGTCCATGGACGTCCACTCCAGATATCGAACGGAGGCCCACGACGACGTGGTTGCTCGATTCAACGAACGATTTTTGCTCTCGCTCGGGCGTTGCGAATCTTGTTTGGTTATAGATGACGAAATGAACGTTTTGCCCATTTCTGGCGGCAAGGACGTTACGGCTCTGCCTCCCCCAGACTTGGATGACACCAAGACTGAGCAGCAGATTGAGCTGGAACATATCAAGGATGAGAATGAGGAGAAGCAGCCCGTGGGCAGTTTGATCAAGCTTGCCAGGACTGTTGACCAGGCCAAGGCATTGCTGACCTTTACCGAGGCCATTGCCGAGAAGACGCTACGAAGTACCGTCACCCTAACTGCGGCAAGAGGTCGTGGAAAGTCAGCGGCAATGGGTGTAGCTGTGGCTGCCGCTGTTGCCTACGGCTACAGTAATATTTTCATCACGTCTCCTTCGCCAGAGAACCTGAAGACCTTGTTCGAATTTGTCTTCAAGGGTTTCGATGCCTTGGGCTATGCGGACCACGCAGACTACTCGATCATCCAATCCACAAACCCTGATTTCAACAAGGCCATCGTTCGTGTCAACATCCACAGACAACACCGACAGACTATTCAGTACATTCGGCCCCAGGATGCTCACGTTCTCGGACAGGCTGAGCTGGTAGTTATTGACGAAGCGGCTGCGATTCCCTTGCCCCTGGTGAAGAAGCTCATGGGACCCTATTTGGTGTTTATGGCATCTACTATTAATGGTTACGAAGGCACTGGTCGATCTTTGTCGCTGAAGCTCATCAAGCAATTAAGAGATCAGTCTCGGCTTGGAGCTGCGACGAATGGGGAGACTGAGATTGCAGACCGCTCTACTGGCAAGGCTTCCAAGACTGAGGACTTCCAGACCACTAGAAAACTTCGCGAGATTACTCTTGCTGAGCCTATCAGATATGCCAAGGGCGATTCTGTCGAAAAATGGCTGAATAAGCTGCTATGCCTCGACGCCACGCTACCCAAGATGAAATCCAATATCCAGGGCTACCCTGATCCCAATCTGTGTGAGCTTCTGGTTGTCAACAGAGACACTCTCTTCTCCTTTCACCCAGTCTCAGAGGCATTCTTGCAACAAATGGTTGCTCTCTATGTTGCCAGTCACTACAAAAACTCACCTGATGATTTACAACTGATGAGTGACGCTCCGGCACACGAGCTTTTTGTCTTGGTGCCCCCTAATGTCGAATCCACTGGAAAGTTGCCTGAACCATTGTGTGTGATTCAGGTAGCGTTAGAAGGCAAGATTAGTAGACAGAGTGTGCTGAACAGCTTGAGCCGAGGCCAACGTCCTCATGGTGATTTGATTCCCTGGCTCGTTAGCCAACAGTTCCAGGACGAGGATTTCGCGTCTCTCTCTGGAGCCCGCGTCGTTCGTATTGCGACGAACCCCGAGTACGTCTCCAAGGGCTACGGTACAAAGGCATTGGAGCTCCTCGTAGACTACTATGAGGGACGCTTTGCCAGCATCTCGGAGGACGACGACCAAATCATGGATGAGAAGATCCATAGGGCTACCGATGCGGAACTGGCCAAGAGCTCTCTGCAATCCGAGGTAATTGCTGTCCGGGATCAGTCACAGATGCCTCCCTTGTTCGCCAAGCTCCGTGAGAAGCGGCCTGAAGCCCTTGACTACATCGGTGTCAGCTACGGCTTGACAAAAGCCCTCCACAAGTTCTGGAAGCGATCTTCGTTTTCTCCCGTGTATCTGCGACAGACTGCGAACGACCTCACTGGCGAGCACACTTGCGTGATGTTGCGACCTCTTGAGAACAGCAATGATCGAAGCTGGCTTGGAGCTTTCTCAAGAGATTTCCACAAAAGATTCCTATCACTGCTCTCGTATAACTTCCGCACCTTTGATACCCAGATTGCGCTCAGCTTGGACGAGTCCGCCAATATGGGGGCCAAGTTGGACTCTATCGAAGCCGAAGCCTTGGTCAAGGCTGATCTGGACAGACAGTTCTCGCCATTCGATCTGAAGCGTCTGGAGTCTTACGCGAACAGCATGCTTGACTACCACGTCATTCTGGACATGATGCCCATAATCGCCACACTGTACTTCACTGGGAGGTTGAAAAAGAGCATCAGCTTATCCAGTGTCCAGCAGTGCATTTTGCTGGGCATAGGCCTGCAGCATAAGAATACCGAGACACTTGCTCAGGAGCTAAACAACATGCCTTCTTCACAGCTTTTGGCCATGTTTATCAAAATCCTCCGCAAGGTGACGTCGCATTTCGGTACCTTGGTCTCAAGCTCGGCCGAGGCCGAGCTGCCCAGGGCCAGTAATCTGGGCGTCACTAGAGAAAATGCCAGCAGCGCCCACGACGACGAGATTGTTGATGACCGCTTCGTACCTTTGACCACGTCGCTTGATGATGAATTGGAGGAAGGCGGTGATGAGGCACTAAAAGCTTTGAGGCAAAAGCAGAGAGAGCTGATCGACTCTCTGCCGCTCGACCAGTAAGAAGCTGCACCCGGTTGTTATAATTCATATGAGTTCCTCAACTAATACGAGACCGTGATTAGGTACGCAATTGAGGGTGACGCACCCGCATGGGCAGATGCCGAAAAGCAAGTCAGGAACGCGAGCAAAGACGGCAAAACCAATCCCGTCGTGAGCGTCAAGTCAAAGCAGAAGCGCAAGGCAGGCCAGACGGCGGCCGAAGTGTACGAGGAGGTCCTGGGCGAAAAGGCGAGCAAAAAAGCCAAGAAGGGCAAGAAGTCCCATTAGAACGAGGTTGAGCATTGTACATATCGCATTGGCGCATGGGGAACTAAAATTGGGGCTAGATTTTATTCTATTTTATTTTTTATTTTACACGCAGCCGAAATAAAGACACGTTGGAATAAGAAGGAACGCAAAAGCATCCCCAAGGCGCATAAGTGAGCTGAGCATGAAAAGCAACTGCACATGTGGTGATGGCGGGTTTATATGGGCCGCGCGCGCTTATTATGTCAGCGTAGCAGCAACTGCAAATACGGCCGATAAAAACGTCAGATATAGATGCGATTTCAAATCCTGGGACTAAGCAGATCCGCCCATTTGTCATGGGGGTGTGCATGACGAAGCCCAAAGCTTAAACAAAGCCACCATGATGAAAATAGTATGTGCCGGACACATAAATGAGGCTAGCGGCGCACATTGAAGGAACCAGATCGCATCGCCCAATACTCTCGCGCCGCCACCACCACAACACCGCATCACCAAACTGTCATAGCCAAACGGAGCCATGGCCAAGCCGATCCTCATCTCAGGCGGCGGACTGGCGTCGCTGCTCCTCGGGCGCTCCCTCCTCCGGTCCAACATCCCCTTCCAAATCTTTGAGCGCGACAGCTCCCTGTCGTTCCGCGCCCAGGGCTACCGGCTGCGGCTGTCAAGCGAGGGCCTGGACGCGATCGAATCCGTGCTGACGCCCGAGGCCTTCCAGAAGTTCTGGGACGCCTGCGGGAAGACGGGCGGCGGCGGCTTCGCGGAGCTGGACCCCAAGACGGGTGAGGTTGTGCCCGCCGACGGCACGGCACACACGCGGCCTGCCGCCAACGAGGCCGCCGACAAGGCCGAGCAGAAGATCAAGGAGACGCTGCACTCGCGCGACGGCAAGGTCGTGGGCATTGCGCGCGGCGACATGCGGCGGCTGTTCCTCGAGGGCTGCGAGCCCTACATCAAGTGGTCGCACGCCGTGACGGGGTACGAGCTCACCGGCTCCGGGGTGAGGGCCGTCTTCGCCGACGGCACCAAGTCGGACGAGGGCGCCATGCTCATCGGCGGCGAGGGCATCCACTCCAAGGTCGCGAAGCAGCTGTCGGGCGGCAGGCTCAAGGTGTACGACACGGGGGCGCGCGGCATCCACGGCCAGGCGCCGACGACGGCCTTCAAGCAGCTCGGCGAGGGCGTGTGGCGCGTCGTCGACAAGACCCGGCCCGGCGGGCGCGTCTTCGTCATCACCAACGTGCGCGCCGGCGACATGGACGACCCGGACGTGAGCTTTGGCTGGACCATGGGCGCGCAGCCGGGCGTCATCGCCGCCCCCAACGACGACTACTCGCTCATCGGCGAGCCCGCCGCCCGCATCGCCCGCGAGCTCACGCGCGACTGGCACCCCCGGCTGAGGCCGCTGTTTGACCAGATGCAGGATTCCGAGGCCGCCTTTTGGAAAATCACATGCTCCACGCCCTCTGGCGTGCCCGAGTGGAGGAACGAGCCGCGCGTGACGGTGATAGGCGACGCCGTCCACTCCATGACGCCGGCCGGGGGCATTGGTGCCAATACCGCCGTCAGGGACTCGGCGCTGCTGGGGAGGCTGCTCGGCGAGGCTGGCGGGTATAGGGAGGGCTTGACGGACGAGTATGAGCGCGAGATGAGGGTATACGGGAGTGAGGCCGTGGCAACGAGTTATGGCTTGGCGACGGCCCAGTTTGGCGTCACGATTGATGAGAATTCAAAGACCTTGTAACGGACTAGACGGTGCCCGGTTTGATAGGTGAATAAAAAAAGCATGACTATATACTTGCCGGCGTGGCTTGTCCCCGCGATACGACGAGTTGCGGTTTGAAGTTGGCTTGATGCGAATCTGTGTGTTGACCAACTGCATTTGTAACGATTTGTGATGCATACTACGACTTTAAGGGCCATCCATGCGAGATGTGTAATTTGAATAGGCCTCATTTACACCCTTTTGGATGAGCCGCCTGTTTATTCAATGGGCCCTGTAGATCCCCCGGACATGCCTATGCAGACATGACAATGCTGCGCGAGACAGTTTGGAATCAACTTCCTTCCCTAGTTCTTGTAGGCAACAAAGGACTCATCCATCATTGTCTCCAGGCAGCGTGTTTTACTACCGGCAAAGATCAGCGACTAGTCACGAAAAGAGAAATTTTTTTTTTCATTATAACGGTGTTTCTGGTTGGCTCCAGAGCTGACTGGTCGGATTGAAAGCCCTTTGTCTGCCAGACTTGCGGCTGTTGGTTCGAAATGTCTTACCTGTGACCCTGTTGGTTCGCAATATCTCACCAATGATGTCGTACTGTCGGATACTTTTTTGTCTCTCTCTTGGAAATGCACGGCTTATTTTGATATATCAAACAATGGGAAACGCACCGTGCAGCATTCAGCTCATGTAGGCCTGTGCTCATAGCAAATTGACCGAGTGAGCCAGGTACAAGCTTGTCATATTGCTACGACTAGACAGAGACATGAGTCCTTTTAGTATCTGTGTATAAAGAGTGCGCATGGCATCCAGCCCAATGTTTGTCTGCGCGCAAATCGCCGACGTTTCGCAATACTGCCTCAGTGTCTATAGTCGTTCTTGTGTCCATGGGCAGGTCACTTCGATTCAATATTTCAACATGTTCCATCCACTCCTCGTTCTTCTCAGCACAGCTGCCCTGTTGCAGGTTGGCCTCGCTACTCCCCTTAGCGTTCGCGACGTAGCCGCGGAGCCTGGAAACGTTACTTCGGACTCCCGTAAGTATCAGATTCCTGGCAGACATAGCGAGGCAAGCCCGCTGAGATTTGTAGTTGAAGACGCAGAGGCAGGACGTAACTGCTTTTGCACCATGGAGTATGCGCCAGTCTGTGCTGGCAACAAAGTGTACTCCAACAAGTGCAAGGCCATGTGCGCTGGAGAGACGGAACATTCGCTTGGAGGGTGTAATCAGAGTTCATAATATCACGGTTGGGTTCCACGGACGGCTTCAGTTATGGGGGAGCCCAGTAGAAAGCATTCGTTACGGAGCATGAGAGTTATCAAGTCCAGCGGCAGATGAAATCTGTCATGTTGGGGATGTCGACGGGGATTGTACCAGACAAGTCAAGTTGTTCAACAGTGGTGCCGGACGTTGGCGCTTTCGGAGGCTGGGTCAATACATTGGTATTCGAGTGCCCAAAGCTGGTGATGTGCCTTCAATGTTGTTGACGGATGGTGTAAACGCCAAGTATCCCCTTGTTCGCCAAGGTTGATCCGTCGGCAAAAGTCAGACAAATCCTGGAACCCCATAAATGGGTTCATCTGAAGAACAACTTGGGACGAAGAGCAGTGCGTACGTTTGCCCCTTTTTGAATCAAGAATCTGAAAGCCATTGATGGAAGTCGAGAGGACTCAGCATTTCGATGGGGGGTCACAAGAAACAGACAGCAAGGTTTTGAGGCTTAGATGGGGGTTCCGCACCTGACTGTGGTCTTATGAATTTCTTCAATTGAAAGGGATGACGGTTAAGTTGGGGGTCAAATTGCACATTGCGGCGAGTTGTCTTGGCGGGGCCCGCGGGGGAAGGTGCGAGGTGGAGCACGTGCTTGAACCAAGAAAATCGACTGTAGGACGCTTCCTCACCTGTCCATCATTAGCTTGTCTGACCCAAAAGCACATGGATGTGATATTGCACAGCTGCGAGCAGAATCACTGGTGACCTTTTGGCTTGACGTTTTTGCAAAAAGCCGTCCTGGTAAACAACAGACATCGTATGGCACCCATGGAGTCAGTCAATAACGTCTGGTAGGTTTCGACGTTCCCAAATCTCAACAAATCGGCCCTAATTATTGTGCCATTCAAGGGGTAGGGTCTGCGCAACCAAGGAGAAGAATCTTGGTTATCATGATGAATTTTGCTTTGGCTTTTGGAAAGGAGCCGACCTTTTCTTATAGGCAACAACGACGGCGTTTGCCGGGACCGTCGAGGAAGAATTGAACCAAGAATTCTGGCAGGGGCCGTACTGGTGCAAGGATTGCAACGACTTCTGCAGCTTCTAGCTCAGTATAAGCATAATCAGTAGGCTCTGTTGTGAAAGCTAAACGCTGTGTTACGATCAAGAGCCTCTCTTGAACAGGTCTACAAAATTGGCAACCTAGCAGCTCAGAATACAGCTGCTGTCGGCACCTCACTGCCCCGATGTCCACGTACCTGGGCGAGACATTGTTCCCAACGAATTCGGGGATGAAAGTGAAACCAGAATGGGCATCCGCAATGAAGATGGCTTCGAATGAGTGAAGGGGGATTTCCCCAGCCTTATGTGCACCATGCTCAAGGAGCTCCTCTATCGTTCCGACTATGGCCGTGCTTGTATCAGTGTTGAAGCCTCCGATCAAGTAATGCACTTATCAATAACCTCAAATGGATCAGTGCGAGATATGATGTCAATTATGTATCCAGGAATTCCACGAGTAAGCCGTCTCTTTCAACTCACATTCAGTTGTTCTCGCCCACGAACTAACACTCCAGTCGACACCGGTTTTGCAACCAAATGCTCCAGTGTGCACTAAACAATCTCATCGCCTCTGGGTCCCAGATCGCTAATTACGACATACTTGTACGCGGCAGGGACTGCGGTTTGTGTTTTAAGACCGAGGCCGAAGCCGTCCTGCAGTATACTACCTAGACACCTGAGCCTTCCGATACAGTACGCCCTGTCCGTCGCACTATTGCCCAGGTTGTCGAGGGCCGTTGCACACTACTTTTACAAATGCCATTGTGTTCGGATTACAAGCCTCTTCTACAGCTTCGTCGCAAGAAATGACGCCGCAGACCTGGGCCGTGAGCCTGCAAGCCGCAGTCCCAAATATTGCGAAGTACACAGCTGTCTAACCTAGTGATAGAACAGTAGTAGATGGGCACTGGTTTTTGTAACACTAATGCAGTGTCTTGATCTCAGAAGCACTGTAAAGACAGCCTACAAGGGATGCGAATCGACAAAACGAATAAGAGCAAGTTTAGGCAAACTCGTGCGCTGATCCTGGAGCGCATGAGTTGGTGAAGTTGTTGGTTGCTGCCGTGAAACGTGGTCACATAACTAGGATTTTTGCGTTGGTTGATATTGAAACCGTTTGACTGACCATGGCAATCGTGACACCTTAGGAAATACGAAGCCAATCCTGAAAGACTGAAAGAACAACAACTGAGTATCGATATACAATTGTCTCAGCAGTCAGCAATACAAACTTGTGCTATGATCAATTGTTAATCAATTTCATATCATAACGCCTAGTTTGCTATGCAAAATAAAGCCACTGGTTATTATTCTTCCGTCAAACATAACATCTAGATTCCTCTTCACATCTTTGATCCTTGTGTACTTCACATGCTCTCGGCAGATGAATATTGGTCTATACAGAGGCACTGACTTTGGTCTCCAATTCTACCAACTCCTGGAACTCGGCAACTTGAGCTTTGAGGGCCTTGCCCTCAAGAACAGCGCATGGCTTTCGGGGCAGTCCCCCATAGCCGTAATAACTCTCTAGAGCAACCTTGACAGAAATAAACCCCCCCTTAATGGCTGCCCAGTCACCACGGGCAACAATACCCTGAATCGTAACGGCTTTCTCAACCTCGCTATTCTTCCAGAGGCGAACAACCTCGTTGCAAGATACAGGAGAAATATTGGCCAGTCCAGCAATGACACCATGGCCACCTACCGATAGTGTCTGAATGATGAAATCGGCACTTCCGCCGTACGTTCTGAAAGATGTGCCTTGAGTACCGGCTACAACACGAGCAAGCTTGCCAGTGTTGCCGCAAGTCAGCTTAACACCAACGATATTAGGATGTTTGGCGAGGGTGAGAATCGTATCAGAACTGAGATCCAGTCCACCGCAAGGGGCGGGGAAGTTATAAATAAGAAGCGGGACCGGACTTGCGTCTGCCACCGCGCGAAAGTGTTCGATAATTAAATCCGTGTTCAACAAACCGCCGTAGTAGGAAGGCGGGAGGATAAGGGCATGGGTGCCACCGGATTCGCCAGCGTCTCGGCACAGCTGGATGGTCTCTCGAGTTGACTGCGCACCGCAACCCACGATAATTGGGAGATGTGCCTTGCCAACCTCTTCTAGGGCAGTTCGTGTGAGGCGTGTAATAAGTTTGCGCTCAGCGTGATCGAGGTGAACTGCCTCGCCGTTGGAGCCATGAGTTACAAGGCCCGCGACCCCAGCGCGAGCAAGGCGTTTGGCGTGGTTCTTGGTCGTCTCCTCATCAACGCTGTCGTCCGAGGCGAAGAAGGCTACGGTAGGAACGAAGATGCCAGGTTCCAAAGTGGCGGGAGAACCAGTGACATTGTTGTGGTAGCCATTCGATTGGGGGGCGGCTGAGGATGATGCAGTCATTGCGACAGTTCTGAGTTATTCTGAGTCGATGACGAAGGGGGCAGTTTTAGGGAGATGGATGAAGCTGGAAAGGCCTTGGCACCAGTATCTACTTATCCAGGTGCGCGGAGGAGGGCAGAGGATTCAAATGTTGAGGAAACAGTAAGATTGAAGGCTATGAGAGGTGGGAGGTAAGTCATGAAGTATGCTTGAGTTTTGAACATGAAGTCTAAAAGGAAAGGGTGCGGGTACCTAGGTAGTTATAAAGATGTTTGGTGGGCTTGAGGAAGGAGCCATCCATTCACATTGGCAGTGTAGAGCTGGGCCATGCCTCATCCACTCCACACAGATTAAAACCTTCCATCCATGTGCAGGCGTCGAGATTGTCTTCGACGGCCCCCCCATGGGTCCTTGGACTATGAGCCTTTGCACCATTTGCGATTCAAAGCAGCAAACCACTTGCCCCCCACGATACGGTGGACGAAGCGGGTTCTTCAAGGGCGGGATGCGTTGCCACTGGCTGGCTTGGCCACTTCCAGGGCTCCCCCACGAAACACCCGTATGAGCCGGGACCAATGGGTTGTTTGCCCACAGATCCACGATTTGTCCACTCAGATCCACAGCGCTGATGGCGGCAACAAGGAACGGTAAGTACTAGTACTAGCAAGACGTCCTCAGGGATGCGCACGCCTCACAGGCTTACCGAGCAACAGGTATCGATAGCTTGCCATTGGGGAAACGAGCGAGTAGCCGACAGAAGAACAAAAATGAATAAAACCAACGAGAGACACCCTGTGTATGCTGACGATAGTGAGAAGGGCCCAAAGGAGACCAAGAACTGTCCGTGTCCGGCCTGCACTAGCTGTAGCTGAGGATCGATCTGTCGAGGCATTGCTGCATTCATGATCGTCATGTTCACATCTAGCCAAGTCGAAATTTCGGGAGGTGGTGATGGCGCGTTAGCAGAAGCGAGTCGTCCAGATTATCATGATGCCTCTCAATAACGGAACATTTCAGCCGTCACAGTAGCATGCAGTTCCGAGCCAAGGCTAGTTGTCTTGTCTAAAATGGATTCCTGGTACGTAATCGCCGTCTTCTGGACATGTGCCGTACCGGGAAGTGTTCGTCAGACCATTGCCTTCCCATCTCCGTAACTGCGGCAATGACCGTGCTCCCCTTGGGCCCCCCTCCTTGCCTATGTAGTACTTAAAGTTGGTGCGCGCCGGAAAAAAGGGCATCTTGAATCGTCTTCGTCAACAGTTGTTGATTGGTTATCGTCCACGCTAGCAGAGCAGCCCTCTTAGGCTTGACGCCCATTCATGGTTCCCGTGCATCACCACGTCTCCATCAATTGCTGAAGCATTTGAGGGATAGCTCGATCGTCAGTACTTTATTTTGACACAAGTTTTTGGCCCGACGAACCGGAACGGATGCAGGCACAGGCGTGCATCGACTAAAAGAGTACATATGTATGCCTTGTTGGTCGTACCAGGGATGTTAACCCCACACACCTCATGGGCAATGCTTCAGCACCGAGGGATAATGAAAATTATGTACGGTGATTGGTGAGGCCGGGCGGACCAGAATAAACAGACTGGATGGCTGAGTTACGAACGCACAGCTAGAGCTGCCCACAAATTCCACCCAGGACAGACACTCTGTGCCTTCACGACAAAGAGCGATTCAGATGGCGGCTTTCTAACCTACCACACACACTGAGGCGGTATGCCCATACAAGCGACGACATTTCGACGTGTTTTGGCTCAATGTGGCCGCCAGGTTGTTGTCAGGAAGTAGACTCATTGGGAAGAGATTAGAATGAGGTATAAATTCACATCATCTACCATCTTCCCGCCAATTCTGACATTCATTTCGCCATGATTCCCCAACTTTGTTGTAACTGGAACGTCAATTGTGTTTTGTGGTTGGGTATTGTTAGGCCCTGGACAATTGACTTGTTGAGTACCAGACCCGGACCCTGGTCCATCGGAACATTGAACACCCCAGTCCTCGTCTGCATGATTTGTCTGGGGTCCCTTGGCCATCATTCCGTACCATCAGGCATCTGTTTGTCTGTCACGCCACGGCCCGACCGTGACAGACTGTCGCGACAGCTTATGATACCGCAATCGACCATCAAGGCCAGGTCCGAAGACCATGAAGCTCATCAATGTCGAATCAGGTCTCCTGGAGGAATTCGTTGGTGCGATACCGCATTACGCCATACTTTCGCACACGTGGGGAGAAGATGAGGTCATATTCCAGGACTTTGTGCATTCGAGTCAAGAGGCAAGGCGTCAAAAGAAGGGGTTTGCGAAAATCCTCAAAACCTGTGAACTGGCCAAAAGATCGGGTCTGAAATATGCTTGGGTCGACACTTGTTGCATAGACAAGTCTAGCAGCGCGGAGCTAAGCGAAGCTATCAACTCCATGTTTCGTTGGTATCGCGGAGCCACTGTTTGCTATGCTTGGCTTACCGACTTACTCCCCGACAGCTCATTAGAGCCTGATACTGAGGCGTTGAGGGGCTGCCGGTGGTTTAAACGTGGATGGACTCTACAGGAGCTGATTGCGCCTCGAGCAGTAGAGTTTTACGATGCAAATTGGAACTTTCGTGGCTCGAAATCTGGTTTGAAATATCTTTTAACAGATATCACAAAGGTACCCGGCAATGTGCTCGAATCGCCCGAATCACTCTACACATTGTCGGTAGCGCGTCGGATGTCTTGGGTGTCTGAGCGCAGAACAACTCGGATTGAAGACATGGCCTACTGCTTACTGGGAATTTTCGACGTCAGCATGCCACTGCTGTATGGAGAAGGCGACCGTGCATTTTTAAGACTACAGGAAGAAATCTCAAACTCCACCAATGACCTTAGCATTTTTGCATGGAGAAAGTCGCTTCCCGAACAGATTTATTATGGCGTGTATGCCACCAGCCCAGCCGATTTCCGTGAGTCAGGAACGGTCGAATTAGTTAGTAGCACCATGTTTATGCCCGAGTTTTTGAGAAGCAATAAGGGTCTCCGAATCCATACCAGCATTTTCCATGGATCTCAGCAGGCCTACCTTCTCAAGTTGCAGTGTGTTGAGACGAGTGGCAATGAAAGCAAGCAAATCGGCATATGGATCAAACCTCACGGTGGTGGGCTTTACAGTCGTATACGAGCAGGCGAGTTTGGGGCCGAATCAGCAGAGGACACCTCGAGCGTGCAGTTACTCTTTCTATTCAGACACATCAGCCCTTCTCGGTCACGCGAACTCCAAGGAAGCCACAGCAACGCACTGATGATTCGCAAGGGAATCAACACCAAAACGCGGACCACCGACGGGAGTTTCCCCTTTGAGGTGACGATGTGGCTGCCTCAAGACGAATGGGATTCGCAGCGGAGCATGTTTATGAATGACGGAGCGGCCGAATTCGCCGCCTACGGCTACTTCAATTGGCGACAAGACGTTGAGCCTACCGATGACATGCACAAGGGACACAGCTTCATGCTCATTCTGGGGAAAATGGCAGACGAGTCGGAACCATGGATAAGCCTGGCGTCATTAGAAGACACTACCAAGAACCTGACGGTGCACATGGGAGATGCGACCAAAATGGTTGCTGCTTCGCGAAAATTCGAGCAGGAACGTATGTTGGTGCTAAGAGATATATGGAGGAACGCGTGTAAAGCTGTCTATGTGTCCCTCGAGAAGACAAGAGTTGATGGGGAAGAGGTTTATTGTATCGATTTGACATATGACAATGCACCGGAGGAGGCGAAGAAGGATAATACGCATGTGCCCAAGGAGACAAAGTTGGCAGCACGACAAGCAAGAACGACATAGGCGGCTCGTGTATCGAATGGCGCCATATAATGGAGGCAATTTGTGGTAATAGCTGAAATTGAAACCTGGGAACCAATCCTGCTGGTGGCCGGTTCGACTCGGAACCAAGTATACGCAGCGTGGGTGGTTATTCCGCGTCGACTGGAACCATCCTCTAGCTCACACTTTCAGTCTTCTCGAAACCGTCGACAAGAGTCTTGGCGGAAATGACCTTCAAATGTACTTGCTTGCTCTTTTCGAAGCCTTTTGTGCTCTTTCCAGGCCCCCCCCCAGAAACTGGCTCTGAGTTGTGGATCACGGCCGTTGAATCCCAATAAGTGAGTAAACGCATCGCATTTGTATCCTATTCCTCTGCACACTATTCGCTTTGCTCGGCTTGTGATGACGCTTTTACCTGCTGGCTCGTACTCCTTCGAAATGACGGTGTCCCCGTCAACAAATACATTTGCTCAGATAAAGACAAGTGAATGGGTTTATGAAAGTTCCTGATGATCCCCATTCGATACGCTCCGAAAAGCTCGACCCTACACTCGTCCACCGTGGTTGCTAGGTCCCCAAATTGACCAGCCCGAGTCTGGCCTGGCTTGTATTTACCAGCTGGCAATTGGCTTTCAAATATTGGGATTAGTTGGCGGGTTATTGACATGTAAGTTGAACCCTCCTTTGATGCTCTCAATCATCCATCCAGCGCTACGTTTGATAATTTCGTATTTTGCGGGGAAGAAGGTGGCCTCAGTGTGACTAGCAGCTAATACAATTTGAATCAAGTACAATCGCTTTTGTTCCTAGTATCTATGCGCGGGAACTACGTAAAATAAGACTAACGACGACAATCTTCCCGACGGCCCCAACCGTGTCGCAAAGCCAATTTCCGCTTGATTCGACCTTGCGTACCGAAGGCAACTAATGCTGGAATCGTAAACGATGTCTCATACTGGGTGAGAGCGGCAGCGTACACTATGCAGAGTAAAAGCGTAAACATGGCCTAAAACCGCCCTCTAATGGTCCACATCTTTTGACCCATGGCGATCATGTTCAAGGCGCCATCAACCAAGTCGCACAAGGTTTCCACACATTCTCCATGTCGAGGATAAGCTTGGACTTTTTCCTTGCCGACTCGTCGATACTCATCGGCAAAGATGTTCCACAAGGTGCTATCCGGCCGAGGGCAATAAGGGCTATTGCGCCAAAAGGCCCTCGCGATCGATATTAGACCGGATACATTTGCCTGAATAGGCCTGAGGCGGTCAAAATCGAACATCCAGACGGTGCTTTCTGCAAGAGGCGTGCTTGCACTCATCCTTATGGCTCCTCTGCGTCCTCCGAGCACAAACTTGACGCGAGCGCCGCTTAATCTCATCTCCCAGTGCAACATTGCTAATGATTCGGCCATGGCCTTGGCATACTTTGGACAAGGCAGCTGGAGCTCTTCCATCTGGTCGGCGTGGAGAGGAAAGTTGCAGAGCGTGAAGACCTGCGGCCGTGTGGCGGGCACGCCTAGACTACAAGATCGTCTTCGGCCAAGATAGAGGTGAACTAAGCAGTGGGTGTAGTATGCATTAGACTCGAGCGTTTGCATGAGCCGGTGGCGAGTCGACGTCCAGTTGTACTTCTTGACGAGGAGTAGCTGCGCTTGTCTCGACACTGCAGTGATTCTCTCGGCGATCATGGTTGTGCATTTTCCCTGGCCAGCAGGCAGTATTAGCAGAAGATCGCGCCATCTTTCGTCGTCTTCCTGGTCTACGAGATGGAAGCACTGTGGCACCGAGGTGAGCTTTAGGCTCCATGCTGCGGTGAATATTTGCCGCTGAAGCGTAGCCTCGTTCTTGAGATACCTGCCGGGACCTGCATGCTCGCGCTTGATGACGACGCCGACGCTGTGATGCCTGTGCCTGTGCAGCATCGCCATCCCCCAGACCGAGCCGCATTGGCCAGAGCTCATCATTAGAAGCGGTTTATTGCTAGCGGTCAGAGATCTATAGGATTCCATGGCTCGAGATGAGGTCGTGGCTGATGACGCTATTCGCGACTAGGTGATGGCGATGAAGATATCTGCTTGGCAAAAGATGATGGGCAGCCGGGATAATTGATGTATTAATGCGCTGAGGAAGAGAAGATGGAGATGTCGAAGGGGGAAAGCGGCCTCCGTCATATTTTGGGCAGCGACTGGTGGGCAACTCGACGTACGATGCAGCTCTGAGCCACGCCTACTTTCCTCGGGGCTGCATTAGCGGGACCAGATTCTTGGAAAGACCACCAGAATTTGCAGTGACTTCACATACATTTGACCAGACGATAGCAGACTTCGACCTGTGCATCACACATCATGCCCTCGAGATCCAAGATGCCTTAATGCAAGCAGTTTTGGTGAGGCATCTTGCCCGCTAGAACACCAGAGACGATGCAATGACAGTGCCCCTTTTCGCTAATTAGCCAGCAAGCCCCAGGACTCCAAAATTGGTTTTACAATTGGGCTTCGCATCAATGTTGCAAATTGCGGCTCTTTATTGTGAAGATGACTTGAACGGAAGGAGCAAGCTCACTTTGAGTCGTTGCAGGTGGACATGGATGTAGACTCGCAAAGACGGAAATGGGGCTGCTTGGAAGCAGGCCAAACCAAGTCTGTGCTTCCAGTCACTTTATTGTACTCCGTGCAATAGAAAATAAGGGTCATTCACGGGTGAAATGAAGCCGCATCGAGGTCTCTGGTACGCGAACAACAGTCTTCTTGGGACGATTGTGTCCACAGACGACTCCCGCCGCTATTATGCTTCGTTGACGGCTCTGCTCCGTCTCCTCGCTGGCCAGTCTCAAACATGGAAGGATCTGCTTCAGATGCCGCCGCATTTCGCCGCACGGCTCACCATCATGCAGATGTCGTCGTCGCTGGGCGAGCATTTTCGGAATTGCAATGGTAATAACACTCGCACGACAATCTTGCCCAGTGTTCCTCCTGGAACGTTCTCTAAAAGAGCCAGGGCCAGATCGCATTGTTGGAGAGCTTTTACAGCCAAGTGGCGTTCAAGCCCTCGAAAGCCCCGGGCGTAGACACTGTCTAGACTCTAGATGGCGTCAACGGCATCCTAGTCAAGGGCTACAAAGTATTCTACCATAACCGACCGGTCACCATTCCATATCCATTCGACAGTTCATCAACCCCGAAGAAACATGGCCTTGACCAGAAACCACATGGGCTATCTTTCCACCACGGTCGATTCATCCAAGAGTTAAGAGCATCTGTTTTGGAAGAAGCCAACGTCACGGTTATGGGAATGGCGGTTGATAGCTTGATCATGGTTCAAGGCACAAGCCAGGTTCTCGGTGTCACAGACTTAACAAATGGAAAACTGGATGGCTTCTTTGCGCCGCTTATCATCATCCCCAATGGTTGCAAGAGCAAGTATCGTGGAGAATTGTTATATCGGAAGCCCACATCCCAGTCAAGATTCTGGGCTGCCAGACTCGGCCCCGCCCGACGCCCGTGTTCGTGCTCTTACATAGACGGCCAGTACGGAGAAGGGGGCCGGGCTCGTTTTCCTCTTTGGGCAATGCGCCTCCGGCCGCCGCGGAAGCGATGGTAGTTGCTGCGGCTGACGAATCTCCATAACGCTTCAGGAGATTCAAACCGGACCTGTAAGGATGACGCGCGGCAATACATGATGAAGGTAGCGATGCGTAATATTTCGCCTGTCCTTTATTTAGTAACTGTTCCTCCCCTGACAACAGACGTACGCAGTCAGGGTCATGGTGGCTGTGCATCAAGCCCATATGATCGGGACACAATCCAGATATCCTTCTATATAAGTCTCGCTCGCAGGTTGTAAATTCGGCAAAGCAAAACATGGACTTATCGGTTGCTGTTTGTTCCCTTATCGAAAATGAAATCATCGCTTGTACTATCGTCGCTTTCCATCGCCGCTATTACCCAAGTAATAGCACAGCCAAAAAACAGCACAGGTCTCATCGCAAATACCCGTCAAGGCCCTCTAAGCGGTATTGAAGTACATAGTAAGGTCAACGCATTCCTGGGGGTTCCATACGCTCAACCTCCTCTTGGTTCCCTACGTTTTGAACCACCCCAGCCGCCATTAAACCGCGCCTCAGATGGACATTCCAACGTCTTGAACGCTACCAAGTTTGGACCGGTTTGCCACCAGTTTCACTACAGGACAATCATAGGAGACTCTCTTGTTGAAACGTCTGGGCTATCCGAAGATTGCCTGACTTTGAATGTATTCGTACCCCGGCATGCCTTTCGCCGCAAGAATGGACTATTGCCAGTATTTGTCTGGTCATACGGAGGCGCATTTGGTGAAGGAGGCGCGAGCATGCCGCTCTTCAACCCGACCCAGTTTGTCGCGGAAAATAAAGATGTTATCGTGGTGACATGGAAGTAAGTTCACTGTTGTACCAGAGAAAGGGTCCATGGTGAGGTTGACAAAAGGCACTAGCTATCGACTGAACATCTTTGGCTTTCCAAACACCCCAGCCTTGGGAGCTCAGAATCTTGGCTTGAGGGACCAAAGAGCCGCTTTGGAATGGCTACGCGATAACATTGCTGCATTCGGTGGTGATGCACACAGAATCACCCTCGGCGGCCAGTCCGCCGGCGCGGACAGCGGTAGTGCAATGATTTACTCACACATGGACGATCCCATTGTTTCTGGACTCATACTTCAGAGCGGCACTGTTCAAATCATTGGGGCGGCCACGCAGAACGTTGACTCTGAGTTTGTGCGAGTTGCCACGTCAGTGGGCTGTGCCAACAGCGCGGACCGGCTGCAGGAACTAGAATGCATGAGAACAGTAAACGCCGAGGTACTAATGCGTGCCATCTCCAACAAGACGTTGAACGCATTTGGCGCTCCGTCGGGGGGGACTCCCATGGCGGACAATGTCACTCTGTTCACGATGCGGGAATATGTCCATCGTGGCTCGGCAGGCAAGTTTGCCAAGATTGTAAGCGAATACTCTTTCCAATGCAGTAAATCTACCTCCTGGCCTTGCTGACTCCTTTTTTGTAATCAGCCAACTCTAATGGGACACACCAAGAACGAAGGCGACTCTATCCTGAACTGGACTGAAAAGTGCGGTGTGAACAAAACTCTTTCTGACTTGGCAACGGCACTCATTTTTAATTGCAACATGGCACTGGAAGCAGGGTTAGACGAATGACCTTTGCAATGCGCGGATAGTGGCTAACCTGAGAGAAAAGGTTTAGATATGTCCATCGCGTGCCTACATGGCGGTATCGGTATGCTGGCGTTTTCCCTGCTGTGACGCCGTTCCCTTGGGCACGGGCATACCACCAATGTAAGCATTCCTTTTTCGAAATCCCGACCGGCCCCATGAGGACAATTTCTAATCGTTCAGCAGCGGATGTTCCCATTCTAATGGGTACATACAATCTGCTTGCACAGAACAAGACTCGGGAGCACCATGCAGCGACTATCGGGGCATCTCGCTATCTGCAGCAAGTGTTTGGTGCCTTTATCAGAGACCCGTCTCACGGCCTTGAAAAGATGTATCAATGGCCGACCTTTGTGCCGGGCCTGGCTACCTTGATTGATCTGTTTCCCAACAACACGGCTTCTGCTGAGTTCAAGATCTCGACGCAGGATGAGATGTGTAAGGATGCGCCTCCATTCCCTTGGATAGAGGTTCTCAAGGCTCCTCCTCGTTGCTAGGTCGATTTCAGACATGACAGCGTTAGGGCGCATGGTGTGAAGATTGAGTCCCGTAGTCAGTCGGCTGCGCTTAGGAACATGCAGAGTAGAATATGTTTTTGGTTATTCGGGCCGCCGCTTCGCTGAGACCTTGGTAGAAGCAGCTGGTTTGCTGAAGTCATCGCCAACTGAGTACCCGTGTTACTTCATATTACAAAATAGGGGTGCGAGAGAACGATATCAGGGAATGAAAATTGCCTCCCAAGGAAGGTATTGAATTAAGCTATAAGCACTATGAAGGTGGTATGCTGACGAGCTTCGACATTCAATACGGCCTTCAAAAACGGCTCGTTTGATTGCATAAATGAAGACGACATGTCTGAGGGATCGAGTCGTCATGAGGGGGTCGGGTGAAAACGAGTGAGAATAGAAAGTTGTACCCCGAATCCAACCTGGCCAATTTATCCCGGCCTCTTAGACTGGATCTTATATTTGCCTGGGGGTTCTTCTACAATCCAACGAGTTTGTTGATCCCCCATGGACTCATTCATTGCCTGCTGGATGAGGCCCTTGCCGACCTTCTTGTCCGCTACCACATTTGCGTGCGAAAACGTAGGACGATTTGGAAGGACGCCAATCTGGGCTTGTACATTGACAAATATCACATCCTTCCCGCCGATGCGCACATTGATGTTGCCCTATTATCCTGCCTTAGTAGTCGCCTTTACTTCCATTCATGGCAAATGGCAAATTGAACTCACTTGATTGTCTATGGTTGAGTGGCTTACCATTTCCCAGCCCGCGTCTTTAAGGTCTTTGTTTTTTTCCATTTCCTGTTTTGTTATGGTAACAAACTGCCTGGGGCTGCCTTTGGAGTGTAGTGTGTCATAATTGAACCCGCCCTTTTCGTCATTGATCATCCAATGGACTACATTACGTTGTTTCTTGTTGGGTTTGGTGATATTATCATCGTAGCTGTCCATTGTTTGCTTTGTGAAGTTGGCAGGCTAGGAGACGTCGGTGCTTTTGGGGAGAGTGTTTTAATGCCGGAAGTGAAGATGCCGCCGACAGACTTTATATTTGCGATTACCCTAGCGCTCAGCCATATGACCTTGGTAGTACAGAGTACTGTCGACATTTCTGACGTGTACACGGGTGGTTAATCATACAGGAGTTGGAGTGTATATCTGGTAGTCGCTCACATGCAGTGCAACCTGACCTGTCATGTACCATCTTTACACAACGACGCCCAGCTAGACAGTCCAACGTATACGAAGCATGGGTCTACTAATATAGACGCCATCATTAGCATTAAGGCTCTCGATTCCTCAAGGAATAATACCACTTACTTGCAATATTGCGTGAAATGGTGCGGTGTTATCTCTCAGCTGTCAGCTCTCCTTGAACTCCTATGAGATGTATCTCGCCGTGAGAGCGGGAGAAGAACGGTAGAGAGAACCAGACCAATGGGAAGCGGATTGATACCCATGCGGCAGTTGGGACTCTCGTAAATCGTATATGCGAGACGTGACGCACAACTCCAATCTGTTAGTGTGCACCGAGAAATAGCGAACCAAGTTTTCATCAGATATCTGAATGTTGTAGTACGGCAAAAAAAAAGAAAAAAACCTACCTTGCAGGGTAGACTGTCTCATCACGGCTGAGATCGTTTCATCACTTTGCATGCCAGCCTTTAATGGCGTCTTGTGACATGCAAAAGCGTAACCCTACCTATCTAGGATGCCACTCCAAGCACGCCATTTGGAAGCCACCAAAGAGCGGTTACAAGGCTGTCATAAGTCCATAGTCCAGTACGGTGGGAAGCCAAGATTTCCCGCCATCTGCCGAACTTACACCCACTAATTTGTGTATAAATTAATTTTGTACAAAACTCTGAATATTCTCATCTAACCGTCTCGTTTCTAAACAAGTCATCGGCGAGCTACCCTGAACCCAAGTTGCTGTGAGCCAATGAAATGGGGACTTGGCGCCCAATTAGTTAGGCGACCCATAAAATCGCACATGGAAGCGGCAAAAAGGCCGTCCTGACTCCCGACACTACTTGTGCCACGCCCAGCTATCCGCGTTATAACTAAGTAAAGTACCTAGGTACCTAGGTAGAATATGTCAATGATACGCACCATCCTTCATACCGGGAGGCCAGGAAATTCTCAGCGCGAAAGGCGGGAACTTGTCTACTGCCTTGCCGCCCGGGCCGGGATTCGCCAGCTTTCGCTGCAGTAGCGAGCATCATGATTGGTAGCCAGCAACACCACAGTGCAGGCCAACCCGAAGCGAACCAGTCACCGTTGAACCATTGCAGGCACGGGACACATGCATGGAGAGGATGGGATGGTGGCTGGCCGCCTCTGCCGTCCGCCGGCGGCTGACAGGACCCTAGAGTCCTTGACAGACGTCAACTGGTCAATGCCACCGGAGTTGCCCGCGGCTGCTAGGCTGCTCAATCAGGGCCCGGCCGCTCGCTGACAGTGACAGTGACAGTGACAGTGACAGGGGCTGTGCTGGGTTCAGGTCTCGAGGTCCTAAGGCCAATCCAGATGCCATCTGACGATCGGATCATGTTTCCATCAGCCACACGTCCTCGACACCAACAGAGAGCTCCATCGACCTCGAACCTCGCGCGCAACGGCAAAGATGGGCCACCACAATATTCGGTTTGACGGCGATGCCCATTCCCTCGGGGGAGCCTGGAGCCCGCCAACCAGCAGAGCAAAGTGAGACGCGCTTCGCGACCAGAACAAGCCGAGGCCGCGTTGGAGTGTGCTGTGCTGACGAGCAGGCAGTTTCTGCGAAGAGGACTACGCCTTGACGCTCTACGTGGCCGAGTTTATCAACTCGCTGACGAACCTCGCCTATGGTATGTCTCAACTGCCATGTGTAGCGGCTGATGCCCATCCACGCGGTGCCTGGTGCTAAGAGTTCCCCTCGTCCTTGACCAGTCCATCTCGCGCTCCGATACATGTACGGCCCAGGCAGCGCCGGCTTGCTCGCCCCCAAGATTGACTTCATGTCCGCGTCTCTCTTCGTCCTGGGCATTGGATCCTTCCTGTTCCACGCCAGTCTCCGCCAGACGCTCGAGTTTGCCGACGAGTTCTCCATGCTCGGCCTGACCTGGGCCATGCTCCAGGCCACCCTCACAACAGGCCAGTCTCGGACAAAATCTCGCCTCGTATCCACCGGCCTTGCCGTGTGCTTTGCATCTTTTGCCATCTTTTACCTGCAGTCGCCGAAAATCATTTACCAGGTCATCGCCTTTGTCGCATGCGTATTTGTACTCATCCTGCGAGCTCAGTACTTGCTCTACTGGCTACAACCGGCGCTGCCAGAAGTCAAGCGCCGTGACTGGAATAAGAGGACTTGGAACGCAGTCTTTCTCTGTGTGCTTGGGTATTTTCTCTGGAACATCGACCTAGAGTACTGCGCCGCCCTCAGGAGCATTAGGCAACAGCTTGGGCTGCCGTGGGCTTGGCTGTTTGAGCTTCATGGATGGTGGCACGTCCTGACGGCCATTGGCGCCGCTCAGTGTATGAATGTGGCAAGAGAGGTGCGCCAAGAGGTGGAACGCGGGCAGAAGAGGGAATAAGAGCCCGCGAGCTTCGTCACAGCTGAAGTGGGTGGTGGCAGACACGGGGCCATGACATGTTGGATTATTGTACTTGGAAAACCATGTTTCAGCAAAGTCTTGGAGAGAAATGTACTATATCAGCGACACCAGAGGGGGGGATTTAGATGTTACTACAGCGATCAATCCAAAACAGGCCGGGCTGTGAATCTGCGCAAGAGTGTGCCAGACGACGTGTGCCATCATGGGCGGCAATTTGGGCTCCTGGCACAGTCAAAACATTGAAGCGTCGTCACCCAAGGAAACCTAGGCACACTCTGTTGTTTTCGCACCCGACATTCAGGGCAACATGGGGATTTCCTGAGCGCAACAGTGTATACCGCCACCCCGAAGAGTCAGCTTCTCGATGAGAACAGGGCAAATTCTCCTCTCGTCGCCAAAAGCCCTCTGCGCTATACGAATGGCTGCCGTGTCGTGGGCTTCATCGCCCAACTGAGGCAGAATAACGTCCCCATTCACCAACAAATAGTTGACATAGCTCCGTACAGGCCGGTCGCTGTCAAACGCCCTTGGGAGGGGGCTCGAAGCATTCCTCATCGGGCTCCTCCACCTCGAGAATCTCGAATGGGCGTCCCTTTGTCCTGTGCCATCTATTTAAAGTCTCTCAACAGCAACCGCTAATTCAGCCAAAGGTACGTTGGCTGTAGCGCTGGAAAAGGGTGTTGAGCTAGGGTGGAAGGACGTCTATGTTTCGTCAACCCCTTTGGCGGTCGCTGAGGGGGTGCGTTCAACGGCGTCTGGACTTTCGATCTCGATAAAGACATGCTTTTTCTCCTGAAGATTATGTTCAACACCTCTCGAACTTGCTCGGCAGCGACTGCTCACTCCAGCCGACTTCGTGCCAATAAGCTCCCCGAAACAACCATTACTAGAAGAGCAGACACTCCCAGAACCTTACTGGAAGCCCAAATTGGACATTTCTCCACGGACACGGGCACTTCTTGGTCGAGTCCTCCGCGACTTTACCTACGCGTGGCGACGTCTTGTCGGGGAAATGAACAAGAACGTACGAAGCTGGCGTATGCTATCATCTGGATCTTAACACTAGACTTCACTGGGCATGCCCGCGTAAGACCAGACGTTTTTGGAGCCCTATGCCTCCACAACTATATTGCCGTTGGACTTTTGAAATTGACATGCTCAGTATCAAGCAGACCAACTCACTCTGCGGGGTTAGTCTCTTAATAAAGAACAAAAACCAAGGACACTACAGGGCGTGAATTCACGAATCTTGCTATATTTCAAGTGCGTATAATCTTGAATAACGATTCCACTTCCTGTCGCTCTGATTTATCGTCTCTTTGCTGCCCAGCGGTGCTTTATACGAAACGCCTGTCAACTTGACATCAACCTACGCCCACTATCGCTCCAAACCAAAAGAGAAACAGGTCCAGCAGATTTCTCGGCACTTTTATGAGACCAATGTGCTGAAGAAACAGATGCGCTGCTCGCACTTCCTTTGGAAAAGCATTAACTGCTTAGGTAGCTAGACCGACGGAATATCGGATATCATGCCGAATTTGATTGGACCGCGCTAGATGTTCAACGCCAATTTAGGAAGTTGAAACTTGAAAGCATCTTGGCGGGTCCACAACGACAAAACCAATTGTCATCGAACAATGGAACGGAAGCAAATACCCAGACTGTTCATAAAACTTTCAGACACCCGGCAAGTCGATATGGCCTCCATGGAGCTTCCCCATATGCTCGTACACGGCCGGGCCATTTGCAAATGTCATCAAGCACACCCAGCATATATGAGCCTTGCAGGCTGCGCACGTCATGTGGTTGCATCCCGAGACCTTCTCAAGCGGAGTTGCGCACTTTGGGCAATCCTTGATTCCCAGCTTTTTCTTGAGTTTCATCAACGCTGCGAACCCCCCCGACTTCAGGTCTTGATGCTCCGCGCACGACATGCCAATGTGCGGCTCGTGGCACGCAGAGCACGTAGGCCGGAGGCAGTTGGAGCAGTTCTGCGTTCTGGCAGCCGACGAGACCCTGTATACAAAGTCGCAATCTGGACTGGGGCAGTAGCGAAACGTGTTTGGGTTACGCTTTACATGAGACGAAAAGGACAGCTCAAGGACGGTCTCGAGTGCAGCCGAGGAGAGGTATGTCTGCAGGTCCTCAACTGCCATGACGCTCCTGCAGTTGCCCTGGTTGCCATGGCACAGGATCATGAACTCCCCGGCCGTGGTGTTTGCTTTGGTGCAACTGTCTTCAAAACACTCCAAGCAATAAATGTGTCCACACTTTATCTTGACAGGAGTATCGGCCTCGGTCCAGCAAACCGAACATTCCTGCGCGGTGTCATGGGCTTTTGCCTGCTCAACTCGCTCTGGGACCTGTTTTCTGCCTTCCATGATTGCTACGGCCAGATCATAGTCTTCCAGGGAACCAGAGACAATAATTTTCTTTGGCGTGGAGATGATATCAAACAGGACCTTTTCTTGACCGAGTTGGCCGGCAATTGTTCTGAAACCCCCGTGGCAAGCCCAAAAGAATTTCTGGGGTTCAAGCTCAATGACTCTAGAGGAATTTGACCCCGATTCCATGCGTATCAGCTGAGCCAGTCGACGCTGCGCGTCTTCGCAACGCCGCTGGGCTCCGAAGAGGCGCAATTCGGATTTTACCTTGTCCCGGAGGATGGTTACCGAAAGTTCTTTCTCTAGTGTCTTGATCGCTTGGAAAAGCTTCCCATTGGTCTTGAGTGAAGAATGCCAGAGGGTGGCGTCGTTGTCCGTCGCGACGACACCAGCAAGGATCGATTCAAGGTCAGCCTTGGCATTGACGACATTTTCTGCCAACTCGCCCTCAATCTTCAAAACTCTGAAACGTTGCAGAGGGCCTGTGGGCTTGTAGGCCCTGAAGGAAATGTTATCTTTCCAAGTTGTCTGCTGGGCAACGATTCGAGACTGCACAGCGTCGAAAACGTTGATGGCGACCTTGAACTTGGCCGAGTACACCATCTGCACAGTTAACCGTGCCTTGCGATGGAAAGGGAGTTCCATTTTGCCAAGTTCCAGGGAAGCTCTGCGAGCGTCAGCCTCATCGAGGAAGCGCGCAGTTGCCTTCACCCGCCTGGAATTTGCATTCGTCTCCAAGGGGGGGTCACAATACTCCAAGGGTCCGATATTTGTTAAGAGAGAACGTATCATCGCCCAAGCCTCCTCCTCGTCTGTTGAGTACGTTGGGGCCCCCATCTCTACATGGTGAGGTTTGTTCCGCTCATGCGTGATGGCTCGCAAAATGTCGCGCTCCTGTGCGGCAGCCGGGACATCAGTCAATACAACAGTCCAGGCAACATGGTTCCCACGGGCTGGCCGCGAGGGTATGACGGATTCGGCTCTGGTAGCTGCGGCAGCAGTGACTCTCTGGTCCAAGACCCTATATGCCCCCTTTGAGAACATGTCACTCACACGGCGGGCGATATCTCCGTTGCCAAAGTTCAACCAGACAATCTTGACTGCTTTATGCCAAGAAACATGGACCTTTTTGCAGTCTACGCGTCGAGCGTTATGACCAGAGGGCATGGGCGCGGCAATAGACGTGACTATTATCTTCGATCCTCCCCATGTGCAGCCGGGTTGAACGAGACTGCAGAGTCGTTTTGAAAACGACGCATCGTCCGATCTGACGGTTGCTCCGTAACTACCTTCCATGTGAAATGTGCAAATATCGTCGACGCTGATGTGTAAACCCTTTTCAGCTAGCATATCTCGAACCGATTCTTTCGACGTATTTTGCCGTAATCCGCTGATGCGAGCAGCAGAGAAGTCACCAGGCAGGCGGATCTTGGATACGCGAGCACCTGCGTCGAACTGGACGAATGCACCGCCGATGGTTCTTGTGAAGTCGTCTTTCTTGTCTTCATCCTGCTTCAGTTTTCTTAGTACAATCTTTGTATGAGTTTGGATAATAGGCTAGCTAACCTCTGGTGGTTCAGCAGCCGCGTTCTGGGGGAGCTGTCCATCGTCGGCATGGACATATATGCATTTTGCTCCATATTTGCAAACTCCGATCTTGTAATACTTGCAAATGGGCTTCGAATCTCCAGAGCCGACTGTGTATCTGCTCTTTACGCGGGCCTGTTTGGGTTGTCCAATCCTTTACGGTAAGCTGATGCTCTGACGATTTTTCGTGTGCTACTGTACCTCTTGGGAGTCCGTATCTGAACTATTTGATGATTTGACATCATGCAAAAAGGGACACGAGGTTCCCTTTGTACATGATCCCGTCAGGAAGAATCGACAGGGTGTGACTGCTCGCCAGTCCCCAACGGACTGGTGTTGGTGCTCGTCTTTCGTCAAGGAGACGGGACGATTAACTTTGGCACTCATGGTGATTAAATACCATTCAAACGCCTTGGAGTGGTGGATGGATGAAGAAGGAAGATTGGCGACGTGATTGAGGGGCTGTTTGAAATTCGGGTTGCTCTACGTCGCGGTGCATGGTGATATTCACAGCTCATAGTGGGCTGTGCAGGCCGCGACTGGCTCTGTGTAACTATGCGTACGTAATGCAGTCTCGTTTGAAGATGGGTTTGCATTCTTGAAAGCTAATTATAGCCCCGTGGGAGGAAAATGGACGTTCCCAATGTTAAAAGGGGCAGGAAATGGGCTTACAAACGGCGAGGTGCCTTGTAAACGACGGACAGGCCGTCCTCTTGGATGATGTCCAAGAGCCCTTAGATACAAACATTGTACCTAATGTCTGATATTCGGTGACTGTGACAAGGGTTCAATACAGAAGGCTTGAAGCGAAGGGCCTAGATTCAAAAGATAATCCTGAAGGGTGTCAAAGATCCTTATTTTCTAAGAGGAAGGAAGGGAACAGAAGCTATCATATGAACCTAAAGGGAACGCCTGTGTCTAGAGCTCTTGCCCGGGCACGTGTTTAGTCTGTGTAACCAACAAGCCCTTTGTTGGTGAGGCCCCCTTGTTGGGCGATTTCTGGGTAACAGTGACGCAGTCGAGGTGGCGGGCGACATGGGCATATTGCTGTATAAATCAGCTCCATGTCTCTTTTCCAGCATTCTAAAGATGACTAGTTACATGAAACGTCTAGAATAAATCAAGTTTACAGACATGGTGCAATTAATATAGGTGAAGGCAGGCTACTTTCCGGGAAAGGCTCAGGGGTTAAGTTGTTGATTATCACGCTACAACAAACAGAGTTTCCCAACAGTGAGCATATTCGATATAATGACAAGTATACAGTGTACTTGTGACTTCCTACATACGATATGTTTCATTAGTCCCCATATATAATGGTAGTATTAGTCGAGGTGATGGGTCCTTTGCCACAGATTATCCAATACACAATCTCGCTTATCCTTAGTTGTTTAATTATCAACCTTCTCCCCCGGCAAGAGTGATTCAAGGCTTTACGCCATTCTCCCCTCTCGGCGGCAGCTCGCTTACAGAGCCCACTGCATCACGCGTACGGCCATCTTGCAGGGAGGGAAGCTCAGATGGCTCTTGCGGACTTCCTGGACGAGACCATCGAGACACCACGTAGCCAGTGGGCTCCATGGATGTGGTCATGCTCGGTGGCGCTGCCGTACTGCTCACGCTGTACAGTCTTGCGTCCTGGGTCATGACAGATTGCCGCCGTTCTTTTCGACGGCGAACGATCTTCCTGCCCATGATGAACCACACAAACAGCAGAAGGGCTACCCCTGCAAGACTGCCAATAACAATGCCGGCAATGGCACCACCAGACAGACCCTGGCTCGGGACGGGTGTTGGTGTGGGCGTGGGCGTGGGCGTAGGTGTGATGGTTGGGGAAGTTATAGGGCGAGTTGCGCTTCGCGTGTCTTTCGGTTCTCTCATTCCCATCAAGTTCCTGAGGGCCGTGTTTTGAGGGTCATATCCTCCTTTGGGGCTCGTCTGCGTTGCGGTGCCGTACCTGTTCCCACCAATGGTATTGTAAACATCGCTGGGTACGACATTGTCGGTGTAGTTTGGCTGGAACAGCGCCCAGTGTGTTTTGTCATCTCCTGCATTATGGAGCGTCCCTGTCCAAAAGTCGTGTTGCGCCCATGAGCCGTCGTCAATATCGCAGCCAACGTCCGGGTAGGGGTAGGTACCACCAATTATAAGCATCTGGGACATTGACTTGACCATGTTGCAGGAAGCACTGTAGTGGCCTCTGGGGAACGAGTCATTCCCATGACCTTTAGGCTCCGACTTGATCCAGACGAATGACGGGAGCGTCAAGATGTATACATCATTAAATGCAGTGGTGTTGACGACGGGGGGCGGTACACTCAGGCCTCCCCAGAGGTAGCTTTTTATTTATCAGTACTGGCAGCTGGTTGTCGTATTATTAAAGAGGATACTAGGTACATATGTACGACTTACATGTTGAAACTTGATTTGTCAGGTGCCCAGGCCACGTCCATGCAGAACTGGCGTCTATTTTGCGGTATCTCGCCAGTTGCTGTCTGAGTGTACCATATGTCGGCCGAGGCGTCGAACACAAAGATCTTGTCGAGCGGCTGGGGTTCCACTGTCCCGTTGCTGGAATTACTGACAAAACCTCCCATGTATACAAGCAGGCCAAGGGGATCGCCTGCCGGGATCCATACCATGGCACCTTCTGCTCTTGTTTTGCTGCCCCCTGGGCTAGTTTTCTGGGTAAAGATGTCCGCCTCGTAATCGTACGCGTAGAAACTTGAGCTCATTGTTCGTGGCTGAGTCCATCCGCTCATTGAGGCATTACTTATCCATCCTCCAAGGTAGTATCCCATACCGGTCTGAGATACCCCGACTCCAGCCCCATATGAGGCAATATCTGGCGACGGATTCATCTTGGGCGTGCCAAGATCCCACCACTTGTCATATAGAATGTCGTAGCTTAACATGTGGTAAGGATCGCTAGGATAATCCGTATTCCATTCGCCGCCATATAGATAGAATATCTTATTGACATTATCACCCCATAGAACCCCTCCACTTACGGCTGGGATACTGCCAGGTTGAGAGTCAGTATCTTTTTTCTGCCGGCTCCATGAAAGACATCAAGTTGCAAAGTATAAACGAGACAGAACACAAGGGCTGACTTGCCTGTCGTTCTTATTTAAACTCGTGGTCAAAATCGGCCACCCCACCTGTCCTGTTCTAGTCGCTGTTTCATTAGTCCCTGTTTTATTAAGATCGTGATATCCTAGCAACTTGTCTTTCATACTGAGTTAGCCGTGTCATATTATTCTGTTAAATTGGCATGAACATGGCCGTTATGCATCCATAAGATTGACGCACTGGAATAATTTTGGTGATTTTGTGGAAAGCCCTGGTAGTTCACCCAGCCGCCGTCAATGTACAGCTTATCATCGATCACCACTGTCTGATGTCCGTATCTGCGACAGAAGTCATGCACTTGGTCTAGAGCAGTAACCCAATGAATAGCGGATAAAAATAGCAGTGCTAGTAGTGGCTGCTTGCGTCCCCCAAGCCGTGGTTGCGGACAGATCATGGTCCGTGTCAACGCAATGAAATGCGCAGCCAGAGATTGCATGACTAGACTTTTCGGAGCTACCTCGAAGAATGAGGCTTTCAAGTCAAGAAGAGTGATATTGTGTCGACCATCTGCTAGGTATAGACCAGGTCTTGAAGCTGCACCCAACGGTTTGGTCGCGGTGGCCATGACATATATACGTGGCATCAAACAAGTCTGGTTAAGGTTACTCCCAATAGTTGGACATAATTACGCCAGTTAGTTGAGCATTATGTGTGTGCCATTTGTACTGAGTTCATGCCACTGTGTTGGGTGCCTTCCAGTCTGTCGGTATGATTGCATTTTCGCAGTGTTGCTCAGCTGCTCGACATGGAGTGCTGAAAGGTTGTCTCCTTCTTTTCTACCATCCTCATGTCGCCGTAAACTTTGAGCAACACCTCTTCCAAAGAAACGCCATGGAGGTACCCTACATCCTTGACGCCATTAACACATGAATACTAACACGGGTCAAGAGTCAAGAGTTGCTTTTGGCACTCGGAACTCTAAAACGCCTCCAACCCAGCATCAGGTCAAACGACGCGGGGTTAGAGTTAATGCCTTGGCAAGTGGCGTGAGCAGTTCTCGAGCTCAAGTGTCACGTTTTACTAGAAATCATAAATATACTCTTAATATTAAGTCTATTAAAGCAGAACAAAATCATGTAGAGTTATTCCATGTGGTTAGGCTGGCTGACTGGTATAAAAAGGTCTCTTACTACGCCACAAACAAAACCTTTATCTTTTATATAAAACACCATGATCAACTAAATTTGAATACATATTAGCTCGTTCCACGGCTCAAAGAAATCTCGCTTTCGAAATAACATCTCCCCGGGAGTACCGAGTTGGATATACAACATGAGCGGCCATCTACCAATCTGACTCGCACCACGCTCGACAACCAACTTGGTGTGTACTATTAGCTGTGTTTGGCGCCACCAGCCAAAGACTAGCAACCCCCCCCCCAAGGGAACTAAATTTCATTTTCAATTATTTCGCAAGCTTTCGTTTTCCGAATCTCTCATGTGTTATCCAGATGCAAGGGCAGTGAAATGATTAGTCTCTAACCTCCAACCCTCGTGAATTTACAACTAAATTTGAGCCTACATCAACACATCTTGGAGGTGGCTGTATGAGAGACTTATAAAAACAGCTATACAGCTTATCAGAAAAGCTTGGTATTGCGCCTGCGGTATATTGCCTCGAAAAGGGGATAAATTGGCCCGTATGGCGTATACCCATCCATAATAGGCACCGACAAGGCTGTTCATGGCATAGGAGGCGTTACCGTTTCTCTGCAGCTGAATCCATCATGGCGTTCTACTCATCGGCCGCCGCCTCAGGCCAGGCCAGAATGTGGTTTTACATGGTACTCTCAATCTCAGCTACACGCCACCAGACAAACAGGGTCTCGGTGGCGCCAGAGCCAAGGATTCGGTATATTTCGCTCATCTTGGGATGAAAGCAGGGGGTTGTGTTACATTACGAACGTAACAACTGCCTCCTCATCATGTCAATTATTCCTTTGGCAAGGAGGGGGGGCTGAGTCGAAGACAACTCCCAAGTTCTGGATCCCAAAGCCACAGAAACTGTGCGCGAGCACATCGGCCAATCGCGTGCCCTGGTATGTCTGCAGTGCATTGAGTTCATATTTCCTCCCTGGCAGACATATTAACTAGCGGCGGCTGTGGCCGGTTCGCCTGGGAAATGGGCGGCCCAAGATCGGGTGGCAACCCTAACCCTTGGAAGACTGAACATGCTGTTCTCACTGACCATCTTCGCCAAAGGGTGCGGTGTAGATACACACTGCATCATATCGATTGTCACATTATCGGGATGGAAAACTATCCTTGGAAAGAGGCACGCGCTTTAGTTGCACAGTACATCTTACACTCCGCTGCCATCTTTTAGAAACGGCACACCAAATCGCAACTAGATGTCGCGCGCTTCGTCCCAAATTTAGCGTTCGACAACATCAGTACTCTTGGCTCCGTCTATGCAATTTGTTTCATGTGGTTATTATTGGCGAGGCTGTCAGGTAGTGAAAAGTATTGGTGTGAACCAACTCACGTCCACTGCGTTATAATACTCATTGTCAACTAAGCTGGCCCTTTTCCCTACCAAATTAATTGTTTACATCAATCGATTCCTTCTAAACTCTAAAAGGGCTTAGTTTTGCAAGTTTTTACAGCTACCTGGAAAAAAACGTCTTAGTCAATGTTCTGTTACTATTTGAAGTAAACTGTCCAGCTATTTCCATTGTAGATTCATTATGCCAACATGAACATTGTCTGAATACAGGGGCATTGAAAGGCCACTGAATGGATGGGTTTGTCAGGCTTTCCGGCCCCTACAAATCTACCAGCTAACGAAAGTTTGTCTGAATGCAGCCTCGGGAATGCTGTATCAGCGACTCACAATGACCGTGAAGCTTTAGTGTTTGCCTTCTACGTCTGCTGTATGGAAGAGTACAAATACAAAGTTTGTCTCCAGCACTACTAGCCAATCATACTAGTCATCGAGGATATGATTCAGCGCATTGACAGCATTACCGTTTTGCTGCAGCTGCAGCTGAAGCTGAAGCCACGACGGCGCTCTACTCATCAGCCGCCTACTCCGGCCAGGCCGGGAATGTGGTGTTGAGCAGCCATTTCAGCCTCAGCTGCCGTCTCACCAGACGAACATGGTCGAGATCCCAATGGCGCGGAGACACAGTGTACTGTGCCTGTATTGTCACGGAAAACAAGATGCTCTATGTCGTCTTTCATTGTTACATTTATTGCTGCAGCCTGTCACAAGCTTCTTCCCTACCACATCTGTCAGTGGTGAGGCTGGGGCGGGGTGGAAAATTACTTTGGTGGTATATCCATGAGCCACAAATGCTGGCTAGGAGAATTGAAGTTATTCACCCACCTATGGCGACCGTAGGGGATGCTCGACTAGTCCAGCCTTGGAGTCTTGGAGATACGCGAAAGCTGTCCCCTGCAGATGTTGCGGAGCCGGACCGTGCCCGGAGAATTACTTGTATTGCATTGTATTCGTAACAGACTGTCAGCGTTGAAGGCGCATCCATGTTCTGGCACGGCCTCGTCAAGAAAAGACGCAAGTTGATCCTGGAGGCTTTGCCAAGCTTGCTCCAAACAACGTCTTGGAAAAAGTTATTGAAGTGGATGGAGTTGACGATGTTGAGTGAATCGGATGCAGCAAACGCGGTAACTTCCGGCAAAGATGATACGGGGAAAGCCCTATTCTGCGCCACTGTCCACGAGTTTGGCGAATGGACGTCGAGAAATCGCCAAGTATATTCGACATATTCTAGCTCAAAGCAAGGCAGTCTCCCTACTTGCCGGGCTAGGCGCCATGATTCCAAGACAATATTGTCGGCAGGTCATCCTTCCATGACATCATTAGATGAGCTGAAAGGATATCAGAACATTTGGTTCCATTTCTGCGTGTTCTTTGACAGAGATATCATCTTGGAAGGGGTGTCAGGTCAGGTTCTCGGGGCTTCATATGGTGGAGTTGGAATGGTTAATGTCGATATTGAGGGAAATGAGAGAGAAATTTTGACCAGAGAGCCATCGCCGAAGGAGGAAGATGAGGAGTGACGAATCATGGAAGCCGCGCTATGCGATTCCAGCGTACGTTTGATGAGGCCAGTGTTCGATATTCGAGGGGATTTTCGCTTGGCCGTTCACGATCCGATCCTAGAACAGGTATATTCTTCTTGTTTGTTCGAAGCCTGTGAGGCTAAACAATTGTATTTCGGCAATAAAGGTTTGCACTGTCTTCCAATTGAAAGAGGTAGTCCAATGCGCTATAGCCAAGACAGCGGCCCGAGTATAGTAGCAATTGAACACGAGGATCGCTTCTTACAATCTTGGATATGTCCCAACAGATCCTGTTTGTCGTGCATCAGTTATCCCCATCGCCGACGTCGTGCATAGCCTTCTGCTCTATCCGAGTAGTCCTCCCATTCACCCCCCCTTGCCTTGGGGAATGGTTGATCTGAAATTTTGCGACCTGTGAACGGTATGCTCTCTCCTTCGAAAGGGAGAGATGCCTTGCCCAGGAAACTAGCCATTCTCTCATCCTTGAACTTGATGGCCCCCTTTTCAGCATCCGGATAGATTTGACCTTCGCCAGTTTCTTGGCCTTTCAGACGCAGGTAGAATGTCCTCGGCTGGGCTTTTTGATTCTCCGCCGATTTTGCTTGTTTCGGCGGGCGCCCTCGACCACGGGGCGCTTCGGGGGCCTTTCCTTTTGAGCTTGAAGCAGATTTGTTTCCGATATCCGCATCCGCATCGTCATCATCCCCAAAGCCCATGGAGCCATCACTCAACCGAGATTCGGCCTCTCGATCCAGCTCGGCGCAGTACTGCACCAAGGTGGCCTTGTTGTCACAAATGACCATGGCACCTATAAACATACCAAAGTCAAACTTTGCCTCATAGACTCCCCGTTCCTCGGTAGTGCGAATATTCAAGGTCATGTTTTTTGCGTCGTCTGGCCAATTGTCCGTGATTTCTTCGCAGTCGATCATGTAACTGCCAACTGGGGAATACTTCTTGGGTCCTCTTTTCTCCTTCAGAGCCTCGAGATAAGCATTGTGCTTTGCCGTCCGCCCGTCCTCATGCTCTTGCTTCAGCGCTTGCACTTCTTTCTTCTCTTTGGCGGGGTGCTCATTTGCTGCTTTCTTCACAGCTGCAGACGTCCATCCCATGAAGACGACTTGCGTCTTGGGTCCATATCCCGTTGCGCATTGCAAACCAGGTACTTTGCTAGCAGCCTCGACCAAATCGGACCTGTACTTGCTACTTGGCTCGAATGGTATGCCAACTACTGTAGCCGTTTTGGTGCTATCCGGTTGGCCAGATCGCAAGAAGTATTTCTCCATAACCCATGAAGGTTTAGTTGCGAGTTGCCGAGGGGTTTGCGTTTCTAGCCATTCCGTGTGCATCTGCCGCTGCAGAGCTGTGATGTGATCTGGTACCTTGTCACAACGCCCTGCGAGTAGGGTTTTCCTCATCAAAACTGTCCCATTGCCGGAGAATTCCGCCTCGTCAAATTTAACGCCGTAATGCTTCAATTGCGAGCGAATAAAGCTCGAGCCGTGGTGATATAATTCCCGTTGTCCTTCGCGCGTCACCTTGGGGACGAACATGCGTTGCAGTACAGAGCCATCAATTCGTTCAATATGATGTGCCGTGAACCTCCCATACTGAGAGGCGAACCCATCTCTTTCGACGGATTCATCACGATAGGAAGCCATTGTGGACGCTGCCGATTGCGGCCTCCGACAACCAAGACGTTCTGGCAGCTAAACGGGCTTGATGGCAGATGTCCAAATACGAAAAAGATGAAGACAGATACGACAAGTCTAGTCAAGCAACGGGATCTGTCTATGCAGCGTCACGTGTGGATTGTCGGAAATTAAGACCTATGTGAACCCCGATAGTTATTGTAGACGGGTTCTTGAAATACCTGTATTTCCAAACAGGTGTTTAACAATGTGCTGGCGCATGAGGGCTGCAGAAGACATGCAGGCTTTGTGTGGCCATGTTGAGGCCTGACTCGCGCGGCTCAAGTGCTGTTCATTATTCTGTCGTGCGAGTCTGTGTCTGGAGTTCTGCAGACCAGTTCTTGCAATAGGATCCTAGCGCCCGCGCATCGGGCATCTTGAAAATGCAAACTTGGGAATTGTGCATTGTCATCTGACAGATGGCATCAATTAGGATCCTATCTCTGCGGCCTGGAGGTTCAATTCAGGAAGGTGGCAGCCTAAGTTATTATCAATAACCATGGGGCAAGTTCGCGACGTACATACGCACCACTTCGTAGTTCTCTTGAGATGCGTTGGTTCGATATGCGCATCGGGCATCTTGAAAATGCACACTTGGAAATTATGCATTATCATCTGACAGACGGCATCTCGGTGGACCAAACAATTTAAATCGTCGCCACCATGGCCAAGGCGCGACCAATGCCATGTCTATCACGTCCCTCTATACACAAGGCACCAATCGCAGGTGCCCCGAAAGACCCAATTCCGAGGCATGGTTGCGGCAGGCGATGGCAATCTGGTTGGCTCCAAGCCTCATGAAGCTCCATTTGCGACGGGGATATTGCTCTTGTCAGAAATCAACCACGGTACGGAGTACTGCCTCGATGGAACTTTGGGTCCAGAGTACTACTCCGACCAAACGAGAATTTCTCTCTCGTCACGGCTGCGCCCTCTCTGATGACCTCCTTCGTTTCCGTCCATGACAGATCTGTCGCACCATGTTGCATCGTCATGATGTGCAGTTTCTTCTAGCAGGCGCCCCGTGTTTCTTTCTTCTTTTCTAAAGTTTCATTATCGCCAACTGTACCGTATCTGTCCTTTTTGTCAACCGCATACAGAGCACCTCATGACGCCGACGATTGCCATTCGATTCTATCCTCGCTCGTTATCCAGGAATAAGACCCACCATGGGCATCCGCTCGTGTTTGACGGCTTCACGCAAACTACTCCTTTTTCTCGCATCATCTGCCTTGATTACAGCGCTCCTTTACATCGCTTTTCGTGCTCAGGGCATTTTCTACCCGCATGCTGGCGTGACGACGACCCAGGACCAAGTAGCATTCGCGTATAATAACACACGACCCGAAACCCGAACCCGATATATACCTCGCATAATACACCAGATCTTCCTGAACCGGCGTGATGCTGCGAATGAAACAATACCCGCCACTTGGGATGCAGCGCGGCAGTCGTGCATTTCACTGCACAAAGACTGGGAGTACAAGGTGATTCGACAAAGCTTGAATTGGTGCGCTCCTCATCGGAGAATATCTCAAAGGGTCTGACTGTCATGAATTAGTTGTGGACTGAAAAGCCGTCACGAGACTTCGTAAAGAAAGAATATCCATGGTTTTTGAGGGCGTATGACGGCTACACCTTTCCGGAGAAGCGAGCCGATGCGTTGAGATACTTCCTGATGCGATATTACGGTGGAATTTATATCGATCTTGACATTGTGGGCATATCTGACACCATGGCGACATGCTATCGAGTTTCCTGAGTTGTGGCGACTAATTCGATCAATTAATAGGCATGCCAGGCCAATTTGGAGCCGCTTCTTTATTACCCAGCATGGCTTACGGACAGGGGCCATGGCTCTTTGAGCAATAGCGTTCTGGGGTCGCTGCCGAATCATCCATTTTGGAAATATGTAACTGAATCGCTACTCCGATACTCGCGGAACTACCCCCTCTCATTCCTGGCGGCAAGTTTTGCGCCGGGGAAGTGGTTTCTAATAGATGCGTGGCAGCGATACCACGCCGGACTGTCCGAGGAAGAAGACCGGCTCACTCGTGTCACGATGGACTCGCGGCCAGGATCAGCACCATGGATCTTCTTCACATATGCAGAGGGAGGTTCGCAGTCTAATAAGAACCACGAGTTGTTTGTACCGAGAGTATCACATTTGTTGACTTTGATGTACTGCACGGCTGCCATCTTCGCCGCCGCCGTTGTTTTTATTGCCGTCGGTCCCGGTAATTGGTGGTTATCGAAAACATACTGGACGAGACGGAGGTGTCGACACCGGCATTTTGATAAAAATATTTGTGAGTAATGATAATAATAACAAGAATGATGATCATGGTACAACTGTGAAAAGTCGCATTATGTGCAGGCCTACGCGGGCAGCAGCTTACTGGCGTTTTTGAGTCGATTTGGTGGGATGCACAGGCTGCGCCGACTTCGGCGCCTACATGAGCTGCTGAAGGATTGCAAGTAGTCCGTGCAGGGAGCGTCTTCTACCTGATTGCGACTATGTTGGTATTCAATTCCAAAAACCCCAGGGTCTTCACAGCAGAGATGTTCAAGCCTTTGGCCGCAGAAAAGGTTTGTTGTTTTTTGTGAGGCAAGAACGATGGACCAAATCGATACGATGGGACCTGTAGCGAAGTAAATCTGTCACCCTGATCATCCTACCTCTGGCCCATCGCGTTCAGACATGATAAGCTTTGCTCTATCACCCGCGACGTTTACCGTTTTTTGAAGTTGAAAAACTGCAGATAATCTTCATAATCTTGATCCATTGGAAAGGAACGAGCAACATCTCCCCAGACAATACATTACAAGATAAGCAGCTCCCGAGAACAAGGCATTCGCGACTCTCCGTAACATGACGTGATCGCTCTGCCTCAGACCTCATGGATCCGATGTGTGTCGACGGTTCGCGTGGCGAGCCAGGGTTTGAACTTCACATGTGTAGCTGAGAGGCATTAGTGTGTTAACACGATTCCGGACTTGGCATCGTCCTCTTGGGGATGCGGCAACTGACCTACTTTTTGCTCGGCTCGAACCGGGATCATGTCGATAGATGGTGGGCAAGAACAGACCCAAGTTTGTTCATCGCCAAGTTCAAAAGTTGCGATTGGTGTTCTTAAGCAGGGGGGCAGGGATAGATCAGCACAGACCAGTTGACCTTTGAAGAAAACCCCAACCCCGCGCTGGAGGCTTGCATTGTCCCCGCACGTATTGATGCCAGTCGCTGCCAGTTGTCGCTACCAAATCAGGCAGTTACGGCTTCGAGTCTTAAGCTCGTCGTTCCTTCCCCGCATCCGCCAGACTGCGCTAATGCACGCCATCTTGCGACTATCCCACAATCCAGCCATCAACTCCCACAAACTGGGACGAACTTGTGCGAAAATCGACCTCGGTAGCGAGTTGTGGAGTTAGGCCGGACTCTTCTGACTCTTCTTCACATGTACATGCATATTGGTCTATATACTGAGGCCCTGCCCTGACCCTGCCGCAATGCGTTCTGTCCGCTCTCGAACAAGCCTCAACACTCACCAGCCTCTTATCGACCAAACATGTCCAAGATTCAGAAGAGACAGACGATTCGCCAAAGCGTGTCGTACCCGGCAGGGACGGCATTCGCGTACAAGGTTCCCGAGGGTTACTTTGGTAATTTGACCGAGGAGCAAGAAGCAAAGGTGCGAGCAATGTGGGCAATTGGATTCAAATTTATCGAGATTTGCGAGGCAGACGACGACGCCAGTAAGGAAAAGACCCTCGAGGAGAAGTATGTCCCGCCGGCGAAGCAGTCCAGGCGGCTGCCACGCGGCGCAAGTGAGACTCATGAAAAGTACCCGACGCTAGTCAATGAAATATTGTCTTTATTGCCCACTACAGAAAAGAACTTGGACCGGTTGGCACAGCAAGCTGTTGAGTCTTTGGACAATTGGACCCCCGAGATGTACCGGTTAATTATTCTACGGGTGGTCAAGCATGAGCACCCAGACGCGCTTGCTCTTCGATTCCTCCGTGCATGCAACTGGGATATCATCAAAGCTACGACTATGATGGGGAAAACCATTTATTGGAGGACAATTGAGGCTGGAGTGGACGAGGACATCCTCAGGCACGGAGAAGGTGGCGCAGCGGAAGATGAGAAGAACAACCGGGGAATCACAAGAGCGCTAGGCGCAGACTTTATGAAGCAAGCTCGATGGGGCAAAAGCTTCATTCACGGGGTTGATAGAGCTGGACGGCCGATAACTCACATCAGAGTTCGACTGCACAGATCATCCGACCAATCTGTTCAGAGCCTCGAGAGATACACCCTATACCTTCTCGAGCTGGCCCGCTTGTCACTTAGGCATCCGATCGAGGCAGGCGTATGTGAATGAAAGCCCCAATATCATGCAGGAAGAACGCAGCGACTGACGTATAATCATTGCAGACCATTTTGTTGGACCTGTCCGGCTTCAAATTTGCCAACTTTGATCTTAAACCACTGTTGTTTATCTTCAAGCAAGTTGAGACGAACTACCCGGGTTCGCTGGGACTTGTTCTGGTTCATAACGCCCCAGTTGGCCTTAAAAGTATGCACTTCTTCTTACAGACTCGATGCGCCATAACTAACAAATGTGATTTACGCAGCAATCTGGAGACTCGCTCGCGTCTGGCTCAACAAAGAACTCACTAGCAAGGTCAAATTTACGTATGGCAAGAAGGGCCTAAGGAGATGGATAGCACCCGATCAACTAATAAGAGAACTCGGAGGCGAAGAAGATTGGGAGTACACATACGTGGAGCCAGAACCGGATGAAAACGCCGTGATGAATGACACTGAGACACGAGACCGGCTTCTGGGAGAAAGAATGGTGCTGGCGCTGAAGTTTGAGGAATTGACAAAGGAGTGGGTTATGAACGCTCAACTGAGCGAGAAGGCGAGGGAGATTTGCGACAGGCGAAACCAGTGTGTGGCAGACTTGGCTGCCAACTACTGGGAACTAGATCCTTACGTACGAGCCAGATCACTCTATGACCGACTGGGCTACTTTCGTGGTGCTGATGGTGTGGAGTGGTACCCCGGCAAGGCAGACGAGGAGTCGTTGCAGGAGATGATGGAGAAGATCAGGTCGATCGACAGTTGTGGCGCGAGTCATCACGAAGCTGTCAGTATTTCCGATGATGAATCGCGCTACGACAGTGATTTAGAAGAGATGCGCTGAATGTGTATTTGTGCAGGTGGATATGAGCTGTGTTATGATTGTTACGCATTGTTATGACTTATGTTGGAACAAGATGTAATGCTTTGACCTTGAACTTGATGAGCACACCGAGTTTAAATATTATTGTACATAGCTTCTGTCATTACAAATAAAATTACTACAAGCTTTTGTCAGATATTCATTAGCTCCGCCGCAGACTTTTGCTCCAGACTACGCTGTTCGTCGCGGAAAGCCGTCGCCATGCTTTGTTCACGTTTCACAACCTTGGCTTTAACAATGGACATCTAGCCACCAAATTTTCTCAAAGATTCGGTCCCAATTTAAACATGCAATATAATTTTACCCAGCTTTCTGCTTTTCTTTCCATCTTGCCTCTGTCTCCATGTCCGGCTATTCCCACAGTATCTTTCTTCCCCACCACGTCAACGCATAGGGGATGCGCTAAGTTGTCTTACACGCTTTCACGATGAATTTATACGAGTTAGTATCGTATCGCGATGGTATAAGCTCTGATTTCGCGACGGAATGAATTCGTGACCTATCCGAATAGTGAAGGAAGGTCGTTTCCCAGAACGCAAGATGTCTGTACTCCAGGACAAGAAGCCAAAGGGATCACGATCGGTGTCTCTTTCTTCAAGAGTCTAAAACTACAACTATCATGAACATCTTGAATCCTTATGTACTAAACGCGCTTTTTATATCTCCCACAAAAGCATTATCAATGCAGACGTCATGGGGATAAGCTTTCTCGCGCCTGTTTGGGATTGGGGTTCAGGTCCTAAGGCAAGCCCAGTGCAGGCAAGGCGAAATAAACACTAAATACACTCTACTGCTGGGAAATACCATACCTCATTGCTGTCCCAAACTACCTCTTTTAGTTGTAGCTCTGTAATTGCTGATTGGAAGACTGAAGTGGGCGCCGAATATTGGGCACTCTGCGTCTCAATCGGGTGAGATAATACCAGAACATCAATCCCATCTTAAAATTCAGATGAGAGGCTATAATACAATGAATATTCATCGGCGCGTGGGAAGATTCTTTCATCTAAAAGGGACGTTTGCATTGAATGTGAATGAAGCCAGACGCTTCAATGGTATATAAAACACCCTTGGATACAAAAAGATGGCCGCTTCTTTGCTGCGCATCGTTTGTCACAACTGGCTCCTGATTTCATGAAGAACAATTAGAAAAAAGAAAATTTTAAACAAATAAGTTGCTTTCTCTGTGATTTCTTTAACAAATTGTCCCGAGCACATCCGACGACAAACGAACAAAGAGAGGTGTCACGTTTCGGCACTCTTCCTTTGAGGCGGCAGATATACAAGAACTGCCTCCCCCTTAGCGACAATTTGATTCCTTTGATTTAAAACTTGGATTCAAAAGTATCTCCAAAAACCAAACTCCTGCAGTACGTGTGCGCGCCTCATCATTCTTGGCGTCTCGCAGATCTTTCTCAACTTGGCTACGGTTAAACATCTTTTTTCTTCCTTGGTAAAGAAGAAGATACCTCACTGTTAATTTCTCTTACGTTCCAGTGGCCGATTTGTCCTTGTGGCCAAGTACTATTTGCTCACAAGTTTTAGTGCCGCAATGGCAGTACCAGCGACAAAAACTCCAGGGGGAAAATGGATCTCCGGGGAGATCAAGGAGGCCCTGTTGCTAGCACCGACTGATCAGCATGGTAAAATAAAACTCAAGTTGAAAGTACACTGGGAATCGGATGGGATCCAATTCCAAGAATCCATACCACCCCGTAGAATCGATGAGACGACTACTTATACCGGCAAAACATCAAAGAAACCAAATAGATCTTGCCAAGATTACGTAGCCAAAGCTTGGCCCGAGACTGGAGCTGATGTGCCGGAGGCCTTGATGGAGTTTTTGGACTACCGGCACTCTTTCGGTAAGCAGGGAGAGCTAGCCACCATTACTTCCAATGGATGGACCCAATGGATACCATGACAAGGACTTACTGACTTGTATACTATGACAGGCTTCGACAACTTGAGCTACAAGATCGACTTGAATTGGGTCGAGCGGTATGCTCAGTATACTGCGGAAATTCTCGGGCCGCTTGAGCAGGTTGGGGACATTATTCAACAGCTAGCATGGATTACAGCCACATTTCGCAACTCAAACTTTTCGACGCAAGGCACTTGCAAGGTCGGGCTTAGCTGGACCAAGGAACGGGGTGAGGTACATGTTGAAATAAAGCCTCTGCCTCTTGGCCCATCCCCGGAGCCAGATTCTGAGAATTTGATCTACGCAGCAAACTCGCGCCAATACGTGTTTGAATACAATTCGGAGGATGAGTTGTTTCTTCAGCCCATGAAGGAAGACGAAGACGATTCGGAGGCTGAGTTGTTTCTTCAGCCCGAGAAGGAGGACGAAGACTATTCGGAGATTGTTTTGTCTCTTCATCCCAAGAAGGAAGACGAAGAAAATAAAGAGCAATCAAGGTCCGCACTGAGGCGTTGGGCCAGAAAGCTTTTCGGAGGCTGTTGGTCATGATGGCTCTTTTGTCTAGGGCTCAAACTAGGGTTTAAATTGTGGGTTCGCAATACAAGGGTTTGCAGAGAGTCTGATCCGGTATAATTAGAAGGGTCAAATTTGCGGGATTGCCAGGGGCTTCAAGGAAGACGTGTATAATTATCATCAACATGACCAAATTGGTCGCTTTTCGCCCTCAAGTGCACATGGCTAGTTGAAAGCTTCCAATTTCTCTTTGCAAGTTCGTCTTCATAATAAAGCCGCTGAATCCGACATGATTTGAGACTTCTGATGCCCCACTCGAAAAGACTTTGGCCTTTGTAACGTCGAGCAAGGTATTAATGTCATTGCACAGATTCACAGGACGAGGCAGCAACCCGGGCCCCACTCTTTCTACCCAACACCCGGCCCGGGCCGCTGGTGGATCCGAGCCAATATTCTTCCCCCCTGCGGCCATGACTATTGATTCACATTGCTTCACAGCCTGGGCACTTGTTTTCCCACCTCAATCCAGAGGCCTTCCGCCTCGGCAAACAAGCCGCCTTCCCCATCCTCCACCGTCCCTCTGAGCCACAGCTTTCTTCCACCCGACCTCCTTTCCAGCCGGGGGTACGCAGCGGCATCACGGAGGAGCCGCAAGCACCAGGCAGGTGCCGAGGCAGAACCAAAAGTAGTGCGGGCATTTTCGGATAGCGGCTCTGTGGGGATTGCTGGCCTCTCCAAGACCACCATGTTGAGAACAGGTGGCTGTTGAATCTTGGGGTTTCTGCTAATCTGACAATGTAAGGACATGACCATGGAGGGTTTTCTTTGCCGCTGCATAATCGCGCTTAGTCAATACGCATTACTGAGTCCTGGATTGCAAACAGCACAAACATGGAAAGCAGGCGTGAAAATGCTGAGCCCTCAGAAAATGGATTCACTCATTGCAACACATGGAAATTATGACGATCAATTGTTCTGTCTACATCCGAAACTAAGCCAACAGATGTATATCGCTCCCCCATACTTGAAACGGCGTGCCCAGGCAAATTCATAATAGCCCAGTCATCCCTACTTAGTCGACGACATTCTTGTACCGATAAGGCTTCGCAGTAACAGAACCGACACCCCAGCCAACGGAGCGAACCCATTTAACACAGCCATCGGTCCCCTTGCACTCGAGCGTGTTGTACTTCTTGTGGCTGGAGTCGGTCCACGAGTGGAAGAGAACGACGTGGCCGGCAGCACCTCCAGTGCCAGCAGCAAGTGTTCCCACCATGTCACCCGCCTTGATATCACTGTAGGAAATTGGGTTTGCAATTTGGCCTAGCGTCACAGTGCTGTATCCAGGAGAGGCGGCATGCAGAGCCATGGATACGAAACCAGAGCAGTCGGTGCGGTAGTTTCTACCCTGCGGATCGGGATACTGCTTATTCATAGAGTAGGGGATGTGCTTGGATACCCAATATTGGCCACGGTCCATAATCTCCTTGCGGGTGATCTTGCCGCCTACCGAGGAATCTCCGCCGCCGCCGCCGCCGCATTGACCGGTGACCATGCCGTTGGAGCCAGTCTTGACATAGTAGTCGGAGACGTAGCACCCGTCTTGGGTTTTATCCCAGAGGTTATTGCCCGAGACAGTCTCTCCGGCAACCTGGCAGCTGATCTTGATGTCATTGCCCTTGCTATATGTCTTGATGACCTTGTCGTGGGTGGAAGGGCCAGAGCGGCAGTTGACAGTGGTGCCCGTGATTGGATATGCGCTGACCATGGGAAGGGCCGCGGAAAGGGTGACGGCCAGGAGTTTGAGCTGCATGATGGCGTTGAGATTGGCAGGGTATTTTTTTGGCGAGTTTTTTTTTGGTCGTTCTGCGTGATGTTCTAGTTGTAATGTATAAGATGAGGATATTTGTTAAAAGGATGCGCCTGTTGGACAGAACTCCAAGATGTCTTGGTTAGTATTTATACTCGTTTCCATGTAAACTAAAATTACCACAGAGTTGATTGCTTACTGTTTGAACATAACGTCGTTTCCTTCAGCTGTGATGCTGGTGGAGTTGAGCTGAAGATGAAGGCACGCAGTGGCAGGGATCTACGCCGTTATGGCAGGCATCCTACTCCAAAAATAGAAGCCATTTGGGAAGTGATCTCTGTCGAAACATGATGAATGGTTCGATATAAGCTTATTTTCGGCGCAATCATGAACGTTTGATGCTGCTGCAGAGAGCTGGCGATCACAATTTGTTGTCATCCTCCGCCGTTGGTGTTCCGATTATAGAAATGGGTCAATTCAATGCTGCGCTGCTCCTTCCTGATTCGAGGAGCATCGCTGGGACGCCTGCTGGCTGGACAGCTAAAGCAGCTAGCCTCACCCGGGACCGCAGCAGAGGACGTAGACCTTGCAATCTAGATACCAGGGCACAGCTTTCGTTTCCATTGACTGGCCGCAAAGAGTCCATTAGGAACATTGAAACAAGCCGCCGCTGGCATGATAACGAAGATGCCGTCTCGTGGTGCTGTGGATCTGGGCGTTGTGGACTGAGGACTCGTCTGGTGGTGGACGACTCGCTCGACGTCCAGTCGCACCCATGAAAGACGAGCCAACTCCTCCATTCAGCTTGATGCAATCCATTGACCGTACTCTTGGGAGACTTTCACTCCCTCTGGTTCCTTTGAGAGTCAAGGTGCCTTTGTCGCATTTCCCCGAATGTCAACGCCTTGCTGTCTTGGGCTAAACGCGGTTTAGCGTGTGTGTACCGCGCCCAGTTCGAATTTTTCTTCAACGCTCGGTTGGCATCTCACCACTTCTGTCAGAAATGTCCAACGCCTCGGTTGAGAATTCAATATCGGACCTCCTGACGCTGATTATCACCACGTCACCGACCCTCTCGGCCCCATCTACCGAGCTTCTCTCTGCCGTCCTCTCGTCGTTCCGCGCTCATTGCGCTCCGTTGTTGAACTGCAGCGTCATTGTCGTGTTCGACGCATGCGAACAAATTACCGCTCATCCCCGGCTCAAGAAAGGCTATGTCACACAAAAGAGCGCCCAAGACTACGAGGCATACAAAAAGAACGTCAAACATCTCTTCCTAGAGGAGTACTTGCAGAGCACCCCCGAGCGGACAGAGCTGACAGAATGTTGCGGCGAAGCTGAGTACGGCTCACCATCCAGCACGCCGGTTCTTTTCACCACTTCCTCCACAGCGGATGGCCGCATTACCTTCATTGAGGCCACGGGTCAGCGCCTGGGGTTCGGTTTGGCAGTTCGTACGGCACTCCGAGCAGTGGCAACCCCCTACGTCTGGGTACACCAGCATGACTGGGCTCTCATCTATCATGTCCCGGTCACACATCTCCTTGGCATCATGGCGGCCTCTGAGTTGGACGACGACGACAGGAGACCCATAAAATACGTCTGTCTGCCCTCTGGCCGCAGGACCTCCTACGCCACGTCGGACCAAGTCATGCCGTTTCCAGAGCTACGGAAGCTCGCCATTGCCCTTAGTGGTGATTATATATCGCCAGGCAGTTCCTCAACCGCCGTCCCGCTGACACCCATGTTCTTTTGGCACGACAAGCCGCATATCGCTTCGACGGCGCATTATCTTGGGCGTGTTTTCCCCAGCAGGTTGGCCATGATGCGCGGGGCATTCATCGAGGACACGATCGGGCAGAGGGCCAGGAGCCAGATGAAGGAAGGGCAGTGGGCCAAATGGGCAACCTGGCTTTACAACCCCCAAGATGGCAAGCAAGTGTGCTTGAGACATCTCCATGGCAGGACGTGGAGAGGTGAGGAGGAGGAAACGCGGATGAAGGAGGTACATCGTGAGCGAAACTTGGCTGCATTGCGCCAGTTGGCAGATGCAACGAACGGCAATAACAATGCCAACACCAACTCTCGGTTCCTAGAAGACGACTCAGAGACAGAAATCAGCCTGGACTTCTTTCGAGAAGAGACGTGAGCCTTCTTCAGACTTTGCGTCGCTCTTGCACGTGCTTCAACAACCTCGGTGTCCAGTGGTCGCAACGCCAGCGCCTTCCATCTCGATGCATTGAACTTTCATTTTCGCAAGGCGATCCAGCCCGACCATACGGGCAGGCGGGCAAGGTCGACATCTTGGGGGTCGGAGGCGGTGCATCCGAAAATATCCCGTTTGGGCACGTCCTGCATATTCTTTTTTTTTAGATGCAATGAGACCATCGTGATCATGCTGCCTTCGGGGCCGTGAAGTTCCCGAAACCTAGGTCATCTTGGCCTTTTCTCGTCGCATGTTTTTGGCGATAGTCGTGTGAAGCGAGCTCGAAATAGTATCTCGGGTACCGGCTGCCCCCGAGATGTTATATTTAGGTCGCGCGGGTATCGTTTGTTTCGGATGCCGCCTACCCCATGACTGGGAAACCTGGGTCGGCGTGAATTTACCCCGACGGCACACGTGGGTGACAGATGTGTTGATTTACACGCCGTTCCTGTGCAGAGACCTGAAACTTGGAGTCCATTTTTTCTTCTTTTTTTGCATCCTCGATCTAAGCGATTCGGTACAGAGCTATCTTTCTTTATATATCTATGTATGAAACGAAACTTTTAAGCCTATGCTGCCTCTGACAAATACGCCAACACAGCTAGCAACTTGCTCCAGGGTCCTCCAGCTAGCCAAGGGCCCCTGCAATGGGTGATTTTCTTGGGCGGTAGACCTTGATAGGCATGGTCGAGCGGCGCACGGATATGCAGCGAGCCTAGATACTGAGCTGATCTCTTTGCGGCTATAAGGACGTTGTGCTCCGGGAACAAGCACCTGCGACACTTTTGAGTAAGCGGATAGGCGAACTCGTTGGACCATCTTTCGGAATTCAATGTCGACCTCGTGATGTAGTTGGAGGAGCCTCCCTGTCGGGGTTTCACCGCGGCCCGATTCTGCGGATCGGACATTTTTTAGCCTTGTGAGATGGCTTCATAGTCTAAAAATATCGCAAGGCGTTTCTGTTCCGGTGCAAGCTCTTGTTCTAACTTGTATGTAGACGCCGCTGTGTGTCTGGCGTACAGAGCCTGGCATGGGCATAGGCATATCATTGATCGGCCAAACGGCCCATGCAGAATAGTCGGCAGCATCTGCCGAAATGCAAGGCACCAAACCAAAGCTCAACTGCATAGTGCTGTCTATCGAGTCCTAGCGTTGATTCTTGCCTCTATATGTACTCATTAGACAGATGACAATCGGTAGCATTTCCGGCGCCGTCCGGATATCCGGGCTGCTAAAGCCAACATTGAAGCAGCCACCAGCAGCAGCACGTCACTAAACAAGGTTGTGGCGTTTCTTTCTCCAGTCTGCCACGCCTTGGCCGCATTCGTTTATCGAATCGGTATTGCCAGACGTGGGTTCCGCTGCAACGGCAGATCGACTTGGACCGCTCACCCGCTCACCTTCGGTCGGCACAACTCTTGATCACTCATCCTTCCTAGCCGTAGTCGTAGCCCTACGGTGAGGCGGCATCCCTGATAAGCACCTGGCGCTTTCCAAACTGAAACTAACGCCCTGCATGATTTGCACGCTGCGGATCCGAGCGCAGCTTCGCAGGGCTGTGCTCGTTTCTCGCTTCGGTTACTAAATTAGAAGAAATCCCTGCATCCTGGCCACGACAGCGGGCCGGTGGCAGCTACTGCTACATTAAGAGGGAGGTTCGAGAATATGTACATGATCAATGCTCATTGGATCTGAAATTGTCGTTATTTATTTATTTATATAATTCTTTTCTTTTTTGTTCTTCTTCACAACCGCCCATCCCGCCCCCTCCCCCCCCTTTAGCTACTTTGCATGTTGAATAAACAAGAATACCAGGGAAAAGACAAAATGACAACACGCCAAGATCAATCCAGGTCCCCCTCCAGACCTCGTCGGTTCTATAAACGATCTACTGTAGCTTGCAAAGCCTGCCACGGCCGCAAGGTGCGATGCAACGTCGCCCTGTCGGGGATACCCTGCGCGAATTGCGCCGCAGACGGCGCCGTATGCGAGATTGCGCAGAGGAAAAGACGAATGTACCGTATTCCCTATCCTGCCCTCCGTTTAATTGTATACAATATACAATGCATTGGAAAACATCGCCGACGGCGGCTAAAACAGGCGTCGGTACGCTCCATTTAGAAACCCGGATCAGCTTCGCGCCACGCCCGACAGCCAGCAGGGCAACTCGACGTCGCCGGCACACAGCCATGATCACCCCGAAAATGAGGCAGACGACATTTCCGGCCGCCGATATCCCCCGGGTCTCCAGGCGAATGAGGCGGCATCCAGCGCCGCGGGCATGGTGTCGGGGTTTGCGCCTGGCCCTCCGCGAGACGACCAGATGAATGGAACTCGCAGCCCGTATTACCTAGGTACGACATGTTCTTTTATTCTCTTCTTCTGCTTCTTCTTGTCCCTTTTTCCTTTCCCAGTGTATGACAGACTCATAATTCTTGTTTCATTCTTCTAGGCGACGAAAGGGGACCGCTAGCCTTGGCCATCAACATTTGCCGCGACGATGGCCTCAAATCCTCCCGACATGCCTTCCTGCCCATTAACAACAGCACGCCACTGACCCCGCAGGACTGGCAGTATCTGGAGCAAAGAGGCTGCTTCAGCCTGCCGTCTCGCGAGCTGCAGGACGCGTTGCTCCGCGCCTACTTTCACTATGTGCATCCCTTTGCGCCCGTCATCGACGTGGCCGACTTTGTCTATCGCTACACGACCGGCCACGTGAGCGTCTTGCTGCTTTGGAGCATATTTGCCGCGGCAGGCAGCGTGAGTCGCGTCCACACCCGGGGGTCGAGAGCCGAGACGGAGCTGACCAGTGTCTGCAGTTCATCGACGAGCAGCTGCCGACTAACGAGCTCGGGGCGACGAGGATCGAGGTCAAGGCGGCGGCGTTTGAGCGGGCAAAGGCGCTCTACGACTTGGAGTACGAACGGGAAACGATAGCGCTCATCCAGTCGACGTACCTGATGAGCTACCGGCTCGGGTGCCTCAACGACGTCAAGGGGCCGTGGTACTGGATCGGCGTCGCCATCAACCTCGCCTACACGGCCGGGCTTCACCGTCTGCCGCCTCCCGACTCGCCCGACTCGCCCGCCGGCAACTCGCGGCTCTGGATCCAGCTCTTTTGGAGCGTCTACTGCCGCGACGTCTGGCTGTGCCTCGCCTACAGCCGGCCGGTGCGCATCCTCCTCAGCGAGGTGACGACGCCCATCCCGACCCGCGTCCAGCTCGCGTCGGCCCCCGTCGAGGTCCCCGACGACATCTACCACCGCTACCTGCCCTACGAGATCAACGAGCTGGCCCGCCTGTGGCTGTGCCTCGTCAGGATCAGCGCGACCCTGGGCAGCGTGCTGTCGTCCTTTTACACGGCTAAGTCGTCGGGCCCGACGCGCCAGCAGATCGACTACATGGAGCACGAGATCGAGGCGCACCTCGCGGACCTCCCGGCCGGGAGCCACAGGAGCGAGCTCGTCATGATCCACGTACACCAGATCCGGCTGTATCACGAGTACGCAACCATCCCTCCCTCCCCTCCCATCACGACGCCGTGTATCACTCCGTATATACATGTCTAACCGAGTCCCTGCCCCAGAGCAACAACAGCCATCCTGTACATCCCCCAGAACCATAGCCTGCCGTACGAAAGCCCAGCCAAGCACACCGACTCCCTCCAGTCTCTGTGCCTCCGGAAAATGCGCGCCTCGGCGCTCCGCATCACGCACCTGATCAACGTCATGATAGGCGAAGGCCTCACCACGCACGTCCACATGCTCACGTACAGTCCTTTCCCCCCCTCCCCAAAATACCCACCAGCAGCAGAAGCACAAGAGCTAACGCGCGCAAGCAGCGTCATTGCCATAATCCCCTCGATGCAGGTGCACCTCGTCGACCTCATGTCCTCGAGCCAGCCGACGCGGCAGGCGGGCGAGCACAACCTGCACCTGTGCATGGTGCTCCTCGAAAACCTGCGCACGACGCACGTCTCGGCCAAGGCGACGCACTGCCTGTTCAACGCGGCCATTGAGAAGATTAAGAATAAGCCCACGTCGTGTCCGTGCCCGCTGCTAATGGGCGGCGGGTCCGCATCGGCATCGGCGGCGGCGGCGGCGTCTTCGGGCCCCGCGTCGGCCTCGGGCTCGGATAACCGGAGCATCGTGACCGACGACGACAGCGAGAGCGTGTTCCCTGTTACCGTGCCAGGAATGTCGTATCTGGATATGCTGCCGATGATGTCGCCCGACGGGGAGTTTTCGCTGCATGATTAGGAACTTCTTTTCTTTTCTTTTTTTTTTTTGGGTTGTGCCTGCCAACGACTATTTTTATCTTGTGACCTGGGGGGCCGGAAATACAGCGCTTTTTATTACGTCTTTTTTCAGTGGAGCATACTGTTACATGTACTTTTATGACTACTACTATTTATTCCTCCGTAGCTACTCTGCACAATGTGCCAGCTGCCTATTTTTCTTTTTTAGACCCGTGTTTCTATTTAAATCGTGCATAAACGTCTCCCCCGGCCCCGCCCCGCACCTCCGGCCGCCGAACCATGTGTCCGAATCTGTCTCACGGGTACCCGCGGCCACCTACCGTAGGGACTAGTCAAGCGCCGCACGTGGAATTGTAACACACACTTCCGGGGTTGTGGCCGCGCATGGCCAGGATTCACCCTTGTATACATGCCGCTCGCCCAAGTACAAGTCTTGGTCGTCACGTTCTCGACAGATGCAGCCAGGTATACAATACGAGAAGCAAACAGAAATCGACTTTATTACGCCCTCGACAAGATTAAAATTTCCTACACAACACTCGAATCAAGATATTTGGCAAACAAACAAATGTGCCCCTATTAGCAGTCCCCCTCCTCCTGCTCGCCCGCTTACACAACAACCTCCACCACCACCCATCCGTTCTCGCCGAGCTCCCGTCCGCTCAGAAATTAGCAGTTGGTCGGCCGGTACGCCTTGAGCGACTTGTCGCCGCCGGGCACGGCGCCCTGCGCAGCAGCCATGTACTTGTCAATGGCGGGCAGCACGTGCGGGCAGCGGTCCTGGTTCATAGCCTTGACCAGCGTCTTGACCTCGTCGGGCTTCATGGTCGACCCCCGCTTGGACATGAGCGTCAGCCCGTCGACGATGAACTGGAACGTGTCCTGGTTGACCAGCACGTCGTTGGCGTCGGCGACGCCGGCGTCCCTCGCGGCCGCCGTGCCGTTGAGGAACATGCGGTCCAGGACGGCCTTGTGCAGCAGCTCGTCGTTTTCGGCGTCGAGCGCAATCTTGCCCTGCCGCTGGAGCTCCTGGGGGTCCATGGACTCGGCGTTGGACAGGAAGTTGGACACGGTGCCCGTGTCGTTGCGCCAGGCGCGCGCCGCCGTGTCGATCTGCTCGCTGGTCGGCGCCTGGCCGCTGCCGCTGCCGCCGCCGACTGCGCCCGTCAGGGGGGATAGGAAGCTGTCCACCATGTTGCCGAGGGCGCCGAAGATGGGAACGGCCACGGCCGCGTGTCCCTGGAGGACGATGACGAGGGGAGCGATGACGTTTTGGGGCCGCATTTTGGTCCTTGTTGTGCTGCGTGTAAATAGCAGGTAGGTGATAGAGGTGAAAGGTGAAAGAAAGAAAGTAAGTAAGTAAGAAACAAGCTCAACGACTAGGACTGTTGATTATAATGAAAGAATAATGCTGCTGCGGCTGCTGTTGGTGTTGTTGTTGCAAACGAGTGTGAGTAAGTATCAGATGAAGGCTGGTGTGGGCGTGAGATCACTGAGATGATGACCAGGTGCTGCTTCCCACGATGCCACAGGACACACAAGGCCAATTATATATACCTTTCCTCGTCGAGCTACACATGACTGTAGTGGTTTTTCCCTCCTCGGCGGTAAATAATGGGCCTGTCCGCACAGAAGCTCTCTGTGTAACTTTTTTGTTTCTAAGGCTTCGGTGATGCCCACCACGAGCGCAAACTCTACATTATAGTCTTTGTGGCCGGAAATGAGGCACGTTTTAGATGCTACCCACTTTTGACTCTCGAGCATCGTACAGACCGTTATATATGGGCCCATCGTGGTAGATTGCGAGAATCCGTCGTGGGCGCCACGCGCGGGTGACGGTTGCATCCCCACCGGCATTGTCAAAGCACATCGACACATGCCTCCCGCACGCGGCGACCTGTTTGTTTCAGGTCATCACCGCTACGGTGCTGTACTACGGCGCGCAGAAAGCTTATGTGCCGAGGGACTTTGTGGGCTGGGTGGCCAGATGCGATGGCCGGGAATAGGAGGTTATTGGTGCTCTGGACTGCAATGTCGAGATTCGACGTTGGCTGAAGCGGAACTTGTTATGAGGGACGGGGAGGGGGGGATCGAATGATTTCCTTTTGACCGCGGCTTTGATGTTTCGGACCCTTAAGCTATTGTGCTTTACGACAACGGATAAAGTTTTCAGATGATTATCGTACGGCCCATTGATCGCTGTTGGAAGTCAAAAGTGTGGCGTTTCGGCTTCAACCCATAAATAACAATGGATACATTTGGCGTGTTCATTTAACCTTGGCCGTGTTGCAGTGCGAGGGCGCTCTCCTTCCATCTTGTAATTGAATTTGTTGCTCTTTTTTGATAATTCAATCAAACCAGACTCTATCAATTATAGGCCGTATATCACGAGCCTGTAGTCTAAATCGTGATGGCTGGATTTTTTGACAGACCTCTTCTTAGACGATGAACCATTTGGTCCGCTGGCACGGTCACCTCTGACAGCAGTGAAATTGCTCTTAAGAGCTACAATGCAGCGAGGCATGGAGGCAGTGTTGCTTTTGAGCCAACAAAGTCTCAAGTCATGATGGAAGGGAGGCATGCTGTTCCTCACGGACTTCGGCATCTTGTCCGTCTGAATCCCCGCAGTAAGGCAGTTCCGGGAAGATGCGCCTCGCCTCCCTTCTCGCCTTCTTCAGGCGGCGCTTGGCCTTGACACCCAGCTTCGTCTTGTTGGGGTTCGCATCCAGCGGCGGCCTGTCAATCCACACGGGCAGCGCAACAGGGGCGTGGGCAATGGCGTCGAGGGTGCGGAACAGCTCTTGGCTGGCGGCAGCAGTCTCGGGCGCCATACGGCCGTCGCGCACGGCAATCATGAGCAGGGCCTTGAGGGCAAAGTGTGCGTCGTTGCCGGCGGCATGGAGGTTCGCGTAGGGAATGGCGAATTCGTCCAGCAGCTTCTCTATGCTGTAGCGGTAGTACAGCTGGAGCGGGTGCTGGGCAGCCTTGACCGTGTCCATGATGTAGGCGGCGCGGGCAGCGATTTCGGGGTCCAGGTTATTCAGGAACTTGATCTCCTCGCGCGTGCCGTGGGCGACGAGCACGTAGGCCCTGCCCGCGGTGAGGCGGGCGAATCTGGTGGTGAAGTCGGGCAGCGCGATGCGCTCCGTGTCCCCGAAGAGGAACGACCGGGCGGCCCACCTGCATGGCCGCGAGTCTGTGTTGATGAATTGGTGCGAGGAGATGGCGGCGGCGGGATGGCGTAGCTGCGTGGTGATGAGGTGGCGCGTGTCCAAGATGGAGACGCCAATGTGGAAGCTTTGACCTGGGGAAATGACTTCGTAGCCCCCGCCAGTGTCGACGTCTACGGCCACGAGGAGGACGTCTTTGATGTGGGTTCCGGGGAGGGAGTGGCTGATTGGGGGCAGGTTGTATGGCGGAGCAGGGAGGAGGGATTCGAGGCGGTATCCTAGGATTTGGCGGAGGGCAATGTTTTCCTCGCGTAGGATGCCCGCGTGCTGGCCCGGGACTGAGGGCATTGATGATGGCCTGGGTGAATGTGATGCACTGATGGTGGTTTGGCGGGTGGGTGGTGTTGGGGCCGACTAACCCCGATTTGGAAATACTATCTGCCAAGACGGAGAACGGAGTACCTGGACAAGAAATGCATGCACTTGCGTCGATGCGGCATCGAACAGGCTCTGGAAGCACTTGAGACTTGAGGGGTGCAGGTTGCACCGACAAAGAATCGCAGGTGACTGGGATTTAAACACGCAGCTCATCCTTGGAATTCTGGACGGACAGAGCCAGCGCCACTAGACAAAGTGCCTTGTGCAAGCTTCGACCGTCGGTACAAGAAGAGGAATAGCATTTGGCGGCACGAGTTCTGACAAACTATGGGCATGGACAGCTGCCTATTGTCATCAGCGACGGTGGAGGAGTAGGGCCAGGCACCTCGACATTTCGGCCAAGTGCGCCAGGGGACCTGAGAAGGGTTCGGTGTTCGGGGCATTTGACTAGGGGCGCGAGTTTCGTCCCAAAGTCCGAATGTCTCATTCAATGTTAGTAGTATCGACTTGTTGCCCCTCCTCCCATGTGATGAGCGCACGCACTTCAATGTTGGTTCAGCCCGCGGTGCCCCACTAACTGCCATGGAGTTTCAAAACATTGAACGCATCAATCCCTTTGAATACTTACTTAAGTATGCAAAGGTCTCATGGCTGTAGCGGACCAGGGTTCTGGGCAACAACAAATGCTGTTAGGGGGTAGAGGACAGGTAAATTTACTAAGAAATCTTATGATAATAAGTACCTAGGTACCACCATCTTTAAATACCTACTTAAGTAGGTATATAGAGAGGTATAAAGGATAATTAGCTGCTCTCGTTGGCCCAAGTATCATTAGGTACTAGACTTCAGGTAACATGGAAGAAGTGGGTCGAATAGAGCAGGAGGACCTCTGCACTTCAAAGCAAGTGTCTCTGTGTGTGATGATGCCGCCCAGCATGGCCATGGCTAAAAATAACACAAACAAAAAGTCCCCGAACTTGTCCGCTGCCTAGCACTATCCTTAGCCAGTCAAGTCGACATCGACCAGTCAACTTGTGGCCTACTGGCCGGCGGCGCCCACGCACGCTGGCGACAGCCGAAGTGTCACCATGTCCGAGGCTCTGGAGTCTGCGGCACATGGAAATATGAGTCTGGTACAAGAGCCAGAGCCGCTCAGACCGTGACACACATTCTCAAACATCAACAGCACTCTTCTTCCCAGATGCCTCGGCGATTAGTGGATCTGCCAAACATCCAATGTTGTAGTTGGCGATGCCAAAAAAAAAAGAGGGAGACATGGAAGAAGAAGAAAACCCAATAGTATACAAAGCAGCGCCGTATACTCCAGAGTCCGTATGTACAAGACCAGCTATAAAACAAGTCTGCCTCCTCGAGAAGAGAGTGCAAATAGTTTCCAAATCCTCACATCGCATTCCATTCAGCTCTCATCGCATCCAACTAAAAACTTTAATACTACCCTTTCCCCCCCCTTCTTCCCACCCTGTCAACAATGCGCTTCTTCACGCCGAGCATCGCCGCCGGGGCCGTGTTCCTGGCTAGCGCCGCCTGGGCACAGCCCGTCGAGCAGAGTAAGCCAAGAACCCCCACGCAGATAGTGCAAAGCTTATATCCGGCCGGACACATGCATCACCTGGATTGAATCTTGACTGGACCCAAGACTAATTTATGCAGCGGCGCGCGCCAGCATGCAGGAACGCGCTGCCGGCGGCGGCGGCGGCGGCCTGGCCACGATCCTCGCCGACCACGTCAAGTACGTCTCCAACCCCGCGAGCGCCAAGGACCCCATACCGCCAGAAGAGGACAATGCCGCCCGCGAGGCTCATCGCTCGGTTCACGCGGCGCTCTTTGACGCCATCGGCGGAGGAGGAGGCGCCGGCGGTCAAAAAGGTGCTGCTGGAGGTGCTGCTGGAGCTGGTGCTGCTGCTGGAGCGGGTGGTCGAGGCGGCGGCAAGGGCAAGGCTGCCGGAGATAAAGGCGCAAAGGAGCAATAACCGACATGCATATGTGCAGGGGATGCTGGCCCATCTTTTGTCTAGTCTACATTGTATGCCGGTAACGATTGCGTATCAACTTAATACAACATACATTCTATACGTCACGGCTGGCGAGAGGCGTTTTCGCAACATGATGACTGTTTTACCATCGCATTGCCCGCATTGCCCGCATTGCCAACACGCATGCCCATCTGGCGCGAATAAATGAATCATTACCTACGCGACATGGTACAACTATACTCATAAGCGTGAGGTGTATTATTATGGGCCCTTCGTCACTACATAAGGTATTAAATATCAAACTGCCAACTAATGACCCTATGCTTCCTTTCCAAATATGATTCTCCATGATACATTGCCAGCATACATTTCATTCGCGCCGTCTGCGGTCCTCGTCCTCCAGCGTCTTCATACTCTCCTTCACTTCATACTCGAGATACACGGGCCTGACCGACCTAAAAGTCGCCCCGTCTCTCACGCTCCTGCCGTCGAACCTCGTCCCGGAACGTGTTTCGTCCCCCGGTGCTGCCGGGCTCTTCAAAGGTTCCACGGACGGGGCTTCCAGTCAGGCTACCTAGAGCGTCGCTGTCGCGTCTAGCTCTCTCGGGAACAGTATCGCGGTAGTCAAACGGCGGGGGCGAGAGCGGCGCGGTATCCAGCTGGATGCCATTGTCCTTGCGACTGCGATTGAAGAGCTTCCGCGTCCTGCGGCCCGTGTATCCTTGCCGAGAGCGGCTCATGATATTGCCGAGCTCAATGCGACGCGTCTTGCGGTTCCAGAGGCACCCGCCGACGAGGATGAGGGCAATAACGCCCAAGGTCACGGGTAGAGCAATGGTGAGGGTTTTGCCCTTGGGGGCGTTGCTAGGCGCCGTAGGGTCCAGGGGCGGGTTAGAGACAACGACGGGCAGCGGGATGGACTTGTTGTTGTAGGCGATGCTGTTTTCCGTGTCGTGGCCCATGAGGGTAATGGTGATGTTGTTGGTGTGCTTCTGGCCCTTGAGGTATTTGCCGTCCACGGCGAGCGGGAAGTAGCCCCATTTCGCAGGCACGCTCTTGTCGATCGTCTCGAGGAGCACGTACTCGTTACTGGTGGTGTTGAGGTAGTCGAGGCGGACGCTGACAAAGTAGGTTGAGTTGAGGGTGGCTGCTGATTTGTTGTAGTAGTCCGGGTCCCAGGTGACTGGTTTGGACAAGCATCTCGTTAGCTGCACTGGTCTCGAGGGGTTGCCTTTTGGCCAAGGGGTTCAAGACGCACCGTAATATGTGTTTCCAGTGTAAATGCTGGAATTGTACGACGGGCGGCAGAATGGCGCATACGGCCCGTTCTTGTTGTAGCATCGCGAAAAGGAGCCCTGGTTCGTGCCGGCATTGGTCGCAGTCGGGTTAGGCGGCAAACCAGTGCTAGTGGAAAGGTGCCCGAAACTAGTCAGAGTGTACACCGAGGCTGTGAGGTCGTGAGGCGCCGGGTCAATGCCCGACGGCGTGCCGCTAATGGTGGTGAAGACGGGAGTAAACGTCTTGCTGGGGTTGCCGTTGTCGTCGACGGTGACCCAGGGAGCGGCAGGGAGGTTGTCGTTATTGTCGTAGTCGCGGCGCAGGACGGGAGGCTCGCTGGGGGTAGGGACGGCAACGGCAGCGGCGGCACGGATGGCGAGGCCAGCGCCGAGAATCACGGACGCGTGCATGGCGGTTTTAACTGTGGTGGTGATGCTTTTTTTTTTTGGTAGAGGGAGGGAGAATCTGCGGATGAGACGGGAGGCAAGCTGCGCGAAACGCGCGACTGAACCCTGCTGGAAGAATGAAAGAAAAAGTGGCTTCAACGCTGTGCTGTCTACGATTGCATTAGGGAAGTAGTATAAGATGTAGGAAGAGATGCAAGAGGAAGATGGACAGCTGGCGGTGATCAATAGAGGTGAGAGAAAAGTCAATTGAATACGGAGTACGTCGTAGTCGAGGGTCAATTCGGAATGGAAGGCTCGGACATTTCGCGACAAGCAATTGGCCAGTGACACGCGACGGATTTTTTTTCCCTTCCCGCTTTTCCACATCACGTTCCCGTAGGATCCGCCGGTACTTCCTTTTAGCCGGCGCCGAGGCGGCATTCAAGTTCTCTACTTTATTCAACAAGATTTCTACTCCGCAGGTCCTTGGGTATTCTAGCTTTTCTCATGTACAGTACTAGTGAGCCAGTTCATTCCTTTATTGATAATTCAAGATTGAGTTTCAAGGGACGGCCCACAGCGACGTTGCCGCTCAATTTTTCCAGGCCCTTGCGTTAGGACGTCAAATTAGACATGATAGATCTAGTAGATGGTTTTGCGGGAAACAAAGGATAACATTTCTCCAATGGTGCCAACTGAGCTTTTCCCCACGACACCTACACTCATACACACGTGCATACATGCACCTTCCCAGATAATCAATACACCAACCCATCATAGCTACTCATCGAGTCATCGTACAGTTCCATCGCCGGGGTATACATATTTAGTCAGCCTTAATTGCCTCCTTGAACCACCCGTAACGCCCAATAAACGCCCAGAATCCCCCGTCTATTCACACACCTTGATTCGTTTCGGCTCGTGCGCTTCAAGCCCCTCCGAGAGTGGCCCCTGGCCGCCATCCATTTCTCCCTGTTCCCGTTTCTTGGACAAGTCGACAACAGGTATCGATAGCCCATCACCATAGGCAGCACAGAGATCCAGTCGTTGCTCGCCCTCCCCAAGAGGTCTCATGAAGGCCGCAGGGATGGCGGTGGCCAGCCTACAGCTCGCCTGACACGGCTGGTAAGAGTCGGTGGTCCATGCTGGATCCGCGTAGTTCTTGGCTTCAGCAATGGTGTACCCGCAGCTGAAGCCCTCGTGGTATGCGTCGGGCAGAATGACGATTGTTTCGCCGGGCCGTTGGTCCACAATCCTGTATGGTATGCCCAGCTTCTGCAGCTTATCGGGGAAGAAGAACTCGGCGCGGTGGCGCATAAACTGCGAACAGCCCAAGCCGCGGCCCAATGCCCTTTCTGCGACATCGACGTCTGTGGTGGGAATGACGATCCAGATTTTTCGGCCCTTGTAGAGGTGGTTTAATGATGCGAGGCGGAAATCCTCGGCGTGGATTTGGAACGTTGCGCCAAAGGCCGAGGCGGATTCGTACACATAGGGGGTGTGGATGCCGGGAATGACAGCCTTTGTATTATCGAGTTTGTCGCCCTTTAGTGGGTAGATTGGGCTCTTCTCTGGAACTCCTGCAAGACGCCTTTGGGTCTTGGTCCAGGCGGGCACGTCGACTCTGTATCTGATGTTGCGCAATTGTTTGTTTTGCTGCTTCCGGAAGAGATGCTTGAGGTTCTTCAGAAGTGCGTCAACAGGCTCGGAAAACCCTGTGCCGGACTGGGATGAAGATGCGAATACGCCTTCCGAGGGTACGGTGCTGACTTGCCAGAACGACGTTCGCCTCATCAGCTTGACCTTGTAGGCATTGGCCAGCAAATTCTGGGCTGGTTTCTCTGGCAGCTCCTCTTGCAGTGTTTCCGGTATAATGACCTTGAAGCAGCCGTCTCCCTCCGCACCAAGACTTTTGGCATAAGCCAAGACGGCAGGGAAGTCATCCCACTGTTCTTTGGTCGGTTGGAGGCGCAGGATTCGATGGCCATCGACTTGGTCGTAGTTGTGCTTGATATCCGGTGCAACGTCGGGCTCTTTGGGTTGGTCCCTGGGGTTGTCCATCCCGGCACCGTCCCTGGTGATAGGGATTTGTGGCACCGATGCCTCTGCCTCGGCGTCGTCGATAGTTGTGCTTCCAGTAGCTACGCTTTCGGTAGTTACTGGGCTTCTTTGAAGCTTGTTGATCGTGTCTTGCTCGCCCGACTTGACCTCGCTGTCTATTATACGACCCAAGTCGGATGCGGGACGGGCCACTGCCTCTTGCGCAACCTCGTCCGACGTAACAGCCGGTTCTTGGAGAATGGTCGTCGGTCCTTCTGACTGAGATGCATCGGCCGGTCGCTCGCCCGGCACACGGAAAATGTCATCGACTTGCTCGACAGGAGTCGTCTGTCGATGCGCATGGCCGATCGCAACCGCCGAAGGGCCGCGGATGTGCATGTTATCGACGTCCGTCGCCTCAGGCGGCGCTGGCACCACGGTCAGCGATGGCGATGCAGATGCGCCGCCACCGTGATGCCCATAGCCATCCATCTAGTATTCCCCTTGCAGTCGTATCGCAGCCTGGGTATGCACCGTACAGGTATGCACCGTAAAGGACGCTTCCAACAAAGGGCAAAACGCCAAGTTGCCGATGGTGAAGGGAAAAGCGAAGGTTGGGCGGGCAAGGCGCCAGACAGCGCCAGAACAAAGAGTCAAGATTTAAGAGTTAAGATTAAGCTTTGAGTCTTGACCGTGTTCCTGTCGTCTAATGACTTGTAGACCAATTGATGCCAGACGACGGTTCTCGGAATGACAATTCCAAAGGGATGCGAATAATCGTCTGGCTTTGCGCAAGGCACGGGTCAGTCAGAGGGTCGCCATGAAGCGATTCAAGACGGCCGTCGGAGTGTCCGATGATTGGCGCCGCCAGCCAAAAATGGCACAGCAGTCGCCAGGACGCTTGAGGGGGGACGAAGGAGACTTTCGGCTAGCTTAGTGGGCGGCTGCCACACGTACGAGTCGGTGTCGCAAGCGCAGCCATTCTCGAGGCGCACGAGTCGCAAGAGGAATCACATGAAGCTTCCAGATGGCCACTTCTGAGAGGCCTGCCACTCTGTCTCCTCTGTCTCTCCTGTCTACTAGTTTGTTGGAAACTCTGTTGCAACGTGGGGGCGGGGCAATGACTCGTCCATCAATCAAGTCCCCTGCATGAGCACACATGTGCAATTCTCTCCATACTCCGTACTAGTACTACTACTACTGCTGCTGCTACTGCTACTACTACCAGATACCCAAGTACTCAAGTACTTAGTATGTACGTACTTACCAAGAGCAGTTGACCCGCCTGCTCTGCTACATGTCTGGCTGGTAGCATTCAATCTTTTCTCTCTGCCTGCGTGAATCCACAGCCAAAAAGGGGAATGCCCCCTTCCCAGAGGCAAAGTCAACAAAGTCTCAATCGTCTGCCTTTATTGTTCGGTTGCTGGCCACCCTTCAATGGTCTCTTACATGCATGTCTCGCCAAGACCCTTCCTTCCCTGCTGGGATTCATGCCGCTTCCGGCCCACACATCAACCCTAACAGCATGGGAGCCTGCCCTGGTCAGTTCGTCTGGCCCCTGTCCGCCTGCCATCTGCCAGCCATCCGCCATCTCGCAGCACATGCACACTCAGATCCATCTCCACCTACGTAATTCCGCTGCACCCCCAAGACCCTTTCTTGTGCCGACTAACTTTATGCGACTCCGACATCCCGTCATTCCACAAAGCCTGGCCGCCCGAGACAGAAGACATCGATGCCAGCATCAGTCCATATATCCACGCCCGCCTCCTCGCAAGAAGTCATCGTGTGCACGTGCGTCAGTGCATGGCTAGCTACGTAACCTATTCTCCATTCAAGCCAGGTTCATAATATATTCATGGCCTGCACAAGCCAATGCTCTTCTTTCATACTACTCGAAGCAATCATCCCACACCAAGGCCCAACACCAACCCTGCTGTTATTTTTCTGTCTATACCCAACCTCGCCGGCCCTTAACCGCACTCAACAGTCCATGCGAGGATACTAGTTTTCCACCGGCTTCATTGTTTGTCCTCCTCCTCCTCCTCCTCCTCCTTCTCCTCTCATCAATATTTGACGCCCATGGGAAATAATTATAAACAAGCATTATACAATAACAGTCGCCTCGTATCAGACATTTACACTTGATGCACCAAGGGGTATCTCCTATTCGAACAAAGCCCCAAATCAGAGCTCAATCTTGATCATCATGCCAAACATTCCAGGTAGCCCCGCCTCCCCGTCATCTGCCTTCGACTTTTATATAATTTATTGAAGGCCATGTATCGTTTCATTCTTTTGACGTAACCATAATATTCGTGCCACTGCCGTGCATCAGGAAAATTCATCGACATCTCCAGATGAACTGAGCCCACCAATTCTCTGAACAAGTTCCTTGGTTTCACGGGCAATCTCAAATGCAATCGGAGGCAGTGTTTGTGTCCACGTTCGCCGCGGGTGGTCGTCCTGCCCGGCAGCGGACTGCGCCAGGTCTCGCCCTCTTTCATTGGCTTCCATAAGCCGGTCGCGAACTGCTGCCAGTCTGGTCGTCATGCTACCGTAGCCAGAGGACGTGGTTTCGCCCAGAATTTTGCCAACAATCGCATCAATCGTCAAAACTTCACTTGTGATTTGCCCCATTTCGGCATTTCCGCGCACGTAGCTGACAAGATTTTGTACATCCGAGACTAGGACAGCCGTTTGGTCATCTAAATAGACCTGGACCACCGTCAGCTGAGGCGTCGATGTGCAATCACAGGCCGCCATATGTGCCGTAGGAGTGTACCTTGAGATCATCGGCTCGACTGTCGTGATATCCGTTGGAACCCTTGACGAGGCCCATATAGCCTCCGCCGTTTACCATACCATTCAATCCATTTACAGGAAATGGGTCAACCGACTCTCTTGGGGAGCTGATCGGGCTGTATGCCGATGATTCAGCGCTTGCACGGGCACCCGCCCCACCCAGGCCTTGAAAAGGCGGCGGCGGCGGTAGGCTCTCCTGGTTTGAAGTCTGGGTAGTGCTTCCAGGTGAGAAGAAGCTAGCAGAGTCGACAGGAGTTATAATCCCGTCTTCTTCTTCCTCAAGCTCGCCAGGAGGTGTCGGTTTGATCTTGACAAGGCGAAGAAGCTCAACAACGGCTGCGGTGAGGTTAGAAGCAGCGGCATCCAATAGGGATACAGGAGATAATCCCGCTCCGGCTTCGTAGTTCCTGCAGGCGGTTATGAGAGCATTGGCTGTGGCTGCAACTCTCGACCTCAGCTTTCCCTGTCGCTGAATGTCGTCATCATGAGGTGTTGACTTGTCCAAGGCTTTCGTGATTTGACGCACGCTGACCACAACCCTGTTCATTGAATCAAGGGCCTTCTCGGGAGTTTCTTGGTGTGCGGCTTGGAGCAGTTCGTCAATGGAAATTTGGAATTGGGTGACAAGAAAATCCTTGATAACGCCATCGTCGGCAACAAATTCCTTGTGCCGTACGTGTTTTCCAGCGTCGTGTTCTAGGGACATGCCATGTGTTGAAGCCCGCAATCCGCCTTGCATTGTCTTGGAGCGAGCATAACGATTTCTCCAAAGGCGCACATCGCGTTCTAATTCCTCGTTTGCCTTTTCCAATTCGAGCTGGTTATCGTAAGTCGCAGCACTTTGCTGTGAAAGGACTCTCATCTCCTTGAGAAATTCTTGTGCTTCTCGGCGGACTTCCTCGTTTACTTGCTCCTGCTGTCGCAATGACTCTCGTAGCTCGTCGTTTTCTTGCTGCAGAGCGGAAACCGAGTTGATGGGGACTTTTTGTTCCTGTTCGGCTCGCATGCGGTCTAATTCTTCCTTCATCGACTTGTTCAGATCCTGGGCTTCAGCAAGTTTATTCTCAAGATCCAGCCTGAGATCTGCCCACTCCTCCTTTTCCAAGTTCGTCGCCGTAGCCCGCGAACGCTCGTTGTCGAGCGCGCTATTCATCTCATCTTCTTTCTTCTTCATAGCGTCTTCCATGTCAGCTAATTTGTCCTGGAGTTCTCTGATTTGATTCTGGTAGTCTTCCATGAGCTTCTTGTCCGCCTATATCTCAAGTCAGCTATACTTGGGGGTCCCATCACGTTAGAATGAAGTCTCACCTCTGAAGCTGACGCTGCTTCGTCATCTTCCTCCAACATGGTACTTTTGTTGGGAACAATGGTATTATTTTGATTAAGTTGTTTTGGCATCGGCCGTCCGTATTCGCCACTGGGTAAGTTAGGTGAAGGGGGGATATTATAGAGATCTGGAGCCGACGGCGCCCCACGAATTGAGCTGGCATCGGACGGCCTTCGCATGCGACTTTGACCTCTGGGAGGAAACATGCCATTAGCAGGAGTTCCAGTTCGGTTCATTGGACCACCGCGCATCGACATGGAGCTGCCTCCTCGAGGAATATCCCGCGCAATGAACGAAGGAAATCGTCTCTCCAACTCATGATATACGTCGGCGGCAAGATCTCGGAACCGTGGAGGGCCCAACGAGGAGAGTCGCTGGCGAGCTTGGTTTCTCTTTGGGTGAAATGTCTTTTCCGGCAAAAGGAATTGCGGAGGGCCGTTTGGCGCATTAGGTCCACCAGCCCTAGCCATTGCCTGCCGACGCATCAATTCGTCGAATACATCTGTACTGAGCTCGAAGAATTGTACCGAGGACAGGCGTAGTAGTTTATCGCGCGCCTTGTTTGGTTGTTGCCTCGCGTTGTTGTCCCTGGCATTCAGAAACGCCCTCAAGGCCATGTAATGTTCGCTCAGGACGGACTCGTCCAGTTCGCCGCCTCGCGTACCATTGCCGCCTCCATCGCTTCCTCCAAAGAGGTTCGTACCAGTGCTCGATCGGCCAACCGATGGCGGCGGTGAGGGACCTCCTGTACTCCGTGGCCCCGAAGGGAAGCCATTCATACTCATGGTTCCGATGGAGCCTCCCGAGTTAGGGGGAGACGCCAGGTTACCACGACCGTTGGGATAAGGACCGCCTTCTTCGCGAAAAGGGTATTTGGATAGTGACCACTCGCTTCCACCTACAGATATAGGAGATAGCGGCGCATTGCGGCCAACAGGGCTCATGGTCAAGAGAAGAAGGGTAGGGAGGGTGTTGCGCGAGGCAGGATTTTGGAGGCGCTGCGAAAGTGTCTTACACAAAGGAGACACCGCAAAGCACCGGTCACAAGCGGGCTCGTCTTGGAACACCAGGTCCCACAGTCACTGCCCCTGCTTGCTCGGGTCAGGGCAGCCTGTTTCCGGGGTCGCACGACGAGGTACCAAACTTATTCAAGGGAACACGGCGGACAGGATAATTGCAGCACCAGCAGACTGGTGTCGGTTGTTCCACGCAGTCAACTGAAGATGTTGGTGACGGCGAATACAACACGGCTGCCGGCAAGATAAAGATGTCAGTGTAGGAGAGAGAAAACACGGAGGAATGTTGAAGCCGGGAGCTTTACTAGACCAGGAAGTCGATGAACGGGGCGCCAGGGTCCGTCAGGGCAAGACACAGATCGCGTGTGCCTGTTGGTGGCTTCCTCTGGCTGCCTTCTGCCACTGCTATGAAAGTCTCGGTCGGCGGCAATGGGTTGACTCAATGGTACCAGACGGTTGTATTGAGACAGCAGCACGGAGACAACAGAGTTTACCCACAAGCTTGTAAATTGGCTGTTGCAAAGGGCATGCGCGGTCGCAGCTGGGTGACTGGGGCCTTGAAACGACAGTGCGGGAAGCAGGGATGAAGGCGACCACCAAGTCGTGACCGCCAATTCGCAGCCCTCTATGGAGTGCTTAAAGTTTCCCTAGCCTTGAAAGTCCCTCCAACCTTGGCTTCCAGGGGAAGCGCCAGAACGGAGTCAAAAAAGGGGGCGGGTGCAATGTGAACGCGTGCTTGCAACCCGACAACAGGCGGGCTGGTAACCGACCGGAAATGAGCCTGCTTCCCTGACAGGAAGTCGCATGTATTAATATCGATTGGCAATTTTACAGTATGCCGGTCCGCCCGGGGGGGGGTTCAGGTTTTCGAGAATTGACGGCTGAATCAACGTGAGCCGAGGATGTTGAATGAAAAAGAAGAGCGTGTGATCCGGCTGTCTGGTGGTGATTACGACAGAAATCGATGATGAAGAAAGTCATGAAGGGGGGAAACAATGCCTTTCGGATTAGGAGAAAGTTGAACCTATTGTATTAAATCGGAGAGACGAGAGTCGGGCAGCATAAAGGGCATGAAGGCGGCAGCGCACGGCCTGGCACCAGTAATTGGGCCTGGAGCCTGGTGATGGTAGAGACGACGGCCAAGATAGAAATATGTGATTGGTTCCTCTTTGTGAGGGAGGAACGGCTGGTGGTCCTTCTCCATGGGGCGCTCGCCGTTCTCCAAGGGATTGCAGCCACTCAATGAGGGCATGGATCACTCTGCAGCTTTGTTGCTGTGCAATATTCATCCCTCTCTCCCTTTTCCAAAATTGTGACCCTTCGAAGCTATGGAGTCTGCTTCGGTTCCTCATACTAAGGCTCTCCCGTCACCCTCGTGAGTGTTTGCTCTCTGCTAGACTAGACTGTTGACAAAACCCCGGCCAACACCAAACCACTCACGGCTTCGGTAGCTTCCTGTTCCTGAACCTCCAGTCTCCTCTTCCGCACTGGGCAGCTGGAGCGCCAAGGTGGATCGTGGGCTTGGGCTAAATCTCCAGGGTGGACACGAAGGCGCAGGCTCCCGGCCTGATTGGGGCACCGTTTGAGTATTTTGGCTGCTTGCCGCTGGGATCTAACCTGGGGACGCTCAGTACGGAGTACGCCACGGTGCCCTTTGGACGAACAATCCTAGCCCTGACGACAGCTTCTGGGCATTGAGCGAGGGCGCCTCGAGGTACATACGGAGTACTACTTGGTTGGTCAACTTGCCATCTGGGGCAATGGCGGCGTGAAAGAGCCCGTCGTCTTACTGACTTGTGTTTGGCGTGCCGCACAAACTCGCCATCTGCCGGCCTCCAATTGGTTCAGTCGTCTGCAGGAGAGTCTTGATACGTTAAGCTCCGTGTTTGACTTCGGAAACAGAGTATCAGTCTCAAAGTCGTCCCATCTTCATCCAAGACTCGATCGATCCAGTCGTGAATTCGATGTGATGTCTACCTAGGTAGGCAAGGGATGTGGTCACGTCCCTGGAACAGCTCGGTAGGGCTCAAGTTGCATACCTACCATCAAAGCCCGTTACAGAGGACGAATGTTTTGGCTTTTTGGAGTCGCCTGGCGTGAAATACTCCGCGTTGTCAAATGAGGCAACAGGTTGGCATCACGAAACGTTGATCCACATGAGACTCCCAAAGACGGGGTGGCATTACACCGTCTCATAGGCATCTGGTCCATGTAGCATAAGTCTAAAGTGGTTTGCTCACGGTTCTTTCTCTGAAAAACTAAACTTTCTAGTTGCTCCATTACATCGACAACACAGCCTGCCAAGGGGCTCTGAAGGAACCCGTCTTTTGGTCTTGGCAATCTTCAGCTGTGCCGGGCCTCGCAGGGGAGCGGTTTTCTAGCCACACAAAGCCCCTTGCGGATAAAATATTAATTTACTCCGTACCGACGCTCATTTTGACACCCAACCAAGCTGCTCGAAGCCATGGGACATCCCTGCTTCGAGCTGATGCCATTTGGACCCCGGCCACGGAAATCCCCATTTTCATATCCAAGTTGCCGTGGGCTACGGATAGCGCCTGGAATTGCTATTCGATGTCTTTTAGATGCCAGCATCTTGAGGACGTCTGGATGCAGGAAATGCTTGTCAGGCTCGCTGTGCCGTTCGAAGCAAGGTTTCATTCACCAAGGCACATCCCATCAGCCTGTTGCCGGATGAACTGGCCCAAGAAACACACCGCAACATTGTCTTTTGCTCATTGGCTACGACATTTCATTGCCCTAATACTAATGGCAAAGCGAGGCGGTTCTGAAGGCTATGCCCTGTGCTTGGTATCTCGGCCGGGCAATTTCCATAGAACCATATGCAAGCAACATTTACACTCCCAAGAGCGGCATCGTGGAGAAACTGGTGGCGTAGAAGACAAACAAGCTATTCGCCAAGCTTTTGCGGAACGGGAGGCCCGTACGATCTTGGCGTTCATGAGATCCTCCTACCCTGTTCTCCTATCGCATCCAGTCGGAACCAGATATATGTGGCACCCGAGATGCCGTGACATTGTCACATTGCACCCGAGAGTTCTGTAGGTCACACAACTCTAGAGACATTTGTGGAACGCAAATCATGTGTTTGTATTAAGAGCTGCATGTCGGAATTGCAACGCAAACTACTCCGTATCGCTTTACTTATCTAACGTGAGGCAGGTTCGATTGGTGAGTGGCTATTTTGGCCTCATGCCGGTTGCTCAAGTAGCCGAAGCAGCAGCACTGTGCTCTGATATTGGCTTCTCGGCGGCGAGGTTCTCTGTGTCATCCTCGAGATCAACGTGCCCGTTGCCAGAGGTAACGGAGGAGCCAAAGTCCACGATACTTACTAATCTACCCACGACACGCGCCAAAGCCTCGAGTTCGTCGCACACCAGCGCCCCGCACACTTGTGTTAAGAGGTAGACGCGAAGTTTCGTGGTCATCGGGTCGTTTACTCTGGAGCTGCCGAAGCTGCCGCCTCTGGCACCGCCGACTTCGCCTCTTCGGGATCGACGGTCACTCCTGATGTATCGCTGGACGGTGCGATCATGTCGTTCGCGGAGATCTATTATCCTCAAGGCCAAATTTCCGTGCTTGTCCGAATACAAGTGGGAGCGCATTGAGTTACCGTCCCCTCTTGATGCCCCCTTGGCGCCAATTTCCGACTGCAGCATTCGATCTTTTGCTGGCCCGTAATGTCGAGGCATTGGAATGAAAGGCGGCAATCTCTGACCCGAAAGCAATGCGTTTGACAACATAGTCAGTGTTGAGAGGACCATATGATGTGTTAGTTCTATTTGTTGCAGAACTTTCACGTTTGGCTGCCTCCCATGTTTACACGCCGCTTCGGCCTCGGCATCGGAAGCTCCCGCTGCCTGTTGTTCAGTACTATCATTGTCGGTGTAGGTCTGCTCTGTCAATGATGCGGATGCTAAAACGTAGCTCATGAGCATCAGATATCCCGTGATGCGAGTGTTGCGCTCAAACATCTCTTCGTACGCATCGGTTGGAAAACTGCCGCCTATGCTGGGCTCCCATCGTTGCCACATGATATGGGATTCGATAGAGGAATTCAGACGCATGACTTTACCAAAAATCTTGCGGCGAACTTTCACGAGGCGGCAGGCGGCTGCCGTCTCTGAATCGCCTGTCCCAGCTCCCTCCTCGAGTTGCGCTTCCATTGTCGAACTTAGCACACTGAAGTAATTGCCAAGTAAGTACATGACGGCTGACAAATCCCGTCTGAGCCAAGTCCGGTCTGTCAAGGCGCAAGGGAAAAACGTCCAAAAGAAAGCAACGAGGCTTCCTCCAGCGATGACGGCGAGCCGGTAGGGGCCTAGCAGGTATATTCTACCAACTGTTGCATTAGCCATGTGGCCATATTGTCAGTAGCATAGACCGCGAGGGAGAGCTTACGGATAATACGGCTGCCCTGAACGAGTGGCTACAGCTTCGCCGAGCGTTCTCACCTGTAGCTCATAGCCCACAATGACAAGCTGAGTCGTAACTGTGATTATGACGGGAGCTGCAAGCCGGGGAAATTTGATGAAGTAGTATTCGACAAAGATGAATAACCAAAGGAATACAATGATGCCGGGCGTCTTTTGGTCTGGAATATACCATATGGCGAGTGACGAAACCATAGCTAGAAATGTGCCGCCCACTCGACAGAAGAAGCCGAAAATAGACTGGCCAGAGGCTGTGAAAGCTGTAAGTTTCAAAAACTCAAAACCCGGAGAGGGCAGATATGGGACGTACTGATTGTCATGCCCAGAGTGATTGTGAGCATGGCCCATAACAATCTCTGCTCTTGGAAGAAGCTTTGGGTCTTCTCCAGGAAGGCCAATATGCTTACCGACATGGCGGCACAGGCGACTCTAAATCCAAAGGCGGATTCCCTGGATCCCAGGACGTTGGAGACCTTGCATAGTCCAACTCCAATGTGCTGCCAGGTTCCAGCGGGAGGAAGACGCTCGGGATTCTTCTTTTCCCAGTAGCCATCTCCGTAATAGTCGTCATTAGTTTCCAGGACGTCGGAGTTCTGCGTTGAAACCGACTCCCTTTTTCGCACGATACTTTTCAGCCATCTCCACAGCAGATGTCTGGAAGGAAGTATCAGCTGTTTGTGCCTCATTGTGCCATCGCCAACCTTTTTGTCGGCAAAGACTACGAGGCCTTGGATTGCCTCGCCTGCAGCAAGCATCAGCTGCTCCAAGTACAGACTCGCCGAGAGCTGGGGCTGATTGTTCGCAAGGGCATCGTCTTCAGCCATCGACAGCCGCTCGCAAAGCCAAGTTCGGAGGCCGCTACCTATTTGCGTATATATATCGCCGATCTTGGTGTTGACGACGACACCAAAGCGTTTGTCTCCTGGGTAGATCTGGCCACCGCGTCCCTCAATATCGACATTACCATGGCTGTTTCCACTTTGTGTCATCTTCTGCGACTTCTTCGACTTGGGGAGGATCTCCAGGCAGATACCGGCATGTTCGAGACCCTGGTCGATTGGCTCTGCGAGGAGCTGGAAAGACGTGTGTATTTTTTCAGCAATTTGATTCTGTACTTGTGTCTCTGAACTTCTATCCTCGCTCTGCCCATTGGGTTTGTCATCTCCCTTCAAGATTCTCATGCTCGTGCTCATCGACACTCTGCTGCTGTGAGCTGCGTTTGAAAGCTCCGAGTAGGGAACACGGGAAAAACTCACAACGGAATTGTGATGTTATACATGAGAGTGAATATATCCGCCAGATCAGTGGCGTTGAGTTTTCCCCAAGCCATATCTCTCTTTGCAAAGACCATATCGCCATATAACTTGCCAGCCAGGCGGCGAATCTCCACGACCGTCTCAGACAGACAAGTGGCTGTCGTTGCAACTCCGCGATCGACTTTGCCTCTTGCCGTTACCTTTTTCCTCGACTGCGATTTCTTCCTTTCACGCGGGACGTCTTGTTTCCCCTTATGATTCGAAATCGTCTCTGTGGTGCGCTCCTCTGTTCGTGCCAAGGCGGCAAGATGGTCGCCTTGTAGGCGCACCATCTTTCTCAACAAGCCGATCAGCTGTCTTAATTCGCCCATCACAATCATGCGGCTGCCAAAAGGGAAGATGAAGAAACAGACTCCCGCAGCCAACCCCATTCCAAATAAATTAGCCAACAGCAACTCCCTGACAAAGTGCGTAGCTCCCATCGTCGTGCCGATGGTAGGGCCTGCGGTCAGGCTCGTATTGACCAAGATGCTATAGATGACAACGGGTAGATTGAAGGAAGGCATCTTGGCCCGTATGAGGTTCGCGATCCAGATATTAAAGAACAGCCACACGGCGCAGACGGCCGACTGGGATGAATTATACGGCAGCGGCATGCTTACCTCTCCCTGCGCAGAGGATGGAGAGGAGGTATGGAGGCGCGCTTGGACGGAAGACCAGACTGCCAGGAGGGACATGGCAGATGCAATGCATATGAAGAGCACGTTTAGGACCAAGGTCTGGGTGAACTTGTCTCGGGGCAGGATCGCGACGGCGAGGACGGATATGATGGGTATGAGATAGCCCTGCGTGGTGAAGTAGGAAGATATCGCGGTCGACTGGTACATGGCTATACCGACGAGAGGGGGGATAGAGCCTCTGTTGGAAAGCGATATTATTAACTATGAGAGTGCTTGAGAAGAGAGGCAGCATTCGGCTTCTAACTTGAGCATTATTATCAAGGTGGGCAGATCCAGCCCGGCCCTGGCTAACACGCGTCGCAACATGGTTGGAGTGGCGGCATGCTGCTCTTGGGCCGTATCATCATCAATCGTGCGTGCTTCCCGTCTCTTAGATGACGAGATGGGATTGTTCGGCTGGTGGTTTGGGCTTGCCATGGGTCAAGGATGTCCCGCGAGCGTTGGTAGCATGCGTCTGGTGTTTTGCTGCCGTTCCGTTCCTCGTCGGCACGAGAGCTGAGATGTCGGAGCAAGATATGGCCACGGGGGCCACGCCTAGAGAAACCGCATGCGCCAAATCCCTAGATGCGGACATTGGCATGCACATATCGCTCGCTTGCTATTCGCAAGTTGTATGCCACGCCGATGCACGATACACCATCCAAGGCGTGGCGCCCATTTTCGGCCAGTCCCATTTCCACGCCTGGCCGCGTGGCACCAAGGTTCAATGTTCTCCTTCGGCGAGTGTGGGCTTTCAACATTCAAAGAAGCCCGGCGCCTCATGGTTGTACGCTGTGAGGTTGGCCCGTCTGCATTCCGTGGCAATCGCCGTGGACTCTTCCAGACCCCGTGGGCGCCGCTGGGAGGCTTTATATTAAGCTATCCTAGCAAGCACGACGGTAACCCCCGTACACTTAGTTGGGAGGCGGTGTCATCCGCAACAAGGCCGTAGTATAAAGTACAGAAGGGGGAGGCGTCCCGCTTCCATCAAGCTTTCGTGGACATGGACCTCGGTGCTGGGAAGTGCTGACGCTGCGGGATTGGCGGGAATAGCAACAAAGGTCGATATGATGCCAATTGAACCGTGGGTTGGCTGCACATGGCCAAAGGTCTGCATACTTAACCTAGAATGAAAATCACTGTCCCGTAATTGGGCGCGTGGCCAGAATCTACAGACTACATCTCGTGCGTGACGCCCATCTACCTGTCATCGTCACTTAGTCGTGCATGGCAAAAATCGATCGTCATTGAAGAAGCAGAAAGTGGTGCGCATAACAGAAGCATGGCACGGCTTGGACATTGTACGCTTTCAATATTCGGGCTAAACTGTGGAAAACTCGTATGCGGGATGACCAGCAGACACTGACATATAAGTGAATTCGGTTCCACAAGGCGCATCGCGAGATGCAAATGGCTCGAGCAAATGAGAAGCCTGCTTATGCTCAAAATGATCAAAAGACTGAGCCCCCAGTCAAGTTCTTTTCCATCGCCTAGAACCAGGCCAATGTCCACGTTGACGGCAAGTTTGGCCATCTCTCCTGCCAGGCACCCAGTATTTCAGGCACCCTCTCGTCAAAGCTAGCTCGACTCGAGGCACTCCCGCTATCAAAAGCCGCGGCGCCAATTGCCTCCCTCTCTTCCCTGGCTGCCGCATTGAGGGAGTTGGCTAGATCCAGAATACCCTGACCGCCAATGTGAGCCTCTTCATGGTTGTCCTTGATGTCCACGTTGATGACGTGAACGGGGCGGTTCAACGGGGACCCTCTGCTAAGAAGGTCATCGATGACGGCGTCCCAGCAGCGTTCTTCGCACGTAAAGACGACATCTACAACCCCGCCTTCTGTCCCATCGCTGCCCTTGTCGGTGGAGTGCTGAAGTCTAGGGATACCAACGGCCCAATCTTGCCAGCGCTCCGGCCCCCACTTCACACCACGATTTCTATCCAGCATGTTCAGAATACCGTTGGCCTTGTACAGCCGTCCGTCTTTTGATTCCAGCTCTTTGTACATGCTGTCGTACGAGGTTTTGTTGAACTGGTACACATTGGGCTGTGTGATGGTTGGTCCTGGTAGCCGCACGAGGGATCCGGTACCAAACGATATGACTGGGTATTCGGCTTGAGATAATCGCAGGTGAGCTTCCATAGATCTGCGAGCTTTGATTAGATACTGCCATGTTCTTCAATTGAGTCGCTGTGATTTGGGGATTGTTACCTGTTTTGGTTGCTCGCACACACGGTACAAAACTTCAATTTGTATCCACCGGTATGATCTCCAGAGCCATTCGGGATGACAGCATCCGCTGCTCCATTTGCAACTTCCATGTTGACTTGGTATTAAGAAATAAGTTCCGCAGAGAAATCAGGCTTAATTGACCCTCGGGCACATGTTCCAGTCCCTCGAGCGATTTTGCTGCCAATCAACGTCAGCATCCATGTACACATCTCCATCATGTACCGCGTCAAGAACAATGAGAAAAATTTTTTTTTTGCCTAGGATCAGATATGTAAAGTTGCGTATAAAATGTCTTTCAACATGGAAAAGTTCAGACAGCTCCAATAATTTGGAATCATCACAAACAAGGCCAGCCCAACAAAGCTTTAGAACTTTCACAACTGACATACCTGCCTGCTTTTCCCCTCGCCAAAACCGGGGGTGTTCAAGTGCAATCGTATTTGGCGCGTCGCCGAGGAGTTTCCCGAAATCCTAGCAGGTGCTGCATAGGCATCATCTGCTCCAAGTGTTGCACTAGGGTGGTCAGTCGCGCCGTGGTTGATGACGGTGTGGTGGTTTGTGCCAAACAATTGGAGCTCGGAGTGAAAAAGCTACATGCGTGGTTTGTGTGGAGGGTGAAGGCCGGAAGCCCAGTCGGCTAAACGCCGGCGGCTAATTGGTGGGCTAAGCAGTTTGGCTGGTTGAGAAATGAGGAAGGAGAAGATTGGAACGAACTGCAGGCGGCTCACAGCAAGGAGTGAAATAAGTGGAGAGGACTGTGATTGGCTTGCGGCCATGTGCATGACCTGAAACAAATCGATGGCCCAATGCGGACCAATCAGCAAATTGCCTCCCGCTCTTAATGATCCAGGGTCCAAAAATAGGCTGTGACTGATCATTTCGGTCGAGTTGGTTCGCCTCGGTCGATTACCAGAGTTGAGCTTCCTTTTTACAACTAAAGTGCTCATTTTCGATGCAAGGCCAACGTAAGCCCGCCGCTGTGGAAGCAGACGTGCTGGCTAGTATTGTTTTGCTTTGATTGTTGTTCTGCGTGCTGGGGTCTAGGCATGACGCTTTTACTTCCAGGGTCCGGCTGCATCAGGGACGGGCATGCATGGCGATGCGGAGCTAGTACTTGGATCTCTACATGAAAAAACAAACGTTGAAGCAGCTGCTCGTCAAAAATGCATGGCATCCTGTGGACAGCGTGTTCACCATGATCTCGCGAATTTTGCGTTTCAGCATCGTGCACCAGGGAGTACTCCGTGTTATGTACATACATCATACTCCGTACATCCCGATAAATCTGAAAGTCAGCCTAACCCTGCCTCACGTGGTCTTGGTAGGGATTTTTGTAGGGATGTGCGTCCTCCTGCACCCTGCTTGGCGTTTCAGTAAGCACCGCCAGCCCTCGTGCCGGTCCAGTGGCAATTTCTTGATGAGACATCTTGAAGGAAGGCGAGAATTCCGTCTTTGATCTTCCAATCGACAGTCGGTGAGCATGCAGCATGTCGTGATCTTCAGCTGCGTGGCGAATAATGAAGCGAGCTGAAGGTTTCAGTCTTGTTGGCAAACCAATGACAAGTTTGGACGGCAATTCCCACTTGTTGGACAGCATAAATGTCTATTGAACCGACTATTCTTTCATCATCAACGTCCTTGGGAGCCGCCATAGTGGGCCCCGAGATCGATCCTGTTGTGTAATGTACAGTATGTACGTCTTGTTGTCCTTGGCAAGGATGATCGTTGGCATCTCGATCAGGTGGGAGAAGACGGAAGAACTACCTGGGTAGGCAGTCTTCACATCCGATGACCTTGCAGCATGGGCATTGTGTCAAGTTTCGAAGTTTCGACATGCAAGCAAGACAGGCGCAGGATTGTGTCTGATGTTGCGCTCCCATCTGCAACAGATGTCGTAGTTGAGGAAAGATCCGAAACCTGGATCCCGCGAGCTGGATGTCACAAAGCAGTCGTTACCTGCAATTTCGTCATGAGCCAGGGACAGGCATCCAAGATGAGAGAGGACGCGGAGATGGACATGGACATGGACTTGGAGATATGCAGGCTCCGGGGCGAATGGAGACGAAATCTGGTTAATATTGGTTGCCGAAGTGGAGGACCAGGCTTATCCAGCCTGTCGCATGGCCACTTGCCTGGAAGCTGATGAGTTGGCCTTTGTGTGTCTTTGGACCGTCATCTCTACATGATACATCAGTCAGTATTATCCGTGCCATGGAGAGCTGCGTCCAGAGGTCTCGTATCCACCACAGAAGTTGGAGCCGCAGCGTGGTCTTGCACAATAGCCGGCCAGCCGCCTGCTCGAGAGGACGACGTAGGCACATACATACCTACTTAAGTACTTGAGTACCTACCTAGGTACTTGGGTATGTGACTTACACATAGGTGCGCGCACCTGACACGATGCGGCCGTCCAAAAAAAGATGTGAATAAGCAAGCGTCTGGTGTGGTCTGTGGTGGTGGAAACGCCCGGCCAGACGAGGGCGCACCATTGAAGGCGCCTGTTGGGTTGCTGTGCGAGTGTCGAGGCGGTGCCTGGGCGGGCGCTGGGCACTGGCCACTGCGTCTGGTACTGGTCTGGTTGGTCCGTGCCCGGGGAGGCCTGGCACTTGCGCCTGGGGCATCTCAGGCGCCTGATGACGGGCGCCCGTTGGCCAGCCTTCACTAATTCGGCCACTAACATTTCAACTGTAGAATCTTGGGAACCCCCGGGGCCACCCAGTGCCAGCGCCAGACCTCAAATGAGCTTGGGACCAGTCTGGTTGCCATTAATTAACTTCGAGTCCGTCGGCGCCTTCAGTCGCTCTTTCCTGATCCGCTGTCCTCCTCAACTCCCTCTCTCCATGTCGGTTCCCTAACACTCGAATCTCCCAACCCACGATCCTTCTTCCCGACCGCGCGCTGCTTTACTGGAATCGCCTTGCTCTTCGCCACACCCATCAAACGACCAATACCGGCGCGCCTCTGTTGTTTCCCTCGAATAGTCTGGTTAATCTGCCCACCTCCATCTAGGCAGTCACACCGGCGAGCCTCCAGGCCTGCCTGGGCCTCTCACTCCTTGTCCACGTCTCTGCCTGCCAAACGCCTGCGCCCAAACGCCGACGGCTTCTTTTCTGCCCACCGCCTGGCCGACTCCCTCCGCGATACTCTTCACCATCGCACCGAAACCATTGCTGCAGCTCCGTCCTCACAAGACGTGCAACATCGTCGCTTGGGCCCCGCCTGCGGGGTCTCGTCTCGCGCGGCTCTGCAATCCTCGACCACGGATACTTCAACCAGACGTTACCGGGGACTCCTAAGCCCATACTCGGGCGGCCATTGTATTCATTGAGCCTCGTCACTCGTCACTCGTCACTCGTCACTCCCTTGGCTATCGTCAGCTGGCCCCCTTCCCCCTGCTGCCGTTGCGAGGAATGACTGCGACCGCCACCATGACGGATGCCTCGTCCTCCCCAGTTTCGCAGCCTCAAGGCTCGTCCCCTGCGGCGAATGCAAACCAACCCGCCTTGCCGCCATTGACCACATCAACACCGACACCCTCGCACCGAAGCAATCTCCCCCGGCCAATGTCGCATGCCTCCAAGAGCCGCTTGTCACAGTACTCGTCGGGATCCGTCCCCTCGAGGTCGCGCCCAGGCTCTCATATGTTTCCCCTGTTTCCTTCTAGCCTATCTTACACCTTGGTGAGAGACTTCGCCTATCCAGCCGCCCATCCGATGCACTATGGTCCGCCGCCCGAGCCTTCGCGGCCACCTTCTGGCCTGACCACCCCCGCGAGCGAGACCCGAAGACTGTCTGATCCTCCGGCTTCGTGGGAGCCTCGAATGCCGTGGGACTCGTGGACCTCGGATGGTTTCAGCCGCGGCCATGACATTCCCCCAATTCAATTCGGGGACGGACCGCCGTATAGCGAAGACGACGATCTGCAGAGCCCAGTTGTTGCCACCCGTCACCGTAAGCATAAATCAAGTTCAGCAACGCTCGGTCAGAGCAGGGGGAGGGCTGGCCGGGAAGGCGACATTATGGGCACAACCAACTACGACAGCGAGAGGGGGTATTATGTTGGAACAAGCGGAGATGGGAGCGAGCGCTACTATGTGACCCATGGAGGCGAGGCGAATGGTCCGGGAGGCGAGTATGTAACCTATCCTCCTGACCAAGCACGCCATGGCCATGGTTACCATTTTCCTCAACAAGGTCATCAGCGCGACTGCGGCCGGCCTGGCTCAGAGAACTGCAGTTCTCCATCGTCCTCTGGATACCATGACCTTGACGAATCTCGCTATTCACGTGACTATCAGTTCACCATTACTTCGCCCGACGAGGAGTTTCACGGTAAGGCCGTGGCCTTGTTCGATTTTGAGCGCGAGAATGAAAACGAATTGCCACTAGTTGAGGGCCAGATCATTTGGGTGTCATACAGACATGGCCAAGGCTGGCTTGTCGCCGAGGACCCAAAGACCCAGGAAAGTGGACTGGTTCCCGAGGAATACGTGCGATTGCTCCGAGACATTGAAGGCGGTATGAACAGCTTGACTGGGCATCTTGTGGATGCCTGTATATCCCTGAACGAAGCCGAGACGCCTACACAAGCGGAACATGGTGGCAAAGAACGACAACCATCCATCACGTCTACCAATGGCTATCACCAACCGGTTGTATCCGTTTTCTCGACGTCGAGCAAGGATTTGAACCCCTACCCCACCGGGCAGCTGGGAATTCAGGCCGGGCAGACGCCTCCACAGGTCATCCATTATCACGGACAACGTGGTGGTAGCCAGACAAGCACGCCCACCATCCCCCAACACAACGAGCCCGGAATGGCTCGTAGGGGAAGCCAGGATTCAACCAACGATGGCGAAGCTGGTACTACGCCAGTACAAGAACACCCAACGGCTACCTCTAGTCAGGCAGCTGCTCGGTGAAGTTGGTTTCTCAAGCGACGTTTTTCATATATCTGCATGGGGACTCGAACGTTTTAAAGGCACCAAAATAATGCCGGAGACTGCAACTACATTGCTGATGAGATTATGCTTGCACATTTTTTGTTTAATATTATGAGGCACGTGCTTGGGCGGCTTATGCTTATATACAACAGCCATGTAAGTAGGTAGGACTTTTGGGTCTCTCGGCGGTAAATAATCTGGTATTGGATCTCATGACCAACTGAGGCCTGACCCTTCAATCTAGAGAGGAGATGAGGAAGTGAAGAAAGAAACGGGACAAGTGCAGCCACAGACTGGCAAGGGACGACGGGGTAAAAAGGCGGATAGCGGGTATCAGTGAGGCTTCAAATCATCTTTAAAGCGAGCCTAGGGCGGACTTGTATGATTCAGGATAATATGCATATTGCCTGTCACTATTTTGGTGAAGGCAATCACTTGGCGTCTCTTAGATCCTTTGCGATTCGTCTTCAAGTATCGTGTGATGGATGCGTGGGCTCATGTTGCTGGAACTCTGGATGTTGCGACTCGTCGTAGTTGAGGTTTTCAAGACATTGCAAACGTGCTCTGGCCATACATCTAAGTACCTACCTAGGTGCCTAGCATACATCCGTGGATAATTTTGTCTGGTGAGTCCTCTTTTCTGTTGCATACTTAAGTACTTACTTAGGTACCTAGGTAGTACTCGGTACCTCGGAGGACACTCGGCCATGGTGTTGTGCCCCGTACTACTTAAGTAGGTAGCTGTTTTAACTTTGTCCCGTACGGGTATGAACTGGGAGAAATGCTGCTTATCAATCAACAGCATCAGCAACGGGCATACTCCGTACTTAAGCATGGTGGGCTCATGCTGGGGTAGTCACGTGGTTGGCGTCATCACTGAGGCTTGCAGCCGCAACCGCACCCGCACCCGCATCAGAGCATGGCGTCCCTCTCTTGCATCATCCATTACCTTTTTTCCCTTTGAGCCGAAGACTGTGTGTGTTTTGACCAATTATCCTCAATTGAACCGACACAACCACGCCGTCATCGGATATGTTTGCTCGATCTGCTTTCCGCGTGGCCCAGCCACTGAAGACTGTACGTGTGCAAATTGCGTCTGGCTTCTGGTTCCGGAGATTCCACTAGGACACCCAAAGCTGGCAAGGCTGGTTATGGCATGGTTACTAACGGGTAGTTTTCAGCAAGCTCGCCGATATGCGACTGAGACACCATCCAAGGGAGGATCCAACGCCTTTTTCTACGCTGCGGGTGCTGCTGCTATCGCCGGAGCTGGATACTACTACTTGGGCGGAAGCACCCCCGTGGCCGCCAAGGTGAAGGAGGCTGTTCCTGCTAAGCCTGCTTTTACCGGCGGCGATCAGGGATTCCTTTCTCTGAAGCTGGCCGATGTTGATATTGTCAACCACAACACCAAGCGTCTTCGTTTTGAGCTCCCTGAGGGTGACATGGTCTCTGGTCTCCATATTGCCAGTGCCATCTTGACCAAGTTCAAGGGCCCCAACGACGAGAAGGCCACGCTCCGACCTTATACTCCCATCAGCGACGAAGGTATAACAGAGACGCCCCATCTTCTGCCGGCATTGCAATCATGACATGCTAACGCCCTTGACTTTTTGATGTAGGAGAGAAGGGCCACATTGATCTCTTGGTCAAGAAATATCCCGACGGCCCCATGAGCACTCACCTCCACGACCTGGTTCCTGGTCAGCGCCTTGACTTCAAGGGCCCTCTGCCCAAATACTCCTGGTCCGAGAACAAGCATGACCACATTGCGCTCATTGCTGGCGGCACTGGCATCACCCCGATGTACCAGCTCTGCCGAGCCATCTTCAACAACTCCAACGACAAGACCAAGGTTACTCTTGTTTTCGGCAATGTGACCGAGGAGGACATTCTTCTCCGCCGCGAGCTTGCCGAGCTCGAGAATACCTACCCCCAACGATTCCGTGCCTTTTACGTCCTGGACAAGGCCCCCAAGGACTGGCAAGGCAATACTGGGTACATCTCCAAGGAGTTGCTCAAGACGGTGCTGCCCGAGCCCAAGGAGGAGAACATCAAGGTGTTTGTCTGTGGACCCCCGGGTCTGATGAAGGCCATCTCTGGCCCCAAGGTCAGCCCCAAGGACCAGGGTGAGCTCTCTGGCTCTCTGAAGGATCTTGGCTACTCCCAGGAGCAGGTCTACAAGTTTTAAAAAGAGGATGCTTCGAGACTGGAACTGCCCCATCCCCCGCTGTACGATAGGAAATTATAAATTATAGATGCAAGGCAACAAGACATAGACTTTTTATCCAGTCGCGCAGCGTCCTGGCTGGCGGCATCTATGCATATTATTCGGCCCGTGAAGACATCTTGTTCCTTGCATGATGCTGTCGAGATTGCAGCCCACTAGGCAAAGAGACGAAGCTATGCTGGCCGTCTCTCCCGACTACATCCTAAGAGGCTGTCTATTCCGGACGATGGAGGCACTTGGCCTCTGCAAACTTTGGATCCAAGCCTCTGCCGGCGGTAGATTTGCAGCATTCCTGTGCCCGGTGGCATTGCGCCTACTGCCTCGTTGAGTCGTTGTTCCAAGCAGAGCGAGTTGGGCGACGAGCATATTCCCGGTTATCCCTCGGGATGGTCGTCGCGATCCGCCTCATCCAGCTCTTGTTGGCCGTGGCCATTCTTGGCCCGTCGGCATACACCCATCTCTGCAACCCGGACCGCGGCCGTCACCAACGGCCTGGGCCTCTTCACGATGCGCCGGAATTTCCCAGGCTCTTTTGAATGGAAGTGCTAACGCAACCTTTTTTGCTCACATCCCCTAGGCCCTCGTGACCGTCGTCGTCAACATCTGGCTTGTCTGCGCGCACACCTGCTCGCCCCGCGCGTACAACTACTGGGCCGCCCTCTTCTTCGACCTCTACCTGTACCTCTTCGGGCTAACATTACCACCTTCTCGCTCGGCGCCACCTGGACTGGCCTCATCTTTGCCGCCGACACGGTCCGCCGCTCCCTGCGGTCCTCGTACGGCTTCTGCGACAACTACAAGGTCTTTGGCGGCGTGGTCGCGGGCATCGCCCGTCTCGGCGCCATCGAGTTGTACGTATTGGCAACATAGCCTTGGTCTCGTGTAGTTCTTGCTGACACTCCCCTCCTCTTTTTTTAAGTAGCCTGCTGTTCTTCATCGCGTGGGTGACAGATGCCGTCGTCAGCTACCGGCACCGTCGGGGCGGCGGCCGCGCGCGGGCCCGTCGTGTGGCGGCTGCCGGGTCCGGGACGGCGCCGTACCAGCTCCAGATGCAGCGGCGGACATTCTATCCGAAGGCACAGCATTGGGCTCCAGCATACGGGCAACACCTTCGTCCAGACGCATGCGCCTCCTCCTCCCGGGGTCTATCCCGCGCCCGCGCCTCCTCCTCACCAGCTTGCGGCTCCTTGCCACCCGACCTACTGAGTTGACCGGCGCGACGGGGCAATACATGTGCAGGTAGGTAGTTGGAATTGAAGGGAAAGGGGGGCTGTAATAAGTACCAAGCATGTCGGCTTGTTACAACAAAAAAAGAACAGGTTGCAACGCAACTCTTCCTAATTTTAATTTCAAATAATAATTTAATTTAGAGATAATCATAGCAACCCGACGTGCTGGCCAGTCAGGCATGTATGGAGCGGAGGCGTCCGCATATATGCTGCTATTAGTTTACACGGTAGACATGAATGTAATTTGTAAAACTATTCGCTATCCAAGGTCGCCACTCCTATTGGATTCTCAAATTCATGTCCCGCGCCCACGAGCTGCCATTATATGCTCTCCGCGGCCTTGTTAACACACCGATCAATGATGCCCGCCCACTTGAGACCATTGATGTAGTCCTTGGCATCAATGCTCTCTACCAGACCGGGGTACACGGCTATCATTAAATTAGCAGGTCGAATCAGCTAACAAACTGCACACGAGAAACTACTTACCTCCAGAGTAACCGGTCCACAGGCCAGGGGCAAACACTACATGCTTGAACCAACTGCGCTTGTCGAGACCGCCTTCAAACAAGAAGTGCCTCTCAAAGAACTTGTACTGTACATTGACCTTGGCAATGGTGGTCCACAGCTTGATCTTGCCGATGATATTCCACCACGGAATACCATCTCTCAACTTCTTATTTGCCCATGCAGCGCGTTCGTCTAGCCCGACGGCTTTTGTGCGCAGCTTGCTTAGCGACGCACGTATCTTCCTGAGGCTGGCTTCAAACGCATCAGCGCTGCCTTTGGCGTCCTTGGAGAGCGCAGCTCCTCGCATTGCGAACATGGCCTCGTCCGTGGCTGGGTCCTCATTGCTTTTGAGCTTGGCTTCTACCTGGTCGAGATATGCACCTAGGGCATCAGCGTACTCGGTGGCGCCAAAGGGAATCACAATGGTATCAGCCAGCTCGGACAGCAGGACGCCGAGGACTCTGGACATGGCCAGATGATACTTGAAGCCGGGGTCGCCGTATTCATGCATCCAGTGGAAACTGTCGTAGTTGCTGTGATAGTGGTAGACGGGACCATTGGAGCCGGCTTTGAAGCCCATATCAATGGAAGGGACTCCCGCAAAGTCTTGGAATGCAGTAAAGTCACTGCCGCTGCCCATGGTACTAATCTTACCATCCCAGACGTCTCCGACAGACTGACCAGGAACGGTTTGGTTGGGCGAGGGAACCTTGTGTGTCGCATCCCGCAAGACTTGGTTTAAGAGAGGAGCGGCGGAAGCTCCAAAGGATGGGCCAGATGCGGCGACATCGACGTTGATATAAGCAACATTGGCATCGGAGAGCCAGGGGAGATACTCCTCAACCCATTCGGTGCTGCCGATGAGACCGTATTCTTCGCCATCCCAGCTGCCAAACACAATGGTTCGGAGAGGCTTCCAACCCGCCTCAACAGCCTTGCCAACGCTGCGTACAACTTCGTTCAACACGGCTGAGCCGCTGTTGGGGTCCCCAGCACCACCAGCAATCCACGCATCCCTATGGTTGCCCACAACAATAACCTCGTTCGGGATTGTTCCATTGACAACACCAATAACATCCCACTGAGGAGTGGTGACATACTCCTGTTCGTTGTGCAGGTTAAGGAGCACATGTGCGGGAGAAGGCCCAACGTTGTAATCTATGCCCTTGTATCCGAGGCCCAGGTTCCTCGTCCAGTGGTCGCTCAAATCCGAGGCTTTTGGGCCATGTCCATTCAAAGCCTTGAGAATAGGAAGAGCGTCAACATATGAGATGGGAATGGAGGGGATAGATGGTATGCTATCATCGGCGGGCGCTCGTGGAACGCCGGGCTTAGACGGGTAGCCTGGGGTAGTTCTGACGTGAAATTTGTTAGCAGTCGGCCAATCGCGGCAGAGCTCGGTGCAAGCAAGGAACGTACGGGTCACCGGGACGAATGCTCAAGAACTGGACACTCCCGCGCTGAACGCTACTCTCATGTCGAGCGGGACCTTTGGGGTATTGCTCGTATCCATTGGCCTCGGTCTTGTCGCCATCGTCACCAGGGTCACTGTAAATTACAGTACCAACCATGCCCAGCTCTTGAGCACGCTTCACTTTGAGACCTCGGAAGATGCCGCCATATCGGGCAATTGCAATCTTGCCTTTGAGATTAATGCCAGCATCAACAAGGTCTTGGTAATCCTGGTAGGTTCCGTAGTTGACGTAGACAAACTGACCAGTAACGTTGCCGCTGGCAGAGTACCCGTGAAAGGTGGGAACTCGGGTATCAAGTGCAGTGGTAGGGTCCTCGTCCAGGACCGCCTCGGTCAGAGAAGCATCAAATGTCACAGTCCATGAATTGTCCTTTTCAGACTTCTTCAGCAGAGAGAGGCTGTGGTCAAGGGGGTAATTAATATACACATCGTATTCGGCGATGCTGGCATCGACCCCCCAGCTCTGCCACTTCTCTCTAGTCCAATCGGCCTAGCAGAGGGTTAGCTAATGAATAGCAGGGATGCGGGTTGAGTCAAGAAGCCCTACCTGTGAGAAGTTCTTGCCCGCCAGATGAGGGCCAGAGGTGTAATAGCGGCTCCATTCTTCAGCATGGTCTGCGGTTGGGGTCTCTAAGAGGATCTTCTGGACCTCTTGGTGAGAGAGGCGCTTGCCTTGCTGGTGTGAGTGCGAGTAGTGGCTGTGGTGACCATGGTGATGGTGGTAAGGCCAGATGAGAAAAACGTGGGTAAGGAATGAGGCGAATCCGAGTGCGAGGACACAAGTGCAGGCGATGGTGCAGAACCGCCGGCAAGTGTCATGGCGATATCTCCTCCGGGGCGGCGCAACACGGACCGTCTGGATCAGCGGCGTCGACTCGTTGGCCATCTTTTCAGGCTCAGATGGAAATCTGCAAGATGATGCTTTCAGCGCGGGCCCATGAGATGGAATACAAGCAAATGAAGGCTGAAGTGGTCGAGGTGTGCGGCGTGGCGGACTGTTGGATGGTGGTCATGGGATTGGTTCGCCACAACACCACCAGTAAAGGGAGCGGGACGCGGGATGGCGGCACGACGATGCGGAGACGGTGATTGGGGGCCAATTGTGAACTTACAACCTGCCCATCGTTGACCAAATGACCCCAATAGTGGTATTTTTCGCAGTGAGCTGTAGATGCAATGGAAGAAATCACGGCCTCTGGCGATGCTGCATGCAGGCCTTGTTGGGGTTGCGGCGGTTGCGGAGGGCTGATGAGCTCGACGGCTTCGATGACGAATTGCAAACCTGCAGGGTTCTAGTAGTTATTCGGCAGATATCGGCCCCTGGTTGGGCGAGAGAGGGCTGCAATGCGGCTGTTGCTTTGTCAACCCCGAATACTGAGACGGGCGAGTTGTCAAGCATTGAATGAATGGTTGAGAAGAGTCGAGATTTGAGACTTCGGGTTGCTGAGACTGGGTTGTTCTGCGACATGCATCGACAGTTGCCGGGTCGCTCCTGCCTGTTTTGTGCCAACCGAGTATCGCCGCCAACTCCGCATTGGTGCTTTCAGACGGGCCAGTCCAACACTTGGGCTCAATCTTGTCGCTGCGGCGTGGGTACCGTACCCAACGACGCAGGATATATTATGATAGTACTCAGCCAACAAGCTAACACTCCGCCATATGTGTGTGTGTGTCGATTCTCATCTCGGCGCAGCCTCACGGCTACCGAATTACACACCATCGCTCCATGCCAACTTGGCCGAGGATTTCAACAAAACCACAGCCCTCAGCCATGGCCATATTAATTATCAACATGCACAACATCAAATACATCCCCACTCCCTTCCACTGAGAAATGGCACATTTGAGATTGCCCGTCTCGGTTGCTCCTCACCCGATGCGGGCTTGATTGCCGCGAGTCCGCCATCCCCGATGCCGGCCGGAATCAGCCCCGCCCGTCACTTTTCATATCACCGCAGGGTCCCAATGCCACAGCTGACAAACTGCCGAGCCCAGTCTTGGTCAAGTTCCTCGGCGTATGCTGTAGCTGAGGTGCAAGTCATCGAGCAACACAACCCGAAATACACATGAAGCCAAGCCAAAGCAAAAACCTGCTAGTCCTTCTTTATACCACCGTCTACTCAAGGACGGAGGGCGGAGTAGACTTTCTTTGCCCGTCGAGCTGTCAGTAAATATCCTGCCGAGGCCTCACAGTTCCAAATCCCCGGGCAATCAATATCCAGAAAAGACCTTTGTCCATTGGGTGTATTTTACCTTCTTTCACCATATGCCATCATAAGTTGTGTCCATCGAGAGCCATAATAGTACATTTTGTACTCAAGTCTCGTCTCAGCAAGTGCAGGTGACCGAGGTCATGTTCCCATCCCACCCAACCGGATGTGCTGGTCCTGCGCCGCCAGTCTGGTCGAAGTTTATAATTGGCGCCGCGGGCCCTTCAATGACATGGGCTTGGTGGGGGACACAAGCGACAGGTCAGACACCATTCGTGGCCCAATCTAGCCGACATGGGTTGTCCTCGTCGGGTTTATTAAGCGTGCCCATAGTGATTCGTCCGTCAGTTGGCAACTTCATTCTCGATTTTTCGTCCTTGACCTCGAGCTTCCTTGCATCATTTGACTAGCTGTGTGTATAAACCGTGCTGTCATCGCTAATTAGTATTATGCGTAACGGTGTCTGCTAGCTGATGGGCAATCAAGATTCAATTTCACGAGTTTCGCCTACCAACAGACTCTTCCTCACTGCGCCGCGACGCCACGAGAAGGGCGGTGCCACTTGTCTTGGGTTCCCAGCACCTCGCACCCAAGAACATGAGTGATGATGACTCGCACGCGCCACCGAGGCCAAAGCTACCGTTGCAGCAGTTGACAATTCTAGGTAAGGCACGACGAGGTAGATTGTGCGTAAGGTCGAAACCCACGCTTTTACCTCGCTTCATATGTTGAGAAGGAAGGACCGAGCGACGCACCTTCCCGCAGACCGGCTTGGACGCTCGACTGGCTGGTGGTGCACCTCACAAACTGCAACACTTTTCTTTCAGCCCATCTCCTTTCCGTTGCTAACAGGTGCCATTGATAGCTGTTGCAAGATTTGCAGAACCCCTCGCCACAACATCTATATATCCATATCTTCCTCAGATGGTCCGCGATTTCGGCGTTGAAGAAGCAGAAGTCGCAAAATGGGCCGGTCTTACGTCCGCCGTTTTCTCAGTCTTCCAGAGTTTCGCTGCAGTGCCTTGGGGCAAAATAGCAGACTCATGGGGCAGGAAACCAAGTCTGATCACTGGCTTGGTTTGCACCATGGCCTGCTTTGTTGTATGGGGAGTGTCGACCAGCCTGCCCATGGCAATTACCGTGCGTGCCATCCAGGGAGCAAGTAACGGAAATGGTTCGTCTATTCGGGTCTACTGCGTGTCATCCAAAGTTGGGCGTAGCTGACAGTCCTTTTCAGTCGGAATTATTCGAACCATGGTGGCGGAACTTGTGCCCGAGAAAGAGCTCCAGCCAAGAGCATTTTCTATCATGCCGCTTGTTTGGTCATTGGGCTCAGTTGTCGGTCCAGCATTTGGCGGCTTCTTTGCCGACCCTGCCAAACAGTATCCTTCCGTGTTTGGGGGTGTGTGGTTCTTTGAGAAATTTCCATATGCTCTTCCCAACTTGATTGCTACCGTCTTCTTCCTCATATCTGTCACTAGCGCGACGCTTTTTCTCAAGGTATGTTCTCGGCTTGCCAGTTGCGAAGCCCATGTTCTTTTCAGGTAACCTTCTCACCCCCAGGAAACACTTGCTGCGAAACGAGATGAGCGAGACTGGGGACTGTTATTTGGCAAACGTCTTGGCCGAGCATTGAAGTGGAACAAGAAACAGGACAGGAGACGCAGATCCTTTGTAGATGGCGAGGCAACCGCCCCTCTCATACCCAACCAAATTCGGCACAAGACAGTACACGACTCGTCAACCCCAGGAACCCTAGAGATCTTCACGCAGCAAAGCGTTCTGATTATGCTGGCATACTTCTTCCTTGCCTTCCACTCTGTCGCCTATGATCAAAATGTCACAGTCTTTTTAAACTACCCTGTAAAGGAGCACACTCCGGAAAATACACGACTCCCCTTTTACTTCGATGGCGGCTTTGGCCTGGAGTCGGGGAGGATTGGGACCATCTTCATGCTATATGGGGTCACATGTGGTCTTGTCCAGTTTATCCTCTTTTCGCCCATGGTCACCCGATGGGGTGTTCTGAACTGCTACAAAGCCTGCTGTAAGTTAAAGGGTCTCCCATTTATCTGCAGGCTCATGGCAAATAGACTAACAGCAGTAGGTGTCATCATGCCAATGGTCTACATCCTCACGCCCTATACATCCTTGTTCCCAACCCCCGAAACGCGACTTATGGGCCTTGCCTTTGTCCTGATGCTCAAGGCGTTTTCGATCATCGTTGCTTTCCCCTCTGTCACCATTCTGCTTACTAATTCGGCCAAGTCGCTGAGAATCTTGGGTACTTTGAATGGCTTCGTTACCATGTTCAGTGGCTTCGGCAGAGCTCTAGGCCCTGCCAGCACTGGGCTGGCTTTCACTTGGGGTGCAAAGCATGGATACGTTGTCACAGCATACTTCTTCCTGGCGGTCATAGCTGTTCTAGGAGCCATTCCCGTCTTCTGGGTTGTAGAGGGTAACGGCCCGACCGCATCTGTTGAAAACAGCGATACCGAAGAGAATGAAACTCCCGTTAGCAGCCGCATTCTTGTAGATGAATCTGCGATTGACGACTCTGACGCCGAATCCCACGAGTCGGAACCCTTGCTTGGAAACTCTAAAAAAGGAGCACCCTATGGGGCCGCAAAGATTGGATGCCAAGACTAAGTAGTTGAATATATGGTCGTTAACCTTATTACCAAAAGCACTTGTTTCAACTATATTCAAAAAACATTTTGCAGGCGACAATGTTACGGAGGCAGAGATGACGATGCAGTACGAATCAATATGTCAAGACTTGTGTATACGGCGTTCATATTAAGTTGTAATTTGGATAGACTTGCATACCCTGACCAATAACGTCAGTAAAAAAATTTGTTGAATTCATAAGATGCTTTCAAAGCCTGTGTGACTGACATCGCTGGAAATGCTGCAAATTAAACGATGCTGATCCATACAAAGTGAGAACCACAATTCAAAAACCCAAAACTCCGCATTCATGCCAATTTCCAAATACAGGGCTGGACGCCACGGGGGAGGATACACCCAAGAATGAACCACTCACAGGAAGAGCGTCAAGGAGAGAACAGATAGACTACCTCCGATAGGCTTATCCAGGAACATACTGCAAATTGGCCACATACTGTGAGCCTTCTCCAAAGCCTTCCTGTGTGTTCCAACTCCATTCCTCCTGCACCTCACGTCCTCTTGGGTACGGGGGCTGCAGATAGTCTGCATACTTGTGCGACTGACGCTCACTATTCCGACCCGCTTGTTCAAACTGCACCGCATCGTGGATGTAGTCAAAGCCAAAGGCATGGTCTCCAGAAGAGAAGTCATCACCACGCCAACGAGATAAGTCTGCCTCCATATCCCGTAAGTGAAGGCAATTTTTTCCGGCCCAATCATCAATAATACCTGCAATCTCCCGGAAGCCATCCGTGTGACCTCCATATTGTTTGGCTTTGAGTCCACATGTGACAAACATGAAGCTGTGGATCATTTCGTGCAGGAATGTAGAGATGAGTAGCCGCCGATTGTATTGATTATCCCTGAGTATAGGTGAAGAAAGTACGATCAATGTTTCCCATCCTCCAAGCCTCGCGCTTCGCCGAAGGGCCGTGGTCCCAACTATGTGATTATCGTACTGCTGTGATGTAGAGTGGCTCCAGTCCCAAGCAACTCTGCGTGTAAGGCGGCTAGCAAAGAAAAGCTCGTTGGATGCAGAAAAAATACTTCGCAAAGCGTCGTTGTCCAGTCTGAACTCTGCACCTCGAGATTTTGGGTTGATGAGAGCTTTCAAGATTCGTTCCGGTTGGGAGTCTGGGAATCTGCGATGGTAGTTTGAGATGTGTTGGCGGACGAGTCTTGCCGCTTCAAGATCTTCCAGCAAATGTCCATATCGGTCATGCTCTGCCGAGCTGTCGTGATGGTGTGCCGAGGCATCAGATGATATAGACAAACCAGACTCGGTTCGTTCTAAAGGGACAGGAATGGCGCTTCGATTGTGGAAAGCGTTACAAGCGTCGTCGAAAGCATGTGGTTTCGGCGATGGCGAGAGCGATGGAGTTGATGTTTGCCCGTCATCACCTTCGTGAATCACAAGAAATGCTAATTTCGGTACGGGTACCGACGGCTCCGATTGGGCTACCTGCTCATTGAATGCATATTGATAGCCGCTTTCGTAGGAAGCACTCGTATTCCACTGACGATTGTCGAGTCTGCCATGGATACTGAGATGTTGTTCTTCATGGGTGCCTACATTTATATTGAAATCTCGGCAATCGGCGTCATTGGGAGCAATATATGATCCATCAAGAAGCGGGCTGCGGTGATGTCTTTCTACCACCCAAAAGGACATGCTATTCGGCAAGTTTCAAATATTATACGGGCAAGAATATTTTGTTGTAACAGGACGAGAGACTAGAGGAGATATCCAAAAGAGTGAGAGGCGTTTCAATGATAAATATAGAAGATAATTTCAGATATGGGTTGTTGGCGGCCGATAGCTGTCTTTTGAGCGGTGTACATGGAACATGAAGGTGAGTAAGCTCAACCCGGAAAGCAAGGGAACAGAGAGGGCCCAGGATGCAGAAAGACCAGGCCGGCTGCCGGAGCTGAGCCGTGACGATGGTGGACCAAGCCACTGAGACAGGGCCACCGGGATCAGGGTCTGTGTAACCTGACAGTTCGACGAGTGGGCGCCGCCGAGCGAGTGTGGTCGGGCAAGCAACAGTGAGTTTGGGGCCACGATGATGATAAAAAAGGTTGTCAACTGGTAAAACGGGTCGAGAAAGAAAGTGGAGGAGAAAGGAGGAAAGAAGCCGGGCCAGTTGACACTTCCGAAATTAGTCAAGCCGGTCAAGCTGTCCAGGTGGTCAACTTTGCTTCAATGCATGTTTCTCATTTGGCAAGAGCGAGCGTCGTGGCCGGCCATGCTGTCTGTCCTGGATGCACCTTCCGCGCCTACATCTTGGGAGTCGCCTTGCTGTCTCTGGTGCCTCACTTGTTCCTCACTTGTTCTCACTTGTCCTCACTTGTCCTCAGTCCCTCGCTCACGACGCGAACTCTGGCAGAACTTTGGCTCCAAGGGTGGATGCGTGGAGATGCATGCGCATTTGACCCTGTCTGTACGGCATATTGGACAGAGCCTTTCACCACTTGCATCCTTTAGGTGCCGTCAGATCAGCCAGGGCTGGGTCCAAGGTCGGGTTCAAGTCCACCAGGCCCAGCCAAACACGACGTTAGGTAGGAAGATGAACACAAACGGAACGAGCTGGAGTCGCGTCGTCGCTGCCTGCATGGAGCCAGCATCACCAGAACAAACCCAGCATGACGAGCCGGCGATCCACTGCAAAGGCTTTGTCTTGGCAAACAGTGAGTCAGCCACGGTACGAAGGCTCACGACAAGTCCCAGGCATTGATTGAATGGACTGAGTTGGAGATTTGCATCCTATATGTCATCATGCAGCGCTGGCATTCGTCCTCCTCGCCATCCTCAGCAACAAATCGTCGTCACAAAGAGCGCGTTTCCCCATTGCCATATTACGGACGTTGTTAACATGGCCAAAATTTGCATCATGCGTCCTTGTGCACGTCAAATCACAGTCTCCGCTGCATCTCTCATCACCCTGCATCAACATCAAGCCCCACAGCAGAGCATCCAGCAGTCCATCTGGCGCACTCGTGTTGGTTGCTTGTCGTCTTGTCCAGTCGGGTCTCCTAGGCCGACATTGTACAGCAGCTGATGCAATTCTCCTTGCAGTCGACTGTTTTCCTTCTTGGTCTATCTGCCGAACATCATAATCTAACGTACTGGTATATCTTCGAACAGAGAAACAGACAACGCATCATTAAATGTTCTCATGCCCGACCATGGCTGCTCATGACGGCCCAGCCCTATTAGCACGAATAAAAGACAGTCCGCCATGTCAGAATACAAAAACCGGCGCATTGGGCTCCAGTTACCGAAACCGCCTCGATCGCCCTGATCGACCTGGCTCAGCCTCACGCCTTGGCAATAATACGACTTTGCGCCTCTGCATTCTGATATCTAGAGACATCCCTACCGTCGTCGGCGGACAAGCAGATATGTACTCAATAGGAGCAGTCCTTGGACCCTTTTTATACCTGTTCTTACAACACACCCAACGACCTCACACAAATGACTTCAGTCAGCACCGAATTTCCCAGGTGTGTTTTCCATGACTCCCAAATCGGAAAATAGGGGCCAGCCGGTACCGTAACATGTGCCTTCGCAAACGGCATGGCTTCATTGGGCAGCGAGCGATTACGTCGCCCAACCAGGCAGGTAGCTTGACATCATTCCCACCTCGATACAGCGAATCCATTTTTTGCCTTGGGCACGCAAAAAAGAGGCGCATCATGCACTGGTGTCCTGCATTGGATTGCGATCGGAATTTTGCCATTTGTACTTGGGAACATCCTTGCTTGTTACCCGTCAATTGGGCTTGTCCTGCCCTGCAACTGATATATCATCTTGCTATAGCGTGGCCGTGTTTAGTTTGTGACCACTACCCTGGAGCTGGGTCGGCCCTGACGAAAACCTGAGTTGCATTACACCGAAAAGGGGCTGTGGTGCCTGGGGAAAAGGCCGCCATTTAAATGAAACTGTAGCTACTACTGGCCGAGTTTTCAGTTCTGCTGTGACGAGACTGGAGGAGATATATGTACAGCGTCATGTGAAACTGAACTGACCTTCTGATGGAGACACTTTTACTTTTATCTTTGCATGGACTGCCTGCTGCAACCACCCAAGTCTAGAGTCTGGACAAAATTCATGACGCTATATCGCCGATGCTTCACGTATTTTGCTTGGAAAGCCTAATCCCCATTGGATGTACCACCATATAACAAGCCACACAATTTCATTGTACCAGCCACAAATTTGTCAAAAGATATTCATAGAACCGCTGATCTTGCACTAATAAGCATTAAAAGCTGACCGGCGCCCATGTAATGTATCAAATCTCGCCCAACTACCCAAAGGTCTTCTTACTGCACCAGACTCCATCATATGCAAACAATCTTACCGTGTCCAAGATGCCGGATCACCCAGGCGTCCGATGAACTTGACCTCGTCTGCCTGTCGTTCCAGAGCGCGCCGCATTCTATGCGTATACTCTTTTCTCCTTTCGTTTTCTACACTTGTCTCGGGGCCCTGAAGCTCGAAATCCTTTCCGTCGAATATAGGGGACTTTGTGAAGCTCACAAGACCTAGTTTTTCTCCAGTCCACAACAAAATATTGTCGTTGTTGGGCCGGTCGTTGCCTTGGTTGGATTTTGTTGATACAATCTTGCGGGCCATGTCGTCTGAACCAGCCATGGAAGCAAACAAAGAGGACGCTTCTTCCGCATCACTATGGCCAATTCTCATTCGTCGACACTCAGTAGACCCGTCTCGCTCAAACCACTTGATGAATCCTGATCCATCTGAAAAGACAATCTTTGAGCCGTGGTTCGCCACGGATAGGATGGTGGACGACGCAACAGTCTGTCGATTTTTTGTAACAGAATTCTGCAAAATGGACCTCTCGCCGCCGCCCGCTGCCGAACTGAGGCCGTAAATCTCAAGTGATCCCTTGGAATTGTAGCCGCCGACGGCGATTAAGGTCCTGCCTTCGCCCTCAGATTTCAACTGGGCTACCTGTTCAGTTGTCAGATCACCCTGGCGACGCACTTCCGTGTCGACGGCGGAGAATGGATACGGCAGGGCTGCCAAGCTCTTTATTAATGCGCCAGAATAGATGGATCCTTCTATAGCCGGAAATTTTCGACGATCGTAGTGCAGTATGTTGGAAAATCGGCCGGCAACATAAATGTCGTCTGATACTAGATTATGCGAGCCAGGCCGGGGAAGGTGCAAGATGCTGATGGGAGTAGGCTGGGACAACGATGCGTATGGAGGAAGTGGCTTAGTGTCGAAAATCATTTTGAAAACGTTAGATTCGTCCCACTGGATTACGTCGAGTCGCTCAACGATATCTCGAGATGCCATTGCTCTCATACGAAAGTCATGAAGGTGAACACCCAGAGAAGTCCCTACAGTTAAGGGTACCCCTTGATGGAGGGCTGATAGCGTTGTGATTGACCACTCGAACGATTCGCGGCTTACTACCTCTAAACGGTTCAAATCCACCTCGATGAGATCTGGAAATATCAATCAGTGATTGCTTGAAACGGACTGCAGAAGTCAGAGATGTGAGTCTTACGACTTTGGACGGCAAAGAAGGCTCTGTGGCCATGATTATCCACGCTGACACACTCCGTAACGCCAGTGTCTATCTTCTTGGACCGTTTGCTGTTCTGATCACCCGGACCGTCATTGAAGAGTATGCCCGGGTTGCTGGCGGCAAGAATGCCACCCTGTCGACCCCGAGTTCCGTTGATATCCCATAAGCAAACCGACCCGTCGTCCAAGGGCGAAACTGCCAACATGGTGCCGACACCATCGCTTCCATCGTGGGGACTGTATAATGCCATGCCCCGTGCTTCGATGGTTGCCTCGACCCCACCGTCATACAAGCGCGGAGTTTGCAGCCAGTTAACACATGTAGGACCATGTCTTTGCACGTACTCGTCGTACCATGATACTCGTTCGCCTGGGAATACGGGATCCCAGTTGGCCATATCCTGTAGCTTCCGCGGGCGACTGGTAAGGCTGCATGTCGTTGAGAAGTCGTCTTGATATATTGCGTTGGTAGGTGAGAAGCCAGCATCGCCATCTATTTGCATTGCGTCATGATGAGAGGTGTCGCGATGCCGCTCTGCGAGGGGCCGGAAACTACTGCGGCGGTTCTGGAGTGATTGGTACCACTGTGAATTCTCGAAGGACAACAGCTTCCACAACTCGTCATCAAGGCAGAGCTCGCGAAGCCTACGGCATACAAGCTGCAACTTGGTAACATGGTAGGGCTCGAGATCTGTAACATGGTATCAATTATGTTTGGTCAGCTAGTCTGTGTTCTATCGTGGCACGGAATGCGCAAGCAAAGTGTATGGAACAAACATAAAGCTTGCTTGCCAAGCTGGCGTAGCTATTGGAGGCCGAGGGCAGAGGAGGGAGGGGCAGAAGCTTACAGCTTAATATTTGGAGAAGCAGCTCATCCGGGAGCTCGTCCCATCGCGATGGATTCCCGGACGAAGCCATGGCACATGGTGACGAGCAAAGGAGAAAGCCGGGCTTAGAGGTGGCAATACCAAGACAAGGAATAATATTGGATGGATAAACTGGTTCCGGAACGAGAGAGAGGAGAGACGACAGGTTGCCTGCAACCCGCTGCAGTGGCAGCAAAACCGGAGGTGCCTTCCAGGCGAGGGGCAGCACAGGACGAGCTTGGATGTTGGTGTAGTCGGTGCGAATGGTCAGGGATGTAGGCGGAGGGGCTAAGAATGTGGCTTGCTCAAGCCTTCAAGTGTTACGTATCAAGTGTTCAAGGCACACATGCAAGCTCAAGTGGTGAACAATTCCAACGGCGGTAGTTGCGTGTTGCGGCGTTGGTGTGTTCAAGTCGATGGCATCGAGGCCTGATAGGGAAGGGGCGTCGGTCGAGACTTGGGGAAGGAGCGATCGAGCCCGTGTCGGCTGCTGCCCGGGACTGGGCCAGCTGTTGCGGGAAGCAAAGAGCGAAGGAGGATGGTCGCGGCAAACTTAAACTCGGGCGCGATTGACCATGGGCAGTTCGCGTGGCCAACAAGTCCGCCACGCCGCTCTTCCAAGGTCCGCCCCTTTGCCTTCGAATCACCACCAGGCAAACCGAGGACAAGCGTCTGCAGATCATGTCTTCGCTTTCTCGAACCAGTAGCTTGCTGACCATATATCCACGAATGGGTGCGCGCTGATTCCGATGGAGAAACCTCGATGCCACCTCATCTGTGGGAGATGGAAAGCTCGGATCCGGGCCCCTCGAGTCGACGCCCCATTGTACCAACAATGGACTGGCCTAGAAGCATAGGCCACGCACTCTTTCGGCACGTACTTGTTTGGCCACTCCAAATGGCAGTTTCAGAGCCTTGAATATTTCTCCGTGGAGCAGGACAAGCTGGGCTGAGAGAGGTGCCTATATTCGGAGCCATCCAACGTGGAGGGCGGGCCGCGCAGGGGACGGGAAACTTGGTGCGGCATTCATCTGGGATCACCTGGTTCTGAGGTCTGCGTGTAGGGATCATGTCAAGATGGCCTGAAGACGTTGCCGGCCGAAGGAGATCATTGCCTGTCATACTGGAGTTCAAAGAGCGATTCACATACATGTGTATCAGTCTATCAAGTCGGGTTCGATTTCAAGTTTCTCGCCCCTGGTCCTCTGATGTACTGTTGTGAGAAAAGGGACCTTGAACCACCACAGATTCCACCCTATTCAGGGGGGGCAACGCTAACGGTCCCTCGACCAGGCCAAGCAATGCAGACTTGTCAACACATTGGCGAGTCCTTGTGCCACGCAATCCCTGTTTAAGCCACTGCTTACGGAGCCGAGTCAAGTTACAGGTTCGGTCGATTCCTGGTGCTTGTGTTGGTGCCACAGGCGAATTGATTCGGAAGCACTCGCTCAGTGGCTCCTCATGAGCGAAAACTGTCTCCCACTAGAAGAGAGAATCTGGTCGGATTAGGTGCAAAGGACGGAGCTACTCTTTCACAATTCCCTGACCACGCCACTACCCACTCGGGCAAAACCCAAAGATCTGACTGGCTTCGTAGGACTTCGATTGAAGAATGCATTTGCTATTTGTTGGAGGGGTCCCTATCCACAAACCCCACGAACTTACGATGGACTAGTACTTTATAGTACGCATGAGTGCAGTACCTACCTAGGTACCTAAGCAGGTGTGTAATGTACGGAAGATGGGAGACGCCAAGACGAGCGATGTGGCATGGATGTTAACAACTTGGCAGCAGTCTAATGCGGCTTCCGCCTGGGAATACTGGTGCATTGTACATGAAGGCATGGGAAGAAACACAAAATATCTTCCTATCATGGGGATCGCTGAAGCAGCACGTTCCCCTGACAGTCTAACACGTCTCCTGGCCAAGGTGCCCTTGTTATTAGTTTGGATGGTGTGTCGTGCATCCGCGGTCTCCACGCATCCGTTTCATCAAGCCCAACTTACAGCGGACCCGGTGGCGCAAGCCAACTTGTACATTGCACGTGCTGCAAGAATCATTGAGAAACAGATGAATCGTCGACCTCGGAAGTTTCCGCTCCACATCTGCCATTCATGGCTGTGTCTGGAAAAGAAACTGGCAAATTCAAATAACTGCAACGGCCCTTTCTCTGGATTGACGTTGTTGATATGGCCATCCAAGGAGCCATGAATATTAGCTGCCTGCCGACCATGGGTGTTGGAGCAGTTGAACCTTGGAACGGGCAACGAGAAAAGCCGCACGTGATGTATTCAAGAGATTGGGAATTCGCGGGATTGACCTTTTAAGCTTTGAAAATGTTTATTTTATTATAAATACTTTAATATTATAAATATTTACCTTTAGGAGCTTTATAATATACTTATAAAATTAAATATTCTTATAAGCTGGTTTACCACTTAACTTTATCTTATTACTTGCTATAACGGATAAAATACTATTTAAATTAGATTAAAAAATATATTAGTAGAAGTTCCTTGATTAATTTATATAAATTCAGTCGTTTGTTTCTATTTTATGTGAAACACCTGAACTGGCTTTTGTGCGACCGAAAATTTCACCGCCCACAAAGTTGCCACCTTGAGCTGACCTTCGACTTCTATCTACAACTTCGTCATTCCACCACCGACGGACGGAAACTTTGCCCAAAGCCAGGGTTTCTTTTATTCTGCGATCAAGAGCCGGGGAATGATAGTACCAATTGGAAGGCTGCCGCGTTCACGACACTAGACAACTTGCCTTGTTGTCTAGATCCCACTCCTGGCAGCACAGAGGAGATGTTGTGAAGTCGAGTGAGAAACTCATCATTTCATCATCTGTAGTCACTGGCGGTATTATCAATGAAAAGCAGCATACGATACTGCTGTGGAAAAGACTACCATTCTCGGCGCTCAATCCAAGAGTGCTGAGTGCTGCGAGCAGCATGAGGCCAGACTCTGGTGATGTATGTTTTACTCTCAATTCACGTACGCCCTGATGAAATACTCACCGTGAAGTAGTCTGTTCTGTGGACCGACATAACTCAAACTATCAATGGGTCGGATCAGACGCCAACAAACAAAATGTCGCAGGAGCGCGTGAACCCATTCTCCGACCCCATTAGCGAAGATGACATCCCTCAACCCCAAAACCTCGAAACTCGGGATACTGCCAAGTCTTTAGAGCACCCGTCATGGAAGCCATCGCAGGATTCTGGAAGTCGTATCTCTCATTATCCCAAGCCCATTCTCCAAGATGACGACAATACAAACTCCGAGTGGGAGACCGTCGCGCCCGATGAGGACGTCATTCTCAGACCAAGTGTCCACCTCAGACAGCGTTTGGAAATCGACCGCAGAGCATATCCAACTCACAATGCCCTGGGTTGTGCTAGTGAAGCTGCGGAGCACGCGCAATATAGAACTGCTCTCATGCCAACAAGCTCGTCTCGTAACTTGGCTCGTACATTGCCAATGCACACCAGTAACCGACCCAAGCATGCTTCTCAGTGGCTGCGAGCATCCAGCGTTTATGAAGACGATTCCGGTTTCCCCAAGATCACCGACCAAAGCCAGCAGCAGGGCTGCCAACCTGAAACATCTCGCGCTCTGACCAAGAATCGGCCGGCTACACTGGGGTTTGACCGGAACGCTCAAGGTGAACTGGTAGCCAGCTACTCCAAGTCCTCCAGCCGAGCGAGCAATGACCCTTTCAAATTTGACGGCGCAGGTTACTCCATGTTTCTCCAGTCATCCGCCGAGAAAGAAGTCAGCAGAGCTCTCTACGGAGCGGGAACTTGGAGCGAAGTCCACAGCACGCCCGTCTACACTCCGCAAAGGAGTGAACGGCGCGTTTTCCAAGGGCAGTTCCAGTCAGGATCGTTTTATGACAATGCCGCCATTCAATCAACCTAGAAAGTCGATGATGCGGTCAAAGTCCCGGTTATTAAACGCGCTAATCTCAGTCCCAGTACCAACGAGCATCCGCTCTCCGAACTCGCCCAGCTGGTGAACAATACAGCAGCTGAAAAAGATACAGGTAGCGATTGGCAGACGATTACAACGGAACAAACCACTCACAGGGCCTTGGAGCTGACGCTTCGGTTGGATAAAGATGTAGGAAGCAGTCTGGCCGATGTGTCAGATGGATCTGAGTACGAATCGTTTGATCACTTCCTTGGGGCTACTGCAGGTTCGCAGGATTCTCGTGAGAGTCATCAAGGGGGGGACGTGTATTCCAACGCAAACCCGCGCCGTGCATTTTTCTATAGGTTCTCGCAGCCAACGTGCAGGAATAGCCGAGTGTCTTCTGCTCGTCCTGTGGCTACAGTCCGGCATCTCAGCCATCTCAGCCGTCTGTCAAGCGATACCTCGAACAAGCCCAAGTTTTCGAGTAAACTGTCCCAGATGCGCAAACCAATAATGAGTTACAGCAGTCTAGACTCCGAGCCGGAGCAGGACAATTTCGACACTACAACTCCCGTGTCTCCTGACACTGTTGTGGAAGTTGTCACCCCCCGACACAGCAATCGGTCCAGTCCGCGATGCAGACAAGACTCACGGGAGATTCTTGGTCTCGGAACGCAGGACGGAAGCATGATATATAAATCCCGAGACTTCGCGCCCCGAAACACGGCGGACTATAATCTTCCTAGCCTTCCGTTCCCACTTATAAGTCTTCAAGAAGCAGCGCTTCGCCAGTCGCACGGCATCGCTCGAGACGAGGCAGACTACACCACGGCCGGCTCCATGTGCGACTCCAAAGCACGCCCCGATACAATTAGTACTATTTCTTCGTACGGGCCCAAAACCCCAATCACACCCGTTGGAGGCATCCCGGGCACAAGTGGCATCCCCAGACCACCACGAGCGCTTCGCCGACACAGCCCAGCGCGAGCTCTCCGTAAGTGCCCGCCATGCAATGCCGTGAGAAGCCTCAGTTCCGTCTAACCCTGTTCCCTGAAGCATACGACCCAACTCAAGGGCAGCTCAACTCGTCGGCCATCATCGACACCCACTCCGGCTCATTCTTCCGCAACTCCCTCCCGACCAACACATCGCTCCTCAGCGCACGCTTCTTCCGCCTCAGCGGCTTCTCGGCGCGAACCACTCGCGAGCGTCGAGACGAGCCCAAGCACGTCTTCCTCACTTCCTCGGAAACAGATCTCATCCACTCCGCGAGGGAGGATATTCTGTGCCGACGCCGCCGGTGCCCGGAGGAAGACGCGCAGCAACGGCGGGTGTTTTTGGTGATTTTTGTCATGGCTGTCTTCTTCCCGCCGATTGGGGCACTGGCACTGTACGGAAAGTTTGATGCGACGATTGCGTGGTATGGCAAGGGCGAGAGAGGTTGCCTGACGCAGGAGCAGAGGAGCACGTTGAAACAGCAGCTTTTGGTCGAAGGAGTGTTGTATCTGGGGCTGCTTACCTCGTTGGTTGTGTATTATTCCGTCCATGGATGATGGGACAGCGGCGAATGGCAGGATGGATACAAAAGTGTGGGAATTGCGTAACTGGAGATGTGAAGGTGGGTTGGGGCAAGGGGTTTGAGGCTGGCAAGCCATCATGTTTTGACATGTTTACACTGTACGAAATACTTGTCTATATTGGAACAATCGAGGAATGGAATGATATTTTGAGAGCCTCTCTGCTAATCACCCCATGAAAGTGCCGGCTAGAATAACAAGACAGATGCGTGAGATGCAACGGGAACGATGTGATGGGCTGTTAATTGCGCATCTTGCCACCGCATTAGCAAGCACTTTGTATTGCCATGGCTTGAATACTAGTCGAGCGCGAATTGGAGAGATACGGGACAAGGCATCAGTTATACAACACGCGTGTGAGCTGTGGCGTCAGAAGTGAATTGGCAAGACGAGCGGACAGGTGTCAACAACTGTCAACAACTTTCAACCAACTTTCAACCAACTTTCAACCAACTTTCAACCAACTTTCAACCAACTTTTAACACTTTCTTCCTACTTTTGGTCTATTGGACACTGTACTGGAGCATAGTTTTCACTATTGGTACAAATCGTACAAGTCGATCAATTACGGCAGCATCTACTCCAACCGGCCAGACTGGTGCCCTGTGTGTGTTTTCTCTCTCTCATGATTAACAAGACAACTTTTCGGGAGGCCTCGAAAGATACGACGACCCGAGCGAAAACTATAGCGAGAATTGCTGCTCCCAAAACAGGTTCTCACAAGTTTTGAGATACAGTAACAGCAACGCCTTGAGGACTTGTACAGAACTCCCTACTTTCAATGTGCTCGTCGATCGAGGTTGATATGCTTTGAAATCTTGCTACAGGCACCATAAGGCGAGCATTGCCAAATTTGAATCATAGGCTGCTTTCACCCCATAACAAGGGCGCGACCCAGAGCCATAGCTTCCTGCAAATACGTTTCCAGGGTTGGCCCGTGTCCTACCCGAGTTGAATGAATATGGTGGCCCAGCCTGACCATCCCTTGTCTGGAGCCTTCGACGAGCCGCGCGGTATCTTCGACACTCAAGCGCGATGGCTCTTCCCCGGATGCCAACTCCGACAACTACCCTTGCATGCCGATTAAGACCTCCCTTATGGATTCGAGCAGCTATTCTTAGCAGAAGACGGCGAGGAAGTAAAACGCCGCGAAATCATGCTGTTTGAGCAGGAATAGAGAGCAGAGGATGGGACAATATATGAGATAACCCTCGCGTGCCACACGACATCCATTACTTCTAACCGGCATGGACTGTGAGCTGAGCGAGCTAGGACATCATACACACACATAACACAGTATATTGCAGAATCTATTGCAGTATCTGCCCAGACCGACTGGGACCGCATCTCAACAACCGACACTTCGACGTGGATCTCGAATGTATTTCCCGTGCGTTTCGTGATTTCGGAGGCCAGCTCCCGACGACAATATAGCACTGACTGTCATTGAGCACAGCGGCCACGGTTTACCGGCAAACAAAAGCCATCGGATAGCGTCTTAGGGTCATCGGCGAAAGAACTAGTCGTGCGGTGCCATGGTCTGCGGCAGCCGGCGGATGACAACCGGCGCGCAAGGCCATTTACAGAGGTGAGAACCACCCGTTTAAGTCAAATCCACTAGTACCACGAATCGGGCATGTTTAAGTCATGAGGGCGCTGAGCCAAGTTAGTACTTAGAACTCTAGGAGCAGCCGCTGGTTGTTCAACTTATGCTCAGCCAGGTTGCAAAACTTCGATGGCGGAGCTTCTGTTCAGCGAGCTGTGCCTTTCGACAACGGAAGCTGAGGCGCATTGCATTGAGAAAAGAATACATGCAAAGGAGAAGGCGAATAACAAGAGTAGAAAGCATCAGTCTTCAGTTCGACACTTACGAGGTGATGTCTTGAGTCAACATGTGCTCGAACCTTTTGCTTGTTCGCTTGTTCCTAAAATATTAGGCCATAACCTTGACCAAAACAGGACTAGCGCAGCCTCGAGGACCCTTCTCTGGTTGTCTGGCTCGGCTACCCCACCCCACTTGCTCATCTCAAGCGGGTCCCCGGCCAAAGGCGAGGGGGGAAAAAGTTCTTGGGGTGGCCCGAAAAAAAAATTCACAAAAATTTTGGCTGAGGGAAGAAAGAATTTCTACACCGATATACCCCACTACATTTCGCCTTTCCTCCTCGCAATCTCTCTTCTTCCCATCTTCTTCAGTCGTTTTCGACACCCGACAATTTCTCTCCTCCTTCCTCCGTTCAGACACATTTCAAAATGGGCGACGAAGTTTACGACGGTGCCATTGGTATCGATCTGGGTGCGTAGCTTGACCTTGTTTTTCAGGCCCTTGTCAGGCCTATGCTGTGCGGCCGAGATGTTTTGTTTGATGACCGGTCGCGCTCCGTTTTTCGCTGCAAGGCTTTGCGGGTGCATATGAGAATTTTCATCATCAGTAACCAAAGACTACGACGTGCTAACAATCCGATGTAGGTACCACCTACTCTTGCGTGGCCACCTACGAGGGTACCAATGTCGAAATCATTGCCAACGAGCAGGGTTCCTTCACCACTCCCTCATTCGTCTCCTTTACCGACAAGGAGCGTTTGATTGGTGATGCCGCCAAGAACAATGCCGCCATGAACCCACAGAACACCGTCTTCGATGCCAAGTGAGTTTTGATGCAATAACAAAGATGCCGCAGCCGGCTTGATGCTCCGACGGTGCCATCTTCTATGGCTGTTCAAATGCTAACATGGCCCTCAGGCGTCTGATCGGTCGCCGCTTCGATGACCCCACCGTCAAGAAGGATATTGAGTCCTGGCCTTTCACTATCATTGATGATGCTGGCCAGCCCAAGATCCAGGTCGAGTACCTCGGCGAGAAGAAGGAGTTCTCTGCCCAGGAGATCTCTGCCATGGTTCTCACCAAGGTACGTTTTCCGCACTGCCCGACTGCGGGGTTTTATGTCTCTTGCTAGATTACTTGGGCAAGCTTGGGCTAACAAGTCCCATAGATGAAGGAGATTGCCGAGACCAAGCTCGGTAAGAAGGTCGAGAAGGCCGTCATCACTGTTCCTGCCTACTTCAACGACAATCAGCGTCAGGCTACCAAGGATGCCGGTGCTATTTCGGGCCTCAACGTCCTTCGTATCATTAACGAGCCTACTGCTGCCGCTATTGCCTACGGTCTGGGCTCTGGAAAGTCCGAGAAGGAGCGCAATGTCCTGATCTATGATTTGGGCGGTGGTACTTTCGATGTCTCTCTTCTTAACATCCAGGGCGGTGTTTTCACCGTCAAGGCTACCGCTGGTGACACCCATCTTGGTGGTCAAGACTTCGATACGAACCTATTAGATCATTGCCGCACAGCGTTCACGCGCAAGACCAAGAAGGACCTTGGTGGCGATGCCCGTGCCCTGCGAAGACTCCGTACTGCTTGCGAGCGTGCCAAGCGTACCCTGTCCAGCGGTGCCCAGGCCACCATTGAGATTGATTCTCTCTTCGATGGCGAAGACTTCACCATGACTATCACCCGTGCCCGTTTCGAAGAACTCAATGCCAAGGCTTTCTCTGGCACTCTCGAACCCGTTGCTCAGGTCCTCAAGGATGCTGCCATCGAGAAGTCTGCCGTTGATGAGATCGTTCTGGTTGGTGGTTCTACTCGTATCCCCAAGATCCAGAAGCTCCTGTCTGAGTTCTTCGATGGTAAGAAGCTCGAGAAGAGTATCAACCCCGACGAGGCTGTTGCCTACGGTGCTGCCGTCCAGGCCGGTATCCTCTCTGGCAAGGCCACCTCCGCTGAGACCTCTGACCTCCTCCTTCTCGATGTCGTTCCTCTGTCTCTTGGTGTCGCCATGGAGGGCAATATCTTCGCGGCGGTGGTCCAAAGAGGCAATACCGTGCCTTGCTTGAAGAAAAGGTAATGAATTATTTTCGTTCATGCTTTGTATTCCCTTATCTTTTTCAGAGCGTTACTTATATTTCATCAGTGATCAATAGCAGTTACTGACAATTCCCTGAATAGAACCTTCACTACCGTTGCCGACAACCAGCAGACCGTTCAGTTCCCCGTCTACCAGGGTGAGCGCGTCAACTGTGAGGACAACACCTCTCTGGGAGAGTTCACTCTTGCTCCCATTCCTCCCATGCGTGCTGGCGAGGCCGTCCTCGAGTGTGTCTTCGAAGTGGATGTTAACGGTATCCTGAAGGTCACCGCCACTGAGAAGACCTCTGGCCGCAGCGCCAACATCACCATTGCCAACTCCGTCGGCAAGCTCTCCACTGGTGAGATCGAAAAGATGATCTCTGACGCCGAGGCTTTCAAGAGCAACGATGAGGCATTCAGCAAGCGATTCGAGGCCAAGCAGCAGCTCGAGTCCTACATTGGCCGTGTGGAGGAGATTGTTACCGACCCTACTCTGTCTCTCAAGCTCAAGCGTGGCCAGAAGGAGAAGATTGAGCAGACCATCTCCGAAGCCATGGCTACTCTTGAAATCACCGAAAGTTCTGCCGAGGACCTCAAGAAGCAGGAGCTTGCCCTTAAGCGACTTGTTACCAAGGCCATGTCTTCCCGATAAATGTATTAGTCCAGACATGACGTTGGAAAAGGGGAAGTGGCGGTGTGACGAAAAAAATTTAACGTTGGACAAGTCCAAGGCGTTGTATTTGAGCGGTGGCACCTTTGTCTTCAAAAGATTTGGACGGAGAAGGCACCGGATGTGAAGTGATATACTGGGTCTCGAAGATAAGGAATTCGAGAGCAGGAGGAAGACTTTATAAATTATTTCCCTTTGTTCTGGTTTTTTCTAATTTTTCACATTCCCCGGATCTACAGAGATTCAAAATAACGGAGATAACAAAGGCACTTGAAAAGTTCTGCAAACGAGAAGTTTCCTGTTCCATCGGGTACTCAATGTTAGAAGGACCCATGATAGGTGATGATACTGTATAGGTTGAGGGTGCCCTGGGCCAGTAAAGGCCGGATAGCCTGATAATATGCGAGGAACAAACAGCCTGTGAATTATAAACTCAGTAGAATGGAAAATACGAATTAAAATTATTAAATTATTAAGAATATAATATTAAATATACCTAAGTATATATAAATATATTTTAATATATATAAGTATACCTAAGTATATATAAATATACTTAAATATATATAAATATACCTAAGTATATATAAATATACCTAAGTATATTATTAAATTATAATAAAAAAATAAAAAAAAGGCTAGCTAATTACTAGAACCTACTAGTAATACAATTAATAGCTATACCTAGCTAATTTAATAATAATATATAATTTTAATTTGTGGTTAATTCGCTTTATAGTTAAATAAAATTATATATATAATATAAGTATTATATAAGTATAAAATCTAAAATAATATTAGGCTATATTAGGCTAAAAATAATAAAAAACTAAAAAAGTAAACTATTTATATATTATAACACGTTAAATATACTAGTATAATTAGTATTATATTATAGCCTATTAATTATAGCTATTTTATAATAGCCTTAGCTATTATTATATAAAAGGTAAACCTTATATATTATAATAACTTTATACTTATAATTTATATTAAGTTATATTAAAAACCTAAAATACTTATATATATAATATATTTATATAGTTTACCCTTACTTATATTCTAAGTTAATCTTATTCCTTTTTATTTAAGTTATTTACCTCTTTTATTATTAAGATTATAACTAATTATAAGTTATTACCCCTATATATATATATCTCCTATAAGCATTTACTAATATTTACTATAGCTATTTATAAACTATTATATATAAAGTATATATTAATAATAATATAGGCTCTAAAAATGCCAAGAAGCCTAATATAAGTAAATTACCTATTATAACTTTTAGGGATTAAAAGCTAATAAAGCTTAGAGGGTAATATAACTAATATTAGATTAAAAGCTTTTTATAGTAAAAAAAATAATTATCATAAAGCTAAAAATCTTAATCTAATAAAAATTAAGAAAAATAATAAGGCTATTAAAAATATAAAAAAAAAGGCCTTTAAAAATATAAAGCTAAAATATAGCTCTAAAAAAGCTATTATATTAGCTATAAAAAAGCCTAATAAGGCTAGTAATACTAAGAGTAAAGCTGCCTAATAAATATATATTAGCGGTTTTACCTCTTTTAGAGGGATAATATATAATTTAAAAAATAATACACGTATTATAATATATTGAATCTACTAGCTTAAAAGGTAATTTATAATCTTATACGCCGGCGAAAATATATATATAATAATAATAGCAACTCGCGACTATATAAGTTACACCCCGAAAAACTCAGAGCAATCCGACATAATATAAATCGCCTAAGTATATTATAATATATTATATAATAATATAACTATTTTAAAAAAAGTAAAACTACTAATATATATTTATTTAGTAGCTTTACTCTTGGTCTTGCTAGCCTTATTAGGCCCTTTTATAGCTAGTATAATAGCCTTTTTAGAGCTGCGCTTTGGTTTTGCTTTTATAAAAGCCTTTTTTTCTAGTTATAATACGTGTATAAATAGTTTACTTTTCTAGTTTTTTATTATTTTTAGCCTAATATAACCTAATATTATTTTAGATTTTAGATTTATATAATACTTATATTATATATATAATTTTATTTACTTATAAAGTAAAATAATTAAAAACTAATAATAATAATTATTTTATATATAACCCTAAAATAAGGTGCTTATAAACTTTTAAATACCTACTATAATACCTAGTAGCCAGGTAGCTACCTGGTATTTTTTATTTTTTTTGCCTCTCCCGGTAGGAATTGTCAGGAGATCCAAATTGATAATTCTGGACGAATTACGTATTAGGTGAAAAGTCGAGTGCTTTTTCAAGCACATGCGCATCAGGCTGTCGAGCCGTCGAGGCACACGCTCTTTCACGGCAAGTGGTGATGACTAACCAAGGTCACTGTCACCAATAATGGCCTCAGGAGTCAGAACCCTTTCCAGTTTACACAACGGCCAACATAATCGTACCGCTCCCAATGATGACCTTGGCCACGCCCCGAATCAAATGTCTCTTCACTTCCTTGACCTCCCCGTCGACATCCTCGCTCTAATCCTCGCCCCGCTCCTCATCCAGGACGGCCCCATTCCCTTGTGTCCATGCGGCTCAACAGGGAGCAGCGACAAGGACGGCAACGGCGACAACGGCATCAGCATCAACCCTGTACCAATCCTGCTCATCCACCCAGCCATCTACGCCATTGCCACACCGCTCTTCTACGAAGGCAATGAGTTTGTTCTGGATCTCAGACTGAAGCACGGCCTCCATGCAAGGTCATACTTGGATGAGGAAGCCGAGGAGGACGCGCTCGACAGGAGAGAGGGGTTCAAGTACGACGACGTGAATATTCGTCGGAGGCGAGAGGCACTTGCGCTGGAGGGGTCACTACGAAGGATACGGTCCCTGGAGATTAAGATTTTGAAGCTGAGGGGATGGATCGACGCGAGGATCGTGCCGTTGGTGCGGGACATGATTGTCCGCGGCAACCTGGCCGAGCTGACTGTCGAGATCTACAGCTCTGGCGGGCATGCAGCGGGCGGCACAAGGGCACAAGCAGCTCGGGAGAGCAGCATATTCACACGTCCCCCGCTGGCGGGCGTCTTGTCCCTCCTCTCCGATCCATATCTTCGGACCGCCCGTCTGTGGGTCTCGGCAACGGCTGGCGGCGCGTGGGAGCCGTTCCGGACGGCGACTGCGTCGGCCGACCTCGTGCAGATTGATTGGGCCAGCATCGTGAAACAGCTCGACCCCGAGGGGAGACAGGTGGCTGTTTTGAGGGACGGTGGCAAGGCCAACGTAGCTCGGTGACCAGCCTCACCGTACGACACCCAGCGCCCGGGGGGCAAGGTGTCACATCGGAGGGTTTTGGACAGACCTCGGACGAGTCTGGCTTGCATCACCCATTACCAAGCAGTCCAAACTTTTCAACATGACAGTGGTCCAGGGAAAACAAAAAAAAAAGCCAAGGGCTGCAACACCAACTGACTCGGTCAGTAAGCAATCTCAGACATTCCACCACTCCCACATCTCCTTGCCTTCCACTACTACCTCCGCCGGAGCGACACAAAACCACCGAGTGCGTATCACAGTGACACCCAGTCCAGCCAGTGCAACCAGTCAACCATTATAATCTTAAACCGCCAAGGAGGATCTTCAACACAAAAATCAAGCACAGCCCCCGCAAAGACCATATCTGTCCGCCCCAAAGATTCAGTCCAGAACACCAGTGCGACTCGAATGTCTCACTCAAATGATAACCTTATCCGCTTCCCCGGCGCCAGAGAATCCCAGATCCTTCCCGTTGCCTCGGCGTGTTTGAGATTGAGAGGGAAGGAGAGGGATTGAGAGAAGAAGAAGAAGCACAAACAATGCCACGTCACAAGAAAGGCAACACAAATAAGCTTTGTTGTTTTACACCGCAACCATGTACATACACAGGTGAGAACGAGGTCTGTACATAGCAGGTTCAAAAATAACCACAAAAAAAAATGGCACGGTAGTGGTAGTACTAGTGGCAGAAGTGGTGCCGGGAACAGGGTTTTCCCTGGCTTGGTTCGGAGCAATCTTGCGCCTTGGCAGATGAGATGAGATGGCCCCCCCAAGACGCAAGACGCAAGACAGCCCAAGCCCAGTCCAGCCAACGCGGACAGCAGCAAACTGGCAGGTTCCCGGCGTCAGGAGCAGATCACCCTTCCCTTGTCGGCGTGTGTGATTGATGTGCGCGCCGTGGCGTGACGGGCCTTATCTCTGGGAGTTGCCAATCAGGCTCCACGTCGTCTGCCGACGAGCTGCTCCGTAGTGATTGATGAATGGAAGGGGGGGCGGATCTGCGGTTTTGGTGTTTATGGCGACAAAGCGCACCGACCGCCTTGCACCATCGACTGGACGAGTAACTTTGGCATCGACCGCATTCGTTGACGTATACTACTCGTCATCTTCTTGTTCACCGGCTTCCCACCTCCCAACAAAGAAAGAGGTGTGCTATCTGATCTGTCTTGCTCTTGGCCCAGATCGCTTGCTTCTGTCCCTTGCTGCCCACAGCGAGTCCGCCCCGCGTCTTGCGCGTGAAACTCGTCAACTTCTTCTTTGATGAGCTGGCGAGAAACGGGGGCCGGACCTCTTTTGTCTCCCCTCTTTCACCACTCAGTACAATGCAGATACGAACGAGTGCGTGCGTGTGGCGCTGGAAGCTGCCATTTCCGTCACTGCATGAGTGACTGTGTGGTGCTCTTGAGGGTTCTACAAGCCGGACCTGGTTGGGCCCATGGATTGACTGTGAGACACACGTGCATTGGCAGATGGTTTGTAGGCATGAATTTGTCATTGGTTGCTTGCTTATCTGTTGTCGCTGTGTTTTTTAACTCCGTACATGATGAATCCTTTGTTTCCCAGACCTTGTTCACGCTTTGCTTGACTGCGCTGCCCTTTTTGTGGCACTCCATTACAAACTTGATTGTGTGCTTCCTCCCATGCCCCATGTCATGTCCTTGGTGCCGATGCCCACAGACTGGGGGGCGGGGGGACAGACGGACCAAAACGAAATAAATAGAAAAAGAAAGAAAATGGCTAGTATTGCGCAATTAGACAGTTGTAGCCTCGTGAAAGTCCTCCTTGTGGTCATCAAGGTGCTCGCCCCAATGCACTGGGCTGAGCTTGAGGACTCTGAAGCCGCCGCTGCTGGAGCTGGAGGATCGTCGACGAACTGGCTCTGGAGCAGGGGCCATATCTGCCGCAACTACGCGAGGGGAGGTACGGCTGGCTGGTGCTCGGGGGTAGGAAGCAGAGGTGGTGGGAGCCAGAGGAAGGAAGAAAGAGTTGGAAGACATGGTTGGTAAAATGTCGAGTCAACGGTTGTGTTTTGGGCACGGTAGGATACGTTGTATTCCGTAGTAGGTTGGGGGATGTTGCGAGGTGATGTAGAGAAGACTTGTTTGCGCCAGGCGAGCCGTCGGTACTGGGTATTTGTGCGTACAATTTAGAATAAAAAGATGGTGACTGCCCTCTTTCCCCCAGAGGAGGGCGCCGGATGGTTGCTCTTTATACATGTTCGGCAGAGATGCCATCTCATGGAGTCATGGCCCATGGGTGTGAACTAGGGTCGGGGGACTCGGGGGTTGCAGGCCACCAAGGAAGGCATTGAACTCTGTTGGCACAAACGTCTCACACCCGGAACATCATGTACCACAATCCTGACGGCATGTCGCAGACGTGGACATTCCGGCAAGGCCCCGACCTCCACGATAGAACCTTTGAAAAACACCCCTGGCCCTCTTGTTGACTAGGAGGTGCGGACCCCGGAGGATATTTGCTGCAGCAGGTCAGCTGATGCACAGATATCTATGAAATTGTCTTTGCGCCAGAGGTTAGTGGCACGTGCCATTTTCTTTGCTGACCTAGCGCGGACTGCGAAGAGCGAAGAGATTGGCAACCAGACGGAGGAGCATCAGCCAAAGATGGGCGCGGCGCGGCCAGAGCGTGAATTGCTCGGCGGGCTTACTATTTTTGCTAGGTGCGCTTATACTTTACTAGGTACTTAGCTATTAAGCTTTATATTATAATATATTATATAATAAATAAATATAAAAGTAAGCACGCCGAGTAATTCACGCCAGAGCGGGCATTGTAATTTGTGGCAACAGAACAGTACGAGTACTCCGTACCGCCGCGGCTTTCCGTCAATGTCAATGGTGCCGAAGGCCAGGGGGGGGCCACAAGTGACAACAATGAACGCCAGCGAACTGGCTGCTTGCCGAGCTCCAGACGACCAGACAGCTCCATATCCGTGGGCCGTCGCCGTCGACACTCACCATCAGATGCAAAACCACCTCGTGGTTGCCTATCAGCCCGTAGTCCTACCACACTCGGCACCCAGGCAAGGAGTATCTCGGACCGTCGTTTCATCAAAAGGTTCTCGCTGTGGCCGTCCAGAAACACCTTCTTGTGCAATTGCTGTGTTCCTGATTGGATGTGCCGGTCCCGAACCATGGGATTTCCCGGAGCCGGCTACCGTTCCGTCTGCCATGTGCCAAGTGGAGTTGCTACATCCTCCCGAGGCCGCGGGGATACGCTGGTCAAATCCCTTTGCCGACAAAAGGCTCTATGTACAGCCTGATCCTGCAAGTCGGTTCTGCATGCTCGCATCTCCAAGTCCCCTTACCACGAACCCTTCTTCCCGTGCGGGTCCTGGGCCTGCATGCTGATGGAGTTGAGCTCCCGTGCTTCGTGAATAGCCGGGCCATACTCCGAGCCCTTGACTCCAAGGAACTCTGCCAACGAGTCGCAAATCGAGCCCACTGCCGCGAGCGCATCCATTCATGTGCAAACAGTAGTTCCCAGGGAATGATGCCATGATGACTGACAACATAGCAAGAATTCCATGGCCAGCCAGCAATTTGTTCTGCAGGCTGCTCCAAGAGAAGGTCAGTCATTGAGACCGCCTGTCACAATCTTGCTGGTTAGGCTCTGGCCGACACACATGCCGTTGCATAGTATGCAGCCAACCATGTTGATGGAATGAGATCTTTTCCTGCATCGTTGAAACAATGGTCAGAGCGACCATTATCCCAAGTATTGGAAGTGTTACCTTCTAGTTAGGGTCAGTACCGGGTTGGTGATAAGAGGAGAGCCTTGGACCTTCAATCTCACTTGACTCGTTCTGCAACCCCTGTCCCAGCGTTCAGCTTGCGAGGTTGATTGTCTATAAGGACAACTAAGAAGTTGGCTACAGAAGTATAAAGCTTTCCAGTGCCATGAACATGTCTGACAGCGTGTTGTGGCAAACGCGTTATTGTCGCACCTCGTCATTGACCAATCCGTGCGTATCAATGCTAGTAGATTCCGTATGATTCGTGTTTCTTGTTTCAACGATTAGCTAGTACTTCTGCTTTCCTAGACACGGTACTGGTTGCACAAAAACTCACGAGGAAAGTGTTTCGCGCTTCGCAGCTCTATGGTGTTTTACACCCAACATCCTTCGACCGAAGACAGTGAGTCTATTGCTTGACCCCAACATGTTGGTGTATCTCCTGGACTGAGTAGAGACAGCCGGTAAACTGTCTATTGGTGATGGGCAACTTGGGGGTAGATATTCTCGAGCCGCAAGAGTCCCAGGATGCGTGCCCTGGTGCTGTGATAATGTCCTTCGGGGTTCATGAGCGGGAAATGAAGTAAACTCTGTCTTGGGTTGAAAATAACTGACACACAGGTTCGTCTATGGCGGGAGGCCTTGCCTTTACCAGGCATGTAGGCGACCCGGATCTGGCAATGGACACGACGGGAGGCAGTTGGTTTTGGCTTTCCCGGAGACAGTTATCCACAATGTTGGTGATTGATGTGACCGGCCTGCAGGTCGTATGATATGCATCTATTCTCTGTGAACCATCTATCAGCTCCCAGCTGCGCGAGTTGTCCCGTACTAGATAAACACGCTCGAGGCCGATGCGTGTTGGTTGAATGTCTCGGAGACTCGGAGCTTGCGTCGTCAATGCAGTAACTAGGTCATCAGCCATTTGGAGCTAGCCATGCAAGCCTGTGTGCCAAATGGCACCTGTCAACACGCCCCTTGGCCCTCATTCACGCTGTTCAAGCCGCTCTTTGTCCTTGCTTCGTGACGTGTGGCTGTCCGAATGGGTTGTTGGACGAAGCAAAGAGCATCCCTGTCAACTAATAACTTACAAGCCCGCCGAAGAGTCAAGACAGTGGACCATGAGTCCATGACTTGCCAAGTGCAGCAATAACGGCGCTTATGGTGTGTTTTGATTGGCTCGTTCACGGCGCCATAACCGGCGTCACATCCGTGGACCGTCATC